GCTGATAAAATTATGTATTTTTGACCATTTTCTATGAGATTTTTCAATAGCATTTTTATTGAAATCTCAAAAAAAATCAAAAATACCCTCTCTATGGAGATTCAATGTTAAACTGAATTTTGATTAACATGAAATAATTAACTAATGATAATGATTAGAATTTTGAAATTTTTATCAGTGATTATATGGAATTTAAGCTTTCGGTCGATACTAATTTTTCTTAATTTTGAATTGTTGATCATTTTTAATCAACAATTTGAATTGATCATCCAAAATTTCAACAAATGATGATTTAATTAAATCAAAATTTGAACACGTTAATCAATGTTTTCAATCATGAAATTAGATTTAAATTAAAGAAAAAACATTGATTTAATATTTTAGAAAAAATCGAATCATTCGAATAAATTTTACTAAATTAATTAATTGTTCAAATTAATACACTTCAAGAGTGCAAAAACTTTCCGGTTTCCCTAATATACTACTGTCATATATTTTTATTACTACTCAATTCAATATTTTTAATGACTTTCAATTTCAGGTGTTTTGTGCTTGCTAAATGGTGCATTGGATTGGTAGATCAATTCCTTCGATGCCACTCAGTGCCGTTCGCTCATGCTTGTTAATTGACTGGACCAATACACCATGGAAACAGAGGGAAAATATTATTGTAATGAGTAAAATTAAAGATTCTAGTTTTGGCAGGTTGGGGTCTAGTTCTAGAACTTAAAGAACTTAAAGTACTTAAAGAATCTAGTTTCGGGAATCTTACGAGAAGTCAATTACAAAATTGTGAAATTAGTCTGCAAAAAAATTATTTTCTGGTCATATTTATATTTTGTTTTCAGTTTTACCGATGTACTGATCCCTTATAACGGGTTTTAGTTTGATTGAATCAAATAAAGGATACGATCTGTGGGTTTACAATGATCAAGTGTATTCAATGCGACCAAAGGTCAGTCATAGCTAAGTGGATTTTTAGAAAAAACTATTCGATTCTCATCAATCAAAATAAAATAATTTTGTTGTCAGTCTCAGAATCAATATTTCTCAATAAATATATTCCAAATGTTCATTGATTATCGAGGAGTCTTGCTCATTCAAAATAACAAATTGAAAATGCATAAAAATTGATTATATTATGTTCATATTTCAATTTTTGGAAAAAGGTTGATTCACAATCAAGTCAAGTCGAGAAAAATGAAGTTCAAGTTTCTAAAAGATAGACCAAAAATTTGGATTTGCTGTTTTATTTTATGCGCTTTTCAATCGTATGATTTAATTAAAAATTTTATTGAATTTGATGTTCGATCCGAAATTATTTACAATTTTTCTCAGCCACTTGAAGTTCCAGATATAGATTTCTTCTTTCCAATCGCCACGTTATTGAATTTCAGTGCGTACTATCAACGGCGTCCAACCGAACTGGTCTATTTGTGCAAAATTTTATTCAACAAACCAAATGTAACGATAAACTCGGTTCAAGAATTTGATCAGCATTGTTCCAATCTGAGTTTATTAGTAACTCAATCCACTTCATGGTTACCGGCAATGTTAACAGTTGGCGATGTTGAAGAGTTGACTCAAGATCCAAGGGAACTTATTGATGAAATTTACTCTTTCAATGACATTCGAAAAAATTTATTTGAGACAAAAGTTTGTACAAAAAACCGTTTTTTCAATGGAGTTGGTGTTTATGTTCGAATCTCTTGTCGCAATGGTTCCCTTCCATTAACAAGAGAAAACACAAGTGGCCTTGGTGGTAATAATTTTATCCTCGGTATTAAAAATCGCATCCAAAAACCTTTTTTATTTCGATTTGCATCTGGTGAGAGAATCATTGCAACGCAAGCCAGTCGATATGTGTTTGTTAACCCACCAAACAATAAATACTATACTATTATTTCGTACTTCAGTCGACAAGTGACGACCAGTTTACCTTGGCCATACAAAACTAAATGCCTTCATTACGATAAAGATAAAAGTTTGAATCAATGTATGAACAAGCATCTTCTTAATCTATCTAATCCAACATTATCTCTTGACGCTGTTATACAGTTTAATCAGCATCCCAAAAATACTCGATTCACAAATGGCTTACTAGATTCTACTGGTGCGTTCATGAACTTCTTAAACCAATGCAGTAAGCTTATTGATAAACCTGAATGTTATGAAGTTATTTATCATACAAGTGCTAAAATTTACATTGATCAAGAGTCTTCTGGTTCCAGCAGTACGTTTGCAGTCGATGTGCCAATTGAACCAGATGTGAACTTCATTGCACATGAGAAATTGACACTTATTGAACTTTTAGTTGCTTCATATAGTGTTTTGGGAGTCTATTTTGGTGTAACTGTTTATGATAAATTGAAATTAAGATTGCAAGATGTGAATAAATGCTTCACGAAGTCAGACAATGGGCAGAAACTTGGTCCAAAGAAACGAGCTTTTATAATTGTTGGTCCCAATAGAGAGGTACCTTTATATTATTAAATAATATTAATGCATTCCAGAATTTGTTTTTTATAATAATAATAAAAAAATACCATAATTACTTATTTCAAATTAAAAGTCATTTTGATGTGAACCAAATTTCATTATTGTATACGTGTGACGATCAATTAATATCAAAGACCAGATCTGATGAACAGTCAAGTTTATGGGCATGAATTTCAAATGATCAAGAAACGATTTGACTGTTCGAATTGGGTTTCTTATTTTCTAACTCTGTCTCTTTTCTCTTTTTAACGTTTCTCGAAATAAAAACTTTTTCAGACCAAAAGGTCGAATTCAGAACACTGTAGCTCAGGTCAAACATCTTAGGGCACTCTGGGCAGATTTAAAGGTACACTAAACTTTCCTCTACAACCTGACCTACTTTTCAAATCCCGACTTGTTGCGCCTTTTTATGACTAACGATAAGCGTATCGTAAGCATTTAAATAAATGATCACTTACCAAAATTAATGAAAAAGAAAGACTTTTAATTGGATAGAGGATCTCCATCGATCGGAAAATCGACCACCAACGTATCCAAAGGGCCGATTTCGAAAGCTAAAGGGACCCCGTCGGTCCCTGGTTTAAGAACTGAAGTCAATAAAAAATTGTTAGGTGGCTCTAACTCAAGTATTTATTTGTATTAATATTATATTTCAGCAAATCTGCGGACCATTTGGGGACCAAATCTGCGCTACGCTCAGAGCAGACTGAAAATTGATAAATTCATCTGAATGTCTGAAACAAACTATTATTCATATATTCTGGTTATTATTATATTTTGTTTTCGGTTTCACTAATAACTTATGAAGACTCGAAGCTCGAAGATATTTAATCATTGAATCAAATAAAGGATACGATTTATGGAGATGATTAAGTTTAGTCAATTCAAATGAAAGTCATTCCTTGTGAAGTGGACTTTTATGAAAAAACAACTCGATTCTAATCAATCAAAAGAAAATAATTTTACTGTCAATCTCAAAATGAATATTTATATAAATTTAATTGTTCATTGATTATCGAGGAGTCTTGCTCATTCAAAATAACAAATTGAAAATGGATAAAAATTGATTATATTATGTTCATTCATATTATTTTCAATTCTTGCTAAAGGTTGATTCCCACTCAAGTCGAGTTGAAAAAAATGTTGAACATCAAGTTTCTAAAAAATAAATCAAAGATTTGGATTCTCTGTTTTATTTTATGCGCTTATCAATCCATTTATTCAATCCACAATTTTATTCAATTTGATGTTCGATCCGAAATTATCTACAATTTTTCTCAGCCACTTGAAGTTCCAGATATAGATTTCTTCTTTTCAATGGTCACTGTATTCAATTTCAGTGCGTTTTATCACCGACGTCCAACTGAACTGGTTCATTGGTGTAAGATTTTATTCAACAAACCAAATGTAACGATAAACTCGGTTCAAGAATTTGATCAACATTGTTCCAATCTGAGTTTGTTGATAACTCAATCCAGTACGTGGTTACCAGCACTGTTAACAGTTGGCGATGTTGAAGAGTTGACTCAAGATCCGAGGGAACTTATTGATGAAATTTACTCTTTCAATGACATTCGAAAAAATTTGTTTGATACAAAAATATGCACGAAAAAACGTTTCCTCAATGGATACGGTCTTTTCGTTCGAATCTCTTGTCGCAATGGTTCCCTTCCATTTACAAGAGAAAACACAAGTGGTCTCGGTGGTAACAATTTCATCCTCGGTATCAAGAATCGAATCAAGTTCCCTTATACATTCCGATTCGCATCTGGTAATAGAAGCATTGGGAATCAAGGCAGTCAATATATTTTCATTGAACCACCGAAAAATAAATACTATACTGTTATCACTTACTTTACCCGACAAGTGACGACCAGTTTACCTTGGCCATACAAGACTAAATGCCTTCATTACGACAAGGATAAAACTATTACCGATTGTTTGAACAGTCATCTGCTTAACCTGTCTGACCCAGCAATATCTATCGACTCTGTTGTACCGTTTAAACATTATCCCAAAAATACTCGATTCACAAATGGCTATCTGGATTCTTCTGGTGTGTTTGTGAATCTTTTAAACAAATGCAATAAGCTGGCCGAGAATCCTGAATGTCGAGAAGTTGTTTATCGTACAAGTTTTAAAATTTATACTGATGAAGCGCCTGCTGTTGCTTCGTGTATGATGCTCGTCGATGTACCTACTGATCCAGACGTGAACTTCATTGCACATGAGAAATGGACACTGACTGAACTTTTAGTTGCTTTATATAGTGTTCTGGCAGTCTATTTTGGTGTCAATGTTTACGATAAATTGAAATCAAGATTGGAAGGTCTGAATAAATGCTTCAAGAAATCATGCAATCAGCAGCAAATTGTACCAAAAGAACGGGTTTTCATAATTGTACGTCCCAATAGGCACGTTCCTTCATACTAAAAATAATATTTCAGCATTTCTGGTTGGCTTCACTTTTGCTTTCAATGCAAAAAGTATAACTGTTACTCTTTGTTTCAATTTGTGTTTTAATAAAAAATGCCATAAATTATTTATTTACAATTGATTTTGTATTGTAGGGTGATGAACAGATTTGCATTCATTTGATCAGTTTGAATAAGATACAATGCGATAAAAAAATGATCAACTAAATTAACAAGTGGTTTACTGTTTAACAAAACCAGTGTTGATGGTGACTCGATAATTTAGGAAAGCAACTAAAATAATCAATGAGTGAACATCTTTGGGAATCAAGTCCATTCAGTATTTGTAATGGCTTTCAATTACAGATGTTTGTGCTGGCTAAATGTTGCATTGGATTGGTAGATCAATTCCTAGATCGATGCCACTCAGTGCCGATCGATCATGCTTGTTAATTGAATGGACCGCTACACCATGGAAACACAGTAAAAATATTATTCAAATGGGTAAAATTAAAGATTCTAGTTTGGCAGGTTGGGGTTTGCTGAGTGTTAGCCGTTCAGGCAATTGATACTGTTGCGTTGATTTAATCCAATTGCTTGACTTGTTCGAAAATTTTCAATGTACATTTTTTGAGTGCGAAACCAAAAAAAACAATGATTTGTACAAATGGATGATGAATGTTAACAATGGATTGTGTTGAATAGCAGGTGAAGATGGAATGAGATGAAAGAGTTGATGGTCTTTTCATGAGCATGATATACTAGATAGGAAATTGTTGACTAACAATGAGTTTTCCAATCCATTGTTCAACAATTTTAAGGTAGAGATTGATGAATTATTTCATTTGAGTCAGATTAACCACCATTTAATGAATTATCACAGGGTTTTAAGGTGCTCCAAATGATTACAGATGTTGAGAAATGTTCAGGTTGAATATTGCGTTGAAACATTTTGAAATGGTTAACCAACATTCAATTGATCAATGGATTAGGCAAGGGTAAAATTTGATATAAATCTCATTTTGAATAATTATTAATTTGGTCTCTTCTGATACAATTATAACCAGAAATACTCGTTGAATAAAAGCCTTCAGCCAATTTTATAATCCAACTTCTTAGCATTAGCAGCTAAGAAGATTAGAGCTTCTCTACTCTTTGATTAGCAGTCAACGCAGCACAACCTTACGTTCAAAATAAGCACTTGAATCACCTTTGTTTTAAGCTGAGCAACCATTATCTTATGTTTCAATTTTGATTGTTTTGGTTCAAAGATATGATTCTGATATTTCAAAATCTGATGGTCTGGAGCCACGAGCAGATTGATAACCTGAGTCAGTTGCTGGGTCAACATGGATTGTACCAATAGTCCTTGGTTCATCAGGCTCTTGAATTCGTACAGCTTTTTTCGTGTGTTTTGGTTCGCTTTCCTTCTTTTTCATTATTTCTTCCATTTGTTTACGTACTTCGTCAATTTGAGACTCTTTTTCAGCTATTTTGGCCTGTAAAGATTAAGTGAAGGTAAGTTGAAATTAATGACCATTCAAATTATTGCGCTCATTACTCATTTACCTGAAGTTCTTCATTTTCTAAGGTTAGCTTTTTCAACCTTTCTTCCTGTTCTTGAATTGTTAGTGTCTCATGGAAAGTTCCATTCATGTAGGACCCACCAAAGGAAAGATGGGAACCGCGCTTCCTAACCAGCTCAACTATTTTGGGTATAAATATCAGTGCCATGGAGATGAAACAGCAGAAGATTATAGTGAATGTTATGAAGGCGAAGTGAGCATCTACATGGTTAACTATAACAAGTGATACCGGGCCAGTAATCATACAAAGGATCTATACATAATAAAGGTTAACAAAAATGGAAGTTAAATTAGTCAAACCTTATTGGGTTAAGTATCCAACTCGTCGTATTGTCAATACTTACAACAACATTGTATATACTCATACCAACGAGTCTAGAATCATTGAGTCGCTTCAATTTAACACTTCGAGTTTCGTAGGCTAAAAAGAGGCCAAAAAGTAGAAGAAGGCCCTTATAACCGAAGAGAATGCAATACCAAACTAGATTGGCGTCACATCGTTCTAATCGCCGAACAATCTATATCGATTGATAGGAAAAGAGGTTAGTATTTATGAAAGATAATTAAGACACTAGTGACTCAAAATTTACCTTGATATTTTCATCATTTGGATCTACATCTTCTTGTTCCAGCTTTTCAGTTATCCGGATCATTGGGCTTTTGATAAACCAACTGGTCAAAATTGCGACATCAATCAAGCAGAATAAAGATATCATCAAGACTACCTGAGCATTCTCAACCTTTTGCTGTGTATTGAAAAACAAATATTATATTGAGTGTCTTCAATTTGGCGATTTCATCGGAGAGTCACTATTTACCTTTGATTTACTCGATTGCTCCAATTGAGTGGATAATCTGTATGCAAACCAGACCTTTGTGAACATGGCTCCGAAAAAGAGAGAGAAACTTATTGAAAGTAACACAGCTCGACTCTAAAAAATCAAGAATAAAAGAAAGGATTTAAAATTGGATATTTGGGTGATATACTTCATCATTAGGATTCAATTCAGCTTACATGACAGAGTTTGGTGAAATCTCTCGCATTAATCTTTTGACTGTCCAGGCCAAAAAGTATCACTGAGGATAAACAGCCGATACATCCTACCAACATTATATAATTGGATAATGGTTGTGACATTTGGATGTATCTAGAAATGTTTAAAATATTTAGAGTCGAAAAATTCAAGATACGCTGTTAGTCTGAACACTTACCGAAATTTTCTAAATTTGAAATTAAAGCAGATAAGTCCGATTGACCAGATAATTCCTATGGCGGCTATTGCGTTGAGGGTTACAAAAAAGGAGAGTGAAACTGTTTTCAGTTGTTCAACAATTACTGTTCGATCTTTTGGTGGTGATCCAGTTTCAAGCCATTGAGGTGCACTCGCCCAACTTAAATTATCATCTTGAGTATCATAATAGCCCAGCAAATTGTAATTACCATTGACCATTTGTTCAATTTGAGTTAAAGCTATACGATCACCTGAAATTTGAATGGAACAAATCGATTATTTCTTTTGGATAATCTGTACAATTATTCAATGCAATTTTACCTTCATCAGTGAATTTGACTTCACCCGATACTCCTAGAAAAAAAGTGTCTCGCAATGAATTTTGAATCTCTTGGCTAATCAATTTATTTTCATAATTGAAGCTTTCGATGGCGATCCCGCGTTTCTTAAGTTTGTGCATAGTCGCATTTAAAGCTAAGGCCACGGCCCAAATTGCATCGTAGGCTAACGGAGCTTCTTGGTAACCTGATCACCATTCAAAGTAAGATTAACATGAAATACAGTTAGACCATTTAAAAATATCCAAAGTCAAAATGATAAAACCCATCAATGAAAATAAACCCTTGCAATAAAGATAATGGAAAGTTACCTTCAGGTCTTACAGAAGTTCCTAAATTTTGGTTCAAACGTTGATGATATTTATCCAGCCATTGTTGGGCAGTTATACCAGCAACTGTTTGTTTATTGTCTCGATTCAAAATAATGGCTTCTGTCGTAAAATGGCCCTGGACCACTTTGAGCATCTCTTCTTTGGTACAATTGAGTCCTTTCACTGGTAAATACCAGTTATCTTCATACCAACCAAGAAGAAACCAAACATATTGTTTTCCGTAAAGATTTTGTTTATATGCTTCACACATGACTTTACGTGCTTCACCACCGTAAAATATGCCTACAATTATTCGTGCGTCTTGTCGAGCCAAGCTTTTGACGGCATCCGATGGATCAGAAAGGAATGTTACTCGAGTCAAAACTTCAATTCCAGCCTTTTTACATTGATACTCCAAATCTTTGGCAGTCTAAATTCGGGTTAAAAGATAAAGTGAAATAAAAGATTACTTTAGGATTTAATAATGTATCATGCAAATGCACCCCTGAAATGAAGGTTATGATATCTTACGGTGACAAAAACTTCTTCAGCTTCGAGAATTATTGCAATCCTTTGCCACTTGAATTCCTTGAAAAGCTTAACTCGAGTTGGATTGTGTATAGTTGCAGATGGATGTGTGCGGAAGAAGGTTGGGAAGCGACTTCGATTAGATAAAGCTGGAGATGAGGATCCATAACCAAAGACTACGAGATTGTACATTTTAGCTGTTTCAGCAATTGTTGAGCATACAATTGAACAACCACCCAGTATCATTATTTTAGTTGGTGGCTCATAGACGAGTTCATAAAGTAAAGCAGAGGCTAAACCAGAATCACACTGAATAAATGAAAAGAGACTGTAAACTGACTTGCATTCAACCTTTCATGTTACTCTTATTTCACTTACCTTACTATCGTTTGGAGTAAGGGAAAGATAATAACCCGGGAGTAAATCCGGTCTACTATTTACATCTTCCAGTGCCATTTCCACTGCTGGTTGACAACCTTGGCCTCCGAGCCAACCTCCAGTCCCAGTCATTGGAAATAAACCTCCAATATGAAGCTTGGTTAATGGCATTTCTGTTGTTGTTTCCAGAGATGTCGAGGAAGATTGATTAAATACAAATGGTTTGGGAAGCGCTTGAGTCGGTATTCTGGATGGTATGAAACACAAGGTTGGACCAACCATTTCAACAATTATTAAACCTAAAATATGAGTTATCACAATTGAAAACATTATGAATTGAACAAAAACAAGTAACAAAAAAAACAACCAGTCTACATCAAACCAGGAATCTAGTGGAGTTGAAATTTCATTGAACTCCCTGTTGAAAAAAATATCAAAACTACGCAAGACTTATGCAATTCTCTCTCTTTCTCTTCGATTCATTCTCTTTCTTTTTTCCAATGCTTTATCAAAGGATTTCCTCTTATCACTGAACCTGGATATTTCCTAAAATTTTTGCTGAAATGCTCTGTTAAGGTGAATTTCCAGGCTTGAACTATCTAAGAAAGAAATCCTTTTTTCTTTGACTCTTGACTTGTTCAAATGAGCATCAAGAGATTAAGTTAAAATGGCCACTTCAATTGTAGTTAATGTTTGGGAGATAATTCGAATCACTTGATTCTAACTGTAAGTCCGGAAACCCAGACTAAACATTTTTTTCAGCTCAAAAATGTTTTACTTTTTGTCACTTCAATTAATGAAGTAACTGACGGATGATCAATGAAATAATGATTGACTATTTTACTTGCAGAAAATAGATTGAATCAAGTTTAAGTAAGCCTAATAAGTTTGCCATTAATGAAATCATCTAAAAAATCATCAAAATCATTTATATAATATAGCGTCAGAAAAAAACAGCTGATGATTAATGAAGATTTCTCGAAGCGTAGCGAAGATGATTTTTGTTTGTTTCAACTGAAGATGATTAAAAATTTAATTTGCAGTATTAAATAGCAACATTCATCAATAACGGGTTTTGCTCACTTAAACACAAATTTTGTTTCATTACAGTCTATCAATAATTGCTCAAATTTCATCCGAGCATCGAGTTGTCAGTTGGATTACGGTTATATTGTTGTGTGCCACAATTGAACAAGTTGGACTCTTTCAAATTAATATGTTGAATCAAATTAGTTGATTAATATGAAAGCAACCGTCATTTTGGGCTCAGTGGAAATTTGTATTGTGATTATTCTGATTGTTTCAATTTTTGGTTCATCTGGAAGGCGTCCTGGAAGGATTCAATATCATAGACATGTGAGTTGATTATTTCCAATTTTATTGATAAGGTTGATTCTACCTCTTGTTTTATTGTTGTTTCAGGGTTATAATGGCGGAGATAGTTATGAATTCGGTTTCATTTCCTTTTCTAAAGTTAATCCACAAAGTCGCCATGAAGAAAGAGATGAATCTGGACATGTTAGAGGATATTATTCGTATAAAGATCCTTATGGGTTGATAAAATATGTTCAATATATGGCTTCGCCTGAAACAGGTTTCAGAATCACTAGAAGCTGTTTATTTGATCCAAACACAGGTAATTTGGTGCATCAAGTTAACAATCGAGTGACTAGGTTGAAACGTAAAAGGAAAGGGCCAGTCTGAGACAATTTGAATCATTTTTTAACTAGTTAGCTATCATTTCTCGATTAAGTACAAGTTGATGGAATGGTGATGGGCAAATATAATCATTTGTATCGACATTCAATGGAAAGCTTTTCGAATTTTCCTTGTAAAATAAGATTATGGTCATGATATTCATGATTTGAACATTTCTGCAAATAATTGAAAGCTGCACTGCTAAAGGTTTGTGTACTTTGTTTTATTTATAACTTGAATTGAACAGTTTTGTTTTTTATTGTGATGCTGTAATTTTGAAAACAATAAATTGATCATGAAGTTTTTCTGCTCCATTACTGTTAACTAATTGTTGGTCAATGAGCTTCAATCATGTCACAATAATAAGAGCACACTGCGGGTCAGTATTTTTTTATCATATGTAGTGAATAATCACAAGAGGAGTTACCACAGAAAGTGAAGAAAAGCGGAAATTGTATAGAGTTTGATATAACCATCAAATCAAGTAATTAAATCCTTTGCTTTTCGGTCAAGATCCAGTCCTAATATCCAGTCAACTCAGCGAAAGTTTGATCCATTTCATCACTGATAGCTTTGTATTTCTCCTTTTCATGGGCCCATTCATCTGAAAAGCCAAATAAATTTAAAATATTAGTAAACTCCTTAAACAATAGTATTGAAGTTTCGAAGCGATCAAAAGTAAACCAACCTTCAAGCCTATCTACATCCTTTTGTAATTTCATGACTGTTCGTTCGGCAAATTCAGCTCGAGCCTCAGCCTGAAAATGAAACGGTAAAGACAAAATTACTTGACTGTAAAGAGAAATGTTGTTTGGAATAAAAATACTCACCTCTTTGAGTTGAGCACTGATTATCCTGATTTGCTGTTCAAAAGCATCTTCTCTTTGCATTGCCTGTGTAAAAAAACAGAAAAAATGTAAAAATAAATAATTAAATAGCTATCCTTATTTAGCTATCAAGCAAATTGGCTCAACTTATTTCTTATTACATTACAATGTAGTGGATGGTTAAAGTTGCCATATTTTTAAAAATTGTCGACTTACCTTTTCTTCACTGACTTCCAATGATTTGACATTGTTCCCCACAACTTTAAGCTCCTCTTCCAACTCTAATATTTTACTGTAAATTGAAAATCAAGCACAAAATCAATAAAATTAATTAAATTAAAAGAAAATAAATAAACGTTAAACCTTTGTTGTTGTAAATTGAAGTACTCACAGTTCACCAGTTTGAGCTCTCTCTTCAGCTCTCTCCAAATCATCTTCAACTTGAGCTAATTTACGAGCAACCTTTTAAAAACAATAGGCATCAATTTGAAAAAATCCGTTATTATTCCGTTCTTAAGTAGCATATGTAATTGTTAGACAAATTAATATTTAAAATTATTTTTATATTTAAAATCAATAGTTTCAATATTATTTTCAAGTGACAAGCTAATATTTTTTGTGTTCCTTCCTCTACGATGAAAAGCACTCGCAGGATTGGGATCAAGCCATGAAAAGGTGAGAATAGTTGAAGCTACTCTAAGCGCAGCTACTGCGTTACTAATCTAAATCTCTAATGAATCATTGATATTTACATTTTTTTTTCGTCGATAGAACCAATTGACTGTTGAACATGATAATGGTTTAACCCTTTTCAACCCACTCGCTCTGAATATTTAGCAGAAACCTGAAAATGTCAATTGTTGAAAGACACAGGCAAAGTATCACATTAGAAGCTATCAATTCATTTTCATAATTGTGGCTTTGGAAAAGAAAGCTAAAAATTGGATAACTTTTATTCAACCAACACTCATCCAGTATAATCATTGCGATTCTCGGTTCATCTGAGCTAAATTAGTATGTAGTGTTAATGTTGACATGGATGATTGATTCTCTCCTTTTCCATTCGTTTCTTGGTCTCCCTGATAAAAATTGAACTGTTTCCAAGAAATCTGTTTATGCTGAAAATTTAACTGTTATCTTGCTGATTTTTATTCCTTGGAATATTCCTGATTACTCTCTTTGGAAATCAACTCACTAAGTCAATGGTGTTATTATTGGCCTAGAAAAAGTTGCCTCTTTCAATGGTATTTTTGGTGATTTTTACGTTTCAACAAATCCCTTTCTTATGCTTTTTTCCTTCTCTACAGACTCTATAGATCTCCAAAGCCATTCAGGATTCAGGAAAATCAAAGGCTTGACGGTCAAAGATACACTTTTTGAAAGATGACCTCTGGCTTAATCCAATCATTTTGTCAACCTGGATACACTTAAAGATAAGACAAAGTAAATACCTCATCATATTTACGATCAGCATCTTCAGCTGCATTCCTTGCTTCCTTCAATTGAGCCTCCAATTGTCTCATACGATCATTATCCGTTGCACTACGATGTTCCAACATTTTTCTTATTCTATTTTCAGTGGACAGATAAAGTGATAGACAAATGAATAGGATCAAATAATTGGCTCAATAACAGTTAGATTTATGGTTTGCCAGCTAAAAGCTAACCTTTCACTTTCATCGGCAGCAGCTGAAGCTTGTTCCATCTTGACGATAGCAACTTTGGTTTTCTCCTCGGATCTTTCCAAATCTTCCACTAATTGTTGAACTTTTTTGTTAAGAGCATTCATTTCAGCCTCAGCCTGAGAAAGAATTAATGATATTTTGATTAGAATTTATTTTTCTTTTTAGCTTTTCAATGTTTTCTTGAAAACACTTAGATACAGTTGAATAAGTTGATGAAAAATTGCTTCTGTAACTTGGCTCGAAAATCTTAACCGTTTAATACCAATTTAGTTAACCTGCTATTATTTAATCAGCTATTTAAGTGTTTTCACTCTCTTGTCATGATAACATCGATCATTGTTGACATTGATTTGATGTATCTTGTAGTTTACATTACAATCACCGTAAACAACAAACCCCTTAATCAACTATGTAAATACGATTTTCTTTGCTTACTTAACTTTTAATTCATCACTTTGATTTTAAATCAACATTTTCCTCTGTATCTAGTTTATTTTCATGAGATATTTTTGATTTTTTGAGAAATTTTTGAGACTCACATTAGCAAAAGCCTTTTCCTTTTCATCCAATTGTTCATTGACTCTTTCCAATTCCTGTTGAGATTCTGTCAATTCATTTTCAATTTGTTCCAACTTCTTCTGGAGATTCATTACTTCTTCATTTGCCTGTATAAGGAATGTTCAAAGATTAATCCGATTTCATTGGAATTTTTAACTTATCACAATTAGGAATCATTGATAAATGGTCAAAAAACAATGGAGGAGCAACATTATCACAATGGATTCACTTGGATGGATGGTAAATTACATCGACCCCAGGATTAATGTTACCGAATAAACTTCCATGGGATTCACCAAGGCAATGATCCAAAGATTGATTATCTGATAATGGTCTTATCAATCTTACCTTGTCAACCCGAAGATTAGCATCACGAAGCTGGTTTTCGGCAGCTTCAGCCCGGTCCATTGCATTGTCCTTTTCAATTTTAAGGGCTTGCATTTTCTTCTTAATGGCATCCATTTTGATTTCTTATTGGTACTTTGCAACGGTCAAATCAAACTGGAAACTGGTGAAATGTATAACAAGACACAAAACAAAAAAAATAATCTCACAATATTTCACCCAAAATATTTGAGTGGAAACAATTTTATGGAAGAAAGTGAAAAAAGTGACAATCAAAGATTTAAAGCAAGGCGTTTAAGGTAAGGCTCAATAACTGAAGAGCGAAATGTTTTTTTCTCACTTTTTTCAGATTCTTCAGCCAAAAAATTTACTATTTGGTTGACACCGATGGTTTTAAAAGTAATAGGCAAAGAGTACAGGCGCTAGCAGACAACATGAGATGAAGAGAAGAGAAGAGAGAAATAGAAAGAAAAGAAAGAGAAAAAGTCATAGATTACATGCGAGTATTTCGTTCGCTAAAAGTGACTTCTCTTTCTATTCCCTGTTTCTCTCTTGTCTTACTCTTCTTACATTTCTTCATCTCTCTCTCCTCCTACTATTTACAAGCCTGATCTTCATCTTCTCACCTATCTTTCTCTTCTTATTTTCTTAGGTTTATTGGATAAATCGAGCGACTCGCCATTATCCTAATCATAAACATCATCATCATTCTCATCACCACCATCATGCAACTCTCAAGGCTTGGTTAACTTTTTCCTCCAAGAGGCGTGTTGATTGAATGATTTTTTTTCCTCACAACTCGAACCATATAAGTTTAAGAGTCGAAGATGAACATAAACTTGTTCATAGATACCAATAGATACCAAAAAATCTAAAAGTGGTTCTTCTAGTTACTCTCCCTTTGAACTCAATTGATTTCAATCTGCCTCTCGTCCAACCTCTTACCGTCTGTTATCTCTGTGGAAAAGGCAAAACTCATCAATCAGGAGTTTCAATTTTCACTTGGAAAATCAGTATTTTTTGGGCGAATATTGGAAATATTCCTTTGAAATTGCTTCCTTCTTACTAATCTACAAAGGATTCCTGGTGCACCAACTTTACCTGAACCAGATTCCACATTGTTTACTGTAAACAATGAGATACAAGCTTTTGTAATTTTTGTAATTACTTTGATATCATTACATCATTACATCATTACATCTTTACATCTTTACTGTCTTGTACATGTAATAGTGAAAACTGCATCAAATGGAAGCAAGTTGGTTAATTTTGGAAGCTAAATTTAGATCGAGGAAAGGCGCAAAATTTTCTTACCCAACACCATCAATTGTGAAGGAAAGGCAAAATCACAGGAAATATGGATCTCACAATGTTTAAATAACATTTTCCGCTATTTTTGGTCCTCAAATGATCTTTTTTTCACCTTATTAAATTTACCGAGTTCACATATTGTACAGTTTAAAGAGACGACCTTTAATTTAGTTTTTTTTTATGGTTAAAGAATGGTAGACATTGTTAATTTTGATAGTTTGTATTTTTTCGCCTTCAATCCTCGCGATTTATAATCAAAGAGACCTTTAGTCTCATCAGTTACTAATTACATAATCCATGTGTTTTCATTGTTGGTGAATGAGTTTACGTTTTTACACTCACTGAACAGTTTGTCAATGCAAAATCAAGTGAATTGCCAAAAATTTATCCAGACTTCTATATCTTTCAAATAATCTGTAATTTGATCGCTGTCGATGTGATTGTTAACAATTGAATGATATTGACAAAATACAGATTGTTAACTGATTAGCTGGATTATTTTGACATGTTAATTCCCAGCCAATTTACTTGATGTATTATGATTTTCAGTTAACCCATTGTTATTATTATACAATTTGCAACCTACAGTCTAACCGTCAAGTTAAATTTAAATCTTTAAATCAATCTAACAATTTGAAAATTGCGAACTTTTTGATCAACATAAAATTGTCTCTTTAGAGAGCTACAGATTTTGTTATAGTGAACTATTGATATTTATAAATATCATAATTTGATTGCTATTGATCGTATAGACTAGTTGAATTATGATTAAATCGATGCAAAAATCGGGCTCAAATGTCACTGGTTCACCCAGTCAATTCACATGAATATCAGTCAGTTTTTTCAGTCGTTGTTTAATTGTTTCCATTTTTGTAAGGAAACATCTCGATTCTAATCAATCAAAACTTTTATTGTTAATCTTAAAATGGATAATGTCCATTGTTGAAATGAATAGATAACAAATGTCCATTTATTATCGAGAAATCTTGCCTATTCAAAATAACAAATTGAAAATGCATAAAAATTGATTATATTATGTTCATATTTCAATTTTTGGAAAAAGGTTTATTCACAATCAAGTCAAGTCGAGAAAAATGAAGTTCAAGTTTCTAAAAGGTAGACCAAAAATTTGGATTTGCTGTTTTATTTTATGCGCTCTTCAATCGTATGATTTAATTAAAAATTTTATTGAATTTGATGTTCGATCCGAAATTATTTACAATTTTTCTGAGCCAATTGAAGTTCCAGATATGGATTTCTTCTTTCCAATAGTTACTTTATTGAATTTCAGTGCGTTTTATCACCGGCGTCCAACTGAACTGGTTTATTGGTGTAAGACTTTATTCAACAAACCAAATGTAACGATAAACTCGGTTCAAGAATTTGATCAGCATTGTTCCAATCTGAGTTTGTTGATAACTCAATCCAGTACATGGTTACCAGCACTGTTAACAGTTGGCGATGTTGAAGAGTTGACTCAAGATCCAAGAGAAGTAATTGATGGAATCACCAACATGGAAGGCACTCCATATGAAATGTTTAGTAGAAAAATTTGCACAAAAAAACGTTTTCTTTGTGGATTTGGCGTTTTCGTTCGAATCTCTTGTCGCAATGGTTCCCTTCCATTAACAAGCGAAAAAGGTGGTCTTGGTGGAAATAATTATATCCTCACTATTCAGCATCGGATTGATCAAACTTTTGGATTTCGATTTGCATCTCATAAGAGGAACATAAAAAGTAAAGCGAGTGAATATTTGTTTATTGAGCCGTCTAAAGATCATTTTTATTCTGTTTTTGCTTACTTCAATCGACAAGTCACAACCAGCTTACCTTGGCCATACAAAACTAAATGCATTAATTACAATAAGGATAAAACTATGGCCGAATGTTTGAACAGTCATCTTCTTAATCTGTCTAAGCCAACAATCTCTCTTGACTCTGTTATACCGTTTAAATATTATCCCAGAAATACTCGATTCACAAATGGATTTTTGGAGTCTTCTGGTCTGTTCATGGAATTTTTAGGCCAATGCACCAAGCTTGTTGAGAAACCTGAATGTCGTGAAGTTGCTTATCATACAAATGCTAAAATTTACGTTGATTCAGCGCCTGCTGCTGGTTCAAGTACGATGAGTACGATGATAGTCGATAAACCAATTGATCCTGATTTGCATGTTATAGCACATGAAAAATGGACATTCGTTGAATTTTTAGTTTCTTTGTATAGTATTCTGGCAATATACTTTGGTGTTAATGTTTTCTTTAAACTGAAACAAAGATTGACAACTCTGAATAAATGCTTCGACAAATCACACAATGATCAGAAAAATGGTCCAAAGAAACGAGCTTTTATAATTGTTGATCCCAATAGAACTTTTCCCTTATATTATTAGAGAATTGGAAAGACACATTATTATTATTACAAGTGAGTAAACTGTTTTCATCCAATATTTTAAGTAATAACAGCAAAAAAGTCATTTTCAAAGGCACAAATAAAAAACTCTTAAGCACAACCTTTGCTAATTTCAGTATACAGCTGGAGTTTCATGATGAAAAGAGTGGTTTTCCTGAAAATAATGAAGTTAGCCGGTTACCTAAGTATTTACATACCATTTCAATTATGCTTTCACTTTAAACAATCAATAGATCTGTAAACTTCACAAATTAATTGACTCTAATCATAGATATAAGAAATTTGTAAACAGACTTGAATTTATCAAATAAAATCATCGATATATCGAAAACATGTTTTGTTTACGTTTAGCTTGGCAAAAATTGTTTTTGTGTTTCACTTTCGTCTCTGATAAACATGTTTTCAATGATTTAGAGATAATTTGTCTGGAATCGAAAACACGGAATGAAATAAAAGTTAAAAATATAAAATTTGAGTTTTTAATACTTCTCAGAAATAAACAAAAAATAATTGACTAAAAACCTCGACTTTTTTGAGCCGCCACAAATTCTGGATAATCAATAAAACCATCCATATTACGGTCATCAATTTGTAAAATAGGATCAATCATGTTGGACAATTCAGCATCCGTAAAAATTTTTGTTGTACCACCGGGTGGTGCATTTTGGCCAAGATGTTTGTGTTCCTCAACTATGGAAGAGATTAAAGAATTAATTAGTTGTATTTACATTTCAATGAGTTTGAATAAAAGATATTTCAGATATAAAATAGCAGTAGACATTAACTTTTGTATAAAAAAAGTCAAGTTGTTTCGCTGCAGATGAAACTTACCATGCCAATGAATCAGAGATTTAATCAATTCACTGCCATCCAGCTTGTTGTTGTTATCACTGTCATGCATTTTGAAATAATGAAATTGCAATTCCTCCTCAGACATTTTACCTAAATCTGGATCACCAATGATTCCTCCTAAATGTTCTTTGATGTGTTCACGGTCTTGTATTCTAGCTTTATCGTGCAATAAATTTTGACCTGGTTGTGCTGGTTGACCATAATGCTGAGGTTGTGCTGGTGGCTGACCGGGTTGACCATATGGAACGGCTTGTTGTGCGTGTTGATGGGAAGCTCCTTGGTATTGGGTGAAGACGGGTGTCATAAATAATTGGAAAACACTTAATATAAGACACCCGGAGGCAGTAAAGTCGCTTTGAAACATCTTCAAGTGTATGTGAAACTTAAGTGTAAATAAACCTGTAGACAAACGAATCAAGAGTGACAAGAATGAAATATCGAATTAAAGGCAATGAATTACGGCGTTATTTGAACAAAATTAATGTAAATTAAGATTAAAATTTACTCACCTTCAAATATATCAGCTGTTAATTTTGGTTAATTTAACAGTTGAAAACATGAATCACAGAATATTTAACTCATGATTGCGTGGCTTAAATTTTTACCGATGACATTCACTGCCATCTATGTTCTCTCAGTAGACTTAAATCAAAGTTTTTGGTTGGACAATTAAAATAAAGTGACTTCTGGTTTGTAATTACATTGACTTTCAGGTTTCAAAAATTAGAATTGATTTTCAATCAGCTTTAAGAAGCGATTCCGAGATATTTAATGTTCAAATTCAAGTTACAATGATTGATGTACTTTGCATGAAACATATGTCAAAATTACGCTTTCAAGTTATTGAAAAAACTAACAATTTGTGAGTTGATATTGAATATAATTGAATTAATCAACCTAACCCTAAGCATACAAACAAAGAAAATGCTAGTCAACAGTTCCTTTATAAAGATTTATGCACAAAATTAAAGTTACTTTCATTTCTACCTTAAAGTTGAACTTTCTGTGTGACAATTATTCACTCCACCAATTAAATAAAACCATTCCAATATAATTTTCCACATAATTTCCCGTGTGATGTAAGAAGTAAGAATTTCATTTAATAGATTCTGATAACTATTGTAATGATTTCAATCATTTGATAACTAACTTTCAATCCATTCATATTAGATTCAAAAATAGTAAACAAAACCTTCAAGAATTAAAACTGTAGATATATCGAAATGATATCTCGATATCGATATTTGTTTGTTTACGTTTAGTTTAGCTTAAATTCAATTTTTGCTAAATGTCAATCTTGTATTCATCTTGAAATTAATTTGACTGTAGCTCAATTTAATTTCATTCCATTATTTACGATATAGTTTTTTCATTAAGTAGACTTGATTTGTTTTGCAACTTGATCTATTATATCATAATGTGAGTACTTTCATTTTTGTCATTTGTATCTTTAATTTTACTTGTACATATGCATTTGTTGTTGCAGTGGTTTAATTTCAAACAAATCTTTCTGAATGTATTTAATTTTTAATTCCATATTTCATCATGTCTTATTTTATTTGCAGAACTATTCTATCTCCACGATTGCTCCAACGCTGCTAGAAAATCATGATTTCACTGAGTGAACTTATAGCAGCTGATCCTAGTCTTAAGCCGGCTAATCAATACGAATTGGAAGTTATTCAAATGATATCCGCTGATCAAAAAATGTTTCGTTTGTACAAAGATCCTAAGCTATTCGATAAAATTAAAAAGGTTGTTCCTCTAACTGAATTGACTAACAAATGTGCCCAAAGGCTGTTGCAACTTAAAGCTCAGTCAGGAAATTCCGTGGATGGGAACAGTCAACAGCAATTAGAAAGTCGTGATGTTTTTTTTCTCCTTCTGTTAGAATGGTTTAAAAAGGAATTTTTCACTTGGTTCGATTGTGCATATTGTAAAGAGTGTCAAAAACAAATGAAACTATTCGGTCGAAGTCCTCCAACTCAAGAAGAGACACTTTGGGATGCCGCTAATGTTGAAATTTATCGGTGTGACAGTTGCTTAGCCATTGAAAGATTTCCCCGTTATAACCACCCAATGAAGTTATTAGAGACCCGTAAAGGTAAGCATGCCATAACTATTTAACGAAAATAGCATGATTAATTTTCCTATTCCTTACATTTAAACATTAGGTCGATGTGGAGAATGGCGAAACTGTTTCTCAGCAATTTGTGTCGCTTTTAATTATGAAATACGTTTGGTACATGACTTTCAAGACCATGTTTGGAATGAAGTGTACTTTGAATCACAGAAAAGATGGATTCATTGTGACTGTTGTGAGAATGCCTTCGATACTCCATTGATGTATGAAGCTGGATGGGGAAAGAAATTTGTTTATTGTATTGGTACCTCTGAATTTGAAAGTCAGGATATTACTATGAGATACATTCATGACTATCACGAACTGATAGAAAGAAGAAAAGGTCGATGTCGTCCAGACTGGCTTAATCGTTATCTTCTTTACGTTTCATTTCGCCTTCAACGTAACTGTGATCCAACTCTAAAATCCAAATTTCTTGACCGTCGTTTAGCAGAAATTTCTTCCCTCGTATTTATCCCTGGAATCGAGAAACAAGTGAAAGAAAGTGAAAAGCAAGGGCGCTCTTCTGGATCCATTGATTGGCGCGTTGCTCGTGGTGAATGTTCATCTACTCAAACCAAGATAAAGAATTTTATCATTAAATTTAATGACAATACAAAGGATGGAAAATATCGTTTTACTTACCATTCTGTTTCTGATAAATATTTTATCAATGATTTTCAGTTAAATGGCTGGGAAAGCGCAGTTTTTAATTTTGATAATATATTTAAAAAGGTTGAAAAGGACTGGAACATGATTTACCTTTCTCGCCAAGAAAATAGTGATTGCTCCAAAAAAGGAACTTTAACCTACAAATTTGATGTTCGATTCAACTGGACAGCAATGATAATTAAAATAAACACAAAAGTTTACGATACTGGCCGAGTATCTATTTTATTAACAAGTGAACCTGAATTTTTAAACAAAGAAATAGATCCAGATAGTGTTAATGGATTGAAAAAATCTTGTCTAAAAAAAGATGTTGACTACATAATAATGACCATGACTTTATCAGGTGGCTCTGGAAACATTGGATGGCAGCAAGCTCAACTGTTCCGTCAATCAACTTTGGCTGCTGCAACCGATTATTCATTAGATGTAATTTTCACCAAAGATGAAGAAGCTACCTAGCCTTGGAACAATTCAATTTAATTTGAAATACAATTTTTAAAGATATTTTTCAAGATATTACAATCATCAGACTCTCCGAATATTTCTCGAACAAAATTATTGACTTTTTTATGTGTATTTTATCCCAGAAATTTAATTTAAATCAATGTTATTGGATGTCTGAACAAGTCAACTTGAATTTATAAATAAAATTTGGTTTGTGATGAACGTTTTTTTAAAAAACAGATCAAGACTTTACAAAAATTTCACTCGCAATTTAAAAGCTTTTAACAAAATCTCTATTTGATACTAAATTTCATTCAACGTTTAAGTTATCTACTTAGCGATTAAATTAAATTACCAAATGCTGTAGTCTTGAATTATTTAGATGAAAGCTAAAAGCCTAAGATAAATGGAAACAGAAAATCTAGAAAACTTCTCAAGCAAATCCGATCAATAGTAGTTAGAAACATCTCATGATATGAATTGCTTCCCTCTACAATGGTAATGATAAAAACGCTCAAGTTTGGAGTAAAAGAAGAAAATTAATTTCTTTGAATATAAAGATATAAAGATGATTATTATGATGTTAAAGAATGAAAATTTGTTTGTGAATATGATTTATCAAATCAATAGACAACAAATGATCATTAACCGAGAAAAAAAAACTGGATAAAAAGCAACTCTTGTGAGTTGAAGATGGGAATGAGGAACAATGAAATGAACTTAGATTATGATCATGTTCAAATCTTGTCTTCCTAAATGAATGACAAAAGTGTCTCAGGAAAAACAGAAAAAAAGGAGAAATTCAACTTGAAACAGAATCCATGATTATCATTAAACGAGAGACGGATGAAAGAATCCATTTTGCTGAAGATTCAATTAGATTACAGTTTTATTGATTAGCAGCATTTCATGTTATAGCTTGAGATTTGATCTGTTTTTGTTTCTGTATTTGTCACAATTTGCTAACTCAATTCATGTGTAAACATTAATCAACTTTAACCAATAAATGTTAATGCATTGGATTGAGTTAACTTGGCCGATTCAGCCTTTAATATTATTTTAAAGAGTCAATCTTTCAACCTTTTTTGCATTACCACTTATTATGATTAAATCATCACCATCTGAATTTCAGTCCATCCGACTCTTCATTTCTCAAGCTTTCATGATTATCTCTTGAAATTTACAAATAACACGATATTTGAAAGATAATAATTCTAATGGATTATCGTGTCCAATTTCATTGTTATCTTCCTTCCAAAACTATTACAATAATTGAAACAATTTTAGACTCAAATTTAGTTTAGAGTTTCCATATTTGATATTATCTACCATTTAGATTGGACTTAAGTTATGAAAACAGTTTGATAGGAATAGACTGAAATCTGGTTTAATTATGTTGGGTGAAGATTAATTTACCTCAGATTGATGTGAACTTTGTTGATATTTTAATCAATCATAATGGCTTTGCTTTTATGTGTCAATATATCAAATGATGCTTTCATCGGACAATCAACGTTCATTTAGTGTCATTTGATAATCACAGCAGCAGGGTTGGTATACTGAAATGATAATTAAACAAAATTGACATTTCTGATTTATTTGCTGCCTTTTTATGCTGATCATCTTTTACCATTAAAGGTTGACAAGATGAAATTGGTCAACCATTTAACTAGAAAGGCTGAACAGTAAAAATAAAAGATCAATGACAATCTAATCAATAAAATACCAAGAGATGGTTAAAAGGGTAAAAGAAATGATGATGATGTGAGGAGAAGAGGAAGAAAAAATGATTTGAGTCACTTTATTCCCAAAAAGGTCTAATTTAGCAACATCTAGTTAAACATGCGCTGGGTTGTCTTGATTGCGAACAATCATTTGCCTCTATTTTGGTGAGATTCACTCGTTACTAGATAACAGCTATTCAAATCTTCAAGATAATCAAATTGGACGCAAGTTAAATTGGCTTTTAATCATCAACCAACTGATCCAACTCAATTTCATTCTTGTTCTGCCTGGTGCATTCAACTTTTTCAGTTTGTCTTTTCATTTTCTTTTAACTTTTTTATCCTTCCAACATCAAATTAGTTGTTAAATTAGCCTTTACTCATCAATCGTTGACAATTTTTACCAACTTTAACTGTCAAAGTTTAATCTTGGTTCCATCAATCTCCTGATAAACTTTTAAATTGTGAAAAAAAATCTTATCGTCCAGACATGATAGTTCATTGTGATGAAGTTTCAAAGGAATTATCTGTGATTTTTTAAAAATTCATTTTAAGATTCACTTTCTTTTGATCATCGACTTAATTTTCTGCTAGTCGCGCTTTTAATCAACGGTCCCTCTACACGTGATTCACTTGTTTTACAGTTAAAGTTGAAACATTTTATAAACTGTTATATCAAAGAGTAGCTATTCTTTGATTGTTATGGTGAATGAAGATAATCATTTTTTGGAAGCTAAAGAAATCGATTCTAAAGTGTTTTTAGAGCCAGTTGATGAAAAAATTTTAAACGAGAATGAACCTAATAATTGTATACCCGTTAGAAAGCAGCGAAAGAAGAAGAAGAAGAAGAAAGGTTTGTTTAACAATTTTTAATTTTATTTTGATATTCATAATGTGTTTTTCATTCCCATCTCTTCGTATTTTTTAAAGGGATTGGAACTGGAACTGACGAGTTGGGTTCATTATTACAGAGCAATGAAAAGGTTGGAAGCCATGAAAGTGACAAATCTCAAGAAGGTTACGCGCCAAAACCAGCAACGGATTGTGTGATAAAGAAAAGGAATAAAAAACGAAAGAAAAAAACTTCAAGTGATGTTAAGATTGAAGAAAAAGAATCAACTTCTGTTGAAAATGATAAAACCGTTCCATTGTTCATTCCTGTTAAGCAGCTTTTCTCCGATTCAGACTATCCCATAGGTGAAATTATGGAATATCCTAAAGTTGAACTTGACAGGTGAGAAATAGTTTCTTATTGAATTGGTTCATGTATTTTATGATTGTTTCTTTGTTCCCTTCATCTAGTCGCACTGCCATTAACCGAACAAGTAATGCTGAAAAGAAGGCCTTGGACTCTGCTAATATCGATATGTACAAAGAATTAAGACAAGCTGCTGAAGCTCATCGTCAAACTCGAAAATTTATGCAAAAATTCATAAAACCAGGAATGAAGATGATTTATATTTGGTAATTCACCAGATTGTTCAGCTCTTTAAAGACTTTTATTTTGGTTATTTTTTTACATTAAGCATGTTTGGTATTATATTTTCAAGCATTTTATCTAGAAATTTTGAGCTAATTGTTTTTACTTTTCTGTTTGGGTTTAGTGAAATTTTGGAAGATATTGCTCGTAAATTGATTGATGAAAAAGGCTTGGAGGCCGGACTTGCTTTTCCGACAGGCTGTTCATTAAATAATTGTGCTGCTCATTATACACCAAATAGTGGAGATAATACCGTTTTTGAATACGACGATGTTTGCAAAATTGATATTGGAACTCATATAAATGGTCGAATAATTGATTCCGCTTTTACGATGACATTTAATTCAAAGTATGACAAACTTTTGGAGGCTGTTCGTGAAGCAACCAATACTGGTATCAAAGCAGCTGGTATTGATGTACGACTCTGTGATATTGGTGAACAAATTCAAGAAGTTATGGAATCATATGAGGTTGAAATCGATGGGAAAACTTACCAAGGTAGGAACGCTGTTATGTTTAAACGCTTGTTAGCTTTCAACCAAGAAATCTTTTTTCTCGCTTCAGTAAAACCGATTCGTAATTTAAGTGGTCATTCAATACACCCTTATCGAGTTCATGCTGACAAAAATGTTCCAATCACGAAAAATGCTGATCAAACAAGGATGGAGGTGATAATTTTCTCATTAACAATCGCTTTGATTTATCTAACTTTAATTTTTCTGTTCTAAAGGAAGGTGAAATCTATGCAATTGAAACTTTTGGTAGCACTGGACGTGGTTATGCTGTGGCTACTGCTGATCAAGAGTTTTCTCATTATATGAAAAATTACGAAACTGTCAATGTTCCAATGAGGTTTGTATCGTCATATTAAGTGCCACAAGTCTATTTCTGGTGCTAATTTTTTCTATTTTGTTGTATATTTTCAGATCAACAAAGTCCAAGCAATTGCTAAACGTAATCAACCAAAATTTTGGCACATTAGCTTTTTGCCGTCGCTGGTTAGACAGGCTGGGCCAGAGCAAATACCTTCTTTCTCTCAATGATTTATGCCAAAAAGGAATCGTTTCACCATACCCTGCATTATTTGATATAAAGAAGAGTTATTCAGCTCAATATGAGCATACAATAATTTTAAGACCAACCTGTAAGGAAGTTGTTAGCCGGGGCGATGACTATTGATCTACACTTTCATCTTTTTTTGTCAAAGATTGACTCTAGTTTTGTTTATCAATCTTTTAGATTTTCAAAAAATTTAGTAAAATACAAAATACTTTGATTATCGAAGCTAATTAAATTCATTCATATTATGATAGATAAAATTATTGTAAGATTACTCAATAAAAATTTGAATTTTTTCTTATAATCTTGATGTGTCTAACAATTACCGTAAAATTGAAAACTGGCAAAAAAACAAGAAACAAGATGCTTCAATCGATTAATATTTGAAGAGCTAATGTGACATTAGTAATGTCAATGTAAAATTCATCTGATGTTCAAAAACACCAAGTTGTTTGTTTAATTTGCATTCACAATTAATGAGTATGTAACGGTACAAGAAGAGATAAAATTAATGATTGAATTATTGAAACATTCAGTTCAGGTACTACATTTGCGCGATTTACATGTCTTGATATAATTTTACTGCACACCATTATTTATATAATTGAGTTAGACCAAAAAATGAGGAAATAAATTATTAACATTTTACACTTACTGTTACAGTAAAAAGAGCAAATGTTAAATGTCAACAAATAATGCTTGACGAGGAGGAGATATCTGTGTTGGATCTGATAGGATCTGATATTCAACATATGTTCTCAGTTGTAAATTACAACTTGTAATCCGTAATTGTTTTTAAACTTTAATGGTGCTGGTAAATGATAATAAATCAATTATAAAGGATTTAAGAACAATCGACATACCTTTGACTTGTGTTATATCTGTTTTCGTCTTACATCTTCACAATTTATAAAAATATCTTAAGATGTCCGTTTTAGAGAAAGATCTTCGTCGACTACAGTATAACAAACTAACACCAAGACCTATTGGATTACCAACTGGCAGCTCTAATCGTTCTGGAGGTTCTCGTTATAAAAGAGATTTTAGTCCCATTCTGTATAAAGATTATTTTGATTGCTTTAAAACAATCAAATTACCCGATTCGGATGACACTTTCAGGGTTTATTTGTCCGGATTTCAAGTCGAGCCATCAAATTCATTGGTTTTGGTACTTCTTCATGGAGGTGGTTATTCCGGTTTGACTTGGTCTTTATTCACAAAACATATTAGAGAATTGTGTGTGTGTCGTGTAATTGCTATTGATCTCCGAGGACATGGAGGATCTTTGAGCCAAAATGAAAGTGATTTATCAGTATCCACTTTAACTAGTGATATTGGAAAAGTGTGTAAAGGTAAGCTAAATGCAAGTTGTCATGTAAAAAAATGTTGATACAATTTTCTATTCCTAAATTTACAGCTGTTTTAGATGAAAAAAATGAAGACATTGAACTACCACCAATCGTGATTATCGGCCATAGTATGGGGGGTGCTCTTGCAGTACATTGTGCACATCAATTGCAGGAAATACTGCCATCAATTATGGGTATTATTGTCATTGATGTAGTCGAAGGAACAGCTTTAGATGCTTTACAATCGATGCAATCTTTATTAAAAGGTCGCCCAAAATCATTCCAAAATCTAGAAAATGCTATTGAATGGTGGTAAGTACGAATCTATCAGTTCATCTTCCCTTAATTTTTTTAATCGAAACATTTATCCATTTCTTAATAGTCTAAAAAGTGGCCAAACACGTAATTTGGAGTCAGCTCGAGTATCAATGCCTGGTCAGCTAACAAAGTAAGTATTGTTACTCATTTAGAAACTTCTGATTATTAATAAATTTATTTATTTAACAATTATTAGTTCACTCACTGGTTCACCAGCTACTGATGATATAACCGAACATACGACACATGACACCTCTGGTGATAGTAAAGAAGACGAAGCTGACAAAAGTACTTGTGGGCGAAGACTGTTTGACTCTAGTGATCAAATACCAGAAGAAAACGAAAGTAACGATGAAGAAGAGACCGAAACAAGTCAATCAACTACGACAGCAAATCTAACACCAAGAGATGAACACGAAGAACAAGAAACGCCAAAGTCTCCTGAAAGTGATGATAGACAGAAACCAGAGTATGTATGGCGGATAAATTTATCTAAAACAGAGTCATATTGGAAAGGATGGTTTCAAGGTTTATCTGAACTTTTCCTAAATGCTCCAGTTCATGGCAAAATGTTATTACTTGCCGGAATTGATAATCTTGACAGACAGTTGACAATTGGTCAGATGCAAGGTTTGTTAATAATTTATTCACAATATAACAGAAATTCACTTACTAAAATTGTATAAATTTACACAACGTTCAATTTCTAGGCAAATTTCAACTTCAAGTTTTACCGCAATGTGGTCATGCTGTTCATGAAGATGTGCCAGAAAAGGTTTGTAATAATTATCAGATCAAAGTTAGGTTACTATTCAAAAATATGGAATTATTAATTTCTTGTTTTCTATTCACTTACAGGTTGCTGATACAATTGCTACTTTCCTTGTGAGGAATAGATTTACGGAAGCAATCAAAGAATTCGGACGTCCTTTTCCATCATGTTAAAAGACTATTAACATCCATTATGTTATCATTGTATCATTACGTTATCCTTGTGCTAATTAAATCGTCCCAAAAGTGTGATTAAACATAACTCTGAAATTGTTCGTACAATCAATTTTTTTATTTGAAAATAAGTTACAAATCAGTATTAAATAACATTCTCAGTTTGTTCGCACAATTATGGGGCTTATTAAAGCTTAAAAAATTGTAATAGCATTCATAGATGCTATAATAACAATTAAAGACTCATAAAACGTTTTATTACTTTATTACTATATGTATTAGTTTGAGAAAGGAATGAGAATTATTGCCTCAGAACAAAATCAGGATATCAAAAAATAAATTGGCAGTCCATGTTCATCTTGATCATCAGAAATTTTGTTTTAAGTTTAAGATCTTGGAAATGATTCACAGGATTATAATCTCTTTGAGCACCAACTATTAAAACCTTTTTCTCTTGTAGAAACTTTATGGCGTGGAACATTGGTAAATCTTTGGTCCGATTCGTTGTTTAAAACGTAATTAGCCAAATAGTTTGACTTGTAGCTATTTCTTTTGTCGTATTTGCGATTTTCACCGCGAGAATCACCACGAGAATCACTATCTTGAATAGAGTTGTTATGAAAAAGCCTGACTAATTCTTTTAGATGAACCTTTTCAATTTCCTTTTTCTTCCTCATGGTTCTAAATTCGGAAAGATAAGGGACTTTGCTACCCAATTTTTCGATGTCTCTCATGATATCACGGTGGTATTTGACTCCTAAAGTTTCAATGTTGACGAATAGCTGAGCCAAAGTAGTTAATTTTTCGGCTGCAAATTTCTCACTGTGGGCCTTGATAAAACCTTCTCTCAGAAGCCAATGGTCCTTCAACTCGCATGGTTTCCTACGGAGAATGGTCTTTTCGGTCATTTTAACACAAAAAAATAGTTAAAAGTAATTTAGACTAGAATAAAAAGAGATCAAAAGTTGTCATACGATAGAGACGTAGCAGTTACATAAGTGTGGTAAGTAACAGAAGTTAACAGTTAACTCACCCCCAATTGTTTGTTAGCGGTTGCTTGATGGTTACAATTTAAAGCGCCAAGATTTGAAAATTAAAAAACGAAATTTTATAAAGATTGAATAAAGAACTTTTATTTACCTTTCAAAATGGCCAATTAGAGCAACCAAGATCGGTAACGGCTGCGACAAGAGGTAGTTAAAAACTACATGAGTTGATATGAAATTTAACAGATGAGGCGAGATTAACGAGAAAAGGTTCAAACCATTTAAAGAGCAAAAGTAAAAAAATGACAAAATTGTATTGACTTTAAATGATAATTAGTTCGAAGCACAGCTTTCATTCTGTAGCATTCAAATTGCAATCTGTCCAATAAGTCTGAAATTATTTATTAGATTCATTGATTTCAGCCTCCGACCAAGTTCTCAGTCCCTAAAATCTGCAATCATGAAAGCAAAAAAATGTTCTACTCTAATTGTTCCATTTCAATAAATTTATTTGTTTTTCAAACAATAAGGGAATGCAAGTCAAACACTAAATGATTCACACTTTTTAAGCTTTAATTGTTCAAATAAAGATTTTTTTTATTTTGAGAATGAGAAATTAAGATCTATTGAATCGAGAAAAAGTAAAATACGATCCAAATAACTTATTTAATTGCTGTTTGAAGATATGTTTAAATACAATATTTCTTAACCTTTTATTGGAAGATCATTAATCTTTAATAAAATAAGAGGTTGTCTATTTTTTTCGCTTCCGATGGTAGATATTACAAATTTGATGAATAATGGTGTGTGAAGTGAAGTTTGATGTGTTCCGGCTTTGGTGGAGTTTAGACAAAAACATGATTGAATAAGAAATATGAAGAGATCAAGGAAGGAGAGAAAGAAAAAAGGTATGAAAGAGAAAGGATAAGAGTTAAGAAATTTGAATTTCCTATTAATATAATGTAACTTGATAAATCATTTTCGACGCAGATCTTTGGAAACAATAACGTAACGCTGAGGTACAGATAGAGCAGGTGAATACCCATCAGGATAACTTGAATCTTCAAATAAAACTTGATACTCGTCTTGAGCATTTTTTGGTGGCTCTTGGACTATTGCTCGGTAAAAACATGTAGTTTGAGGATATAAAGCTAAGATGAGGGTTCCTTTCTCGAAAAGGGCTTCATGATCTGTCTCAGGATTGGCTCTCATTAATGGAAGTGGTATCACTCTTCTTCGACTCAATGTATGTCTTTCCTTCTGTTCTTCATCAATATCATCAATCTCGTACTTATTTGTATTCGAATTGTAGGAAACAATTTCCGCGAGAATCCAATTCTCATCTTCATCAGGACCTTTGACCAGCGCTGCTACCATGTCACCAACTTTTCCGACATAATTGGGTTCAGCAGGGACAGAGCCACAAAGTGGAGGAGTTTTACCCTCCTTGTTGCGACGGATAAATAGTGGTAGAGTTAAAGCACTTTGTTGCAACATCTTCATTAAAGCTCCTCTTCTTATTGACGTTTCCTTGGTAAACAGGCTAAGGCCACTCTTTCGGGGGCGTTTCTTGATTAACGTCCGAATTTCAAATATTTGATCCAAAGATTTAGAAAGGACTTCAATTTCTGAATCGCAATCTTGAATCGCACCTTTATACAGAGTTCTCAATTTTTGCTTGAAGTAAGGCTTTTGTGGCTCATTTTGCATCTTCTCGTGAGTTTTCCGAATATTTGATAGATTGCCTTCACTTTTATTCCTTTCTTCATGACACTGTTCAATAAGGGAATACAGATCTCGCAGTTTATCATAGATTATTTCTTCGCTAGAACTATTATCACCATTATCCATCAGTCTTTGCATGGTAATATCCAAAACACACGATAGTAAAGATATTAAAGATGAAATATTGATTACTTTTGTAGATGTAAATTACCACCTAGAAGATAATTTTGTTTCAAATGAAATTATTTAGATGTTTACTCATTATTTAGATAAATTTGATATTTATCACACGATCAGCTGATAAGCTGATTAAAGTTTAATAGCAATAGGGATAGCAGTTTGAACTTGGATATAAAACATAGGTAGACTTAAGTGAACTTGTGATTGTTAATGTAAATCATTTTTAAAATACGAATGATTTGAGAATGAAAATATTGAATGAATTATTATTTAAAATCTAGTTGATGTTTTCAAAACAAAATCACAATCAAAACAACTTCCAATGAGAAACATTAAAAGTAAAAGTCAAAAAATCTCTCTTCTTATTGTCATAGACACGCCATGGCAACCTATTTGCGCGGGTTTTTTCTGGCTTCAGGATCAGTCTTTATGTGATTATTTACTCCATACTGCTAAGCTCTTTCTTAATCTTTATTGTAATTTACGTTTTAATTTGTTGTTCATTCACTGATATCGTACTTCGTCCATCTCAGTTCATCTTAAGCCTGATCTCTTGGTTATTACATTATTTCAAGAAAATTCAAAACTGTTCTGCTCTCACGAAACTCATCCTTTTTGGCTTTTCATTTCTGTGTGCCTTTGCCTGGTTAACATTAATATTCGTGTATATCTCATAAATCCTTTGATTGTTTTGATTCCTCATCAATTAAATACTTTTAATATCTTCATTCAAGGTAAGAAATACTTTTAGTTTGATTCACCCATTCATAAGCTCTATAATATGTGAAATTAACTGCATACTTTTTATCTTTGCTCATAGGACTAACTTATGCTATATGTCAGAGTTCATCAAGTGTTCTTTTCGTTGATTGAATAAAAGCCCATAATCCTGAAAATCCTATAGATACAAGAGCTATAAAAATGGAACCTCCGCCAAGTAATTCAAGAAAGGGATTTCTTGACAAATTTGCTGGTGCATTTACTTGTCATTCTATGTCATTAAAAAAAGACAAGAAGAGGCCAATGGTTGATGGTTCTCCCCCAGAATCTGAGCTGTGTCCCACTGGATTTAAAAAGATAATGTTTGATAATCAAAAAGGACTCCCATTTGTTGACATTTTAAAGCCTACGTCGCGAAGCGATCTCTTAGTCCACCCGAAAAAAATAAGTGAGGTTGATTGCTGGTTAACCTCCATTTTTGGCACCAGATCTTCAAATCCGAAATTATTTCTTATTGTTAGTGGACCTTCAGGGTCTGGTAAAATGACAACTCTTCAGTTACTTGCACGAGAACGTGGAATCAAGACTATTGAATTTTCGGAGGTCAGTTACGTCAAAGAAATTTTCTCAGTGGAAGACGAGAAAAGTTATTCTTATGGAGAGCATCTGAATAATCGTAGTCAAAGTGAAAACGTTAGAAATTTCCTCATCCAAGCTAACGTTAAATCTATTGTAGATAAAAGTCCTAAAAACAAAAAACTACTAGTCTTCAAAGATCTTCCTTTCACTTTGGTGAAAGAGCCAGAGAAATACCATAAATTATGGACGTGGTATTATGAAAAATTCAGCGCAGATGGAGTTCCTGTTGTTTTCATTCTCTCAAACGATCCCAGTAGAGAACAAATCAAAATTTTCTCGAGCCAGCTCAGGTCGCGTCTAAATGTAGTAGAAATTCAATTTAATCCATTCGTTAAAACTCGTATAGTTAAATGGTTGACTGATAAATTGGAGAAGAAAGTATCAAAACCAGATATTGAGGCCATTGTCGACGAAGGGAAAGGTGATTTCAGGAATATACTCAACTGTTTTGAGCTAAAATGCAGTTCAAGTCTCGCAAAACAAAGATCCTTTACTAACTTCAAAAGAGGGGCCAAAAAGCTAAAAACTGACGATAATCTGTCTAAGGATCCTGGATCAAGTGCAATTTGGGGTCGTGATGTATCTTTAGAATTGTACCACTTTTTGGGAAAAATTTTATTCAGCAAGCGACACTACGATAAACCAGTGCAGAGAACATTGCCCGATGAACTATTGAAATTTGAGCGCCATCCTTTAGTTGAAGACCCTTTTCAATTAGTTGAAACTCATGACATCTCCTCTAATACACTGAATCTATTTTTACATCAAAACTATCTAAATCATTCTGAAAATTTGGAAAGCGCAGCTAACTCTATTGAATGGTTGAGTCAATCTGATTGTTTAAGAGATGATGTATATGATGGCAATTCTCCATTAGAAAGTTACCAAAAGGCTCTATCAGGAGCAGGTTTAATGTTTAATTTAAGTCCAAATGGACCGGTTAAAGTGAAATATCTCGATACAAGAAAAGCTAAGGATACCCATTCCAAGCCATCCTTAATATCTTCCAATAGGCCCTGGCATATTAATCAAGAAAAAATTAAGGAGACAAAATCAACTTTAAAAGCTTGTATTAACGAGAAATCTAAATCTCTAAATTACCAGGATTTCATTTTAGATTTTCTTCCATATGCATCAGTGATGAATATTTCAATGAAAAGGTTTACTGGTGATCTTTTGAAAATCTCATGTTTTCCCAATATAAGTTATGGTGGTTTTAACAAGACTCATGAGCCATTTGTTATGCGTCCATCAACAGTTCAATTGCGATGCGAAACCTCAGATATACCGATAAATGAGCGCGATGAAAGTGATGATGAAAAATTGTATTTTATTGAAGACGTATCTGATTGAGTATTCCGCCAATGTAAAGTTTATGCTACCAATAAATTGTTAATTATTTATATTTATGATTAAGATTTGTTTAGTTTTGATTTAAACCCATTATGGCTACCGAAACAAAAGTTAACAAAGGGCAGAATGAAATATTCAGATTGTAACAGAAATACTAATGACATTTTTTGAAAAATTGTGCGATCCATTCAAATTAAGTTTACTTTTTTAAATCATTTATTGAGTCATCATTAACAATTTCATCAGCTACAGTGACAAAATATCGTTAAAGATTTTCAACTTGTCAAAATTTGAATCAGTGTAAACATAAATAAAAGTTTATAATGGAAATAATCAAATTAGATGTCTTGAGTGAGAAAACCATCTGAATTTGGATGAAATGATACCTTTACATATCAAAAAGGAGTAATTAAGGGCAAATTGAGGAACTGGCTATGAAGATCAAGATGAAAGAGAGTCTTTTTTATTTAAAGCTGACCAGTTTTCTTGTGTTTGCTAGGATTTACATTGGCTGCATCCTTTAAAAACCCTTTATACAAAGTCAAGGCAAGGTCTTAGTCGAAATCGATCATTGAAGGTTCTTTTTTACTTGACTTTTCACTTATTTCGATAGCAGCTAACATTTTTTCCCAGGTAATCATTTTATTCTTTAGTCTAAACATCAGCTGATGATAGTTTCGTATGAGATCTTGTGTCTCTTCACTCAATTTGCTGGCTTGCTCATCTTGACGAATAAGTAACTCTCTTATTTTTTCCAATTTAGGTAAAAGAGGATCAATATCTTTTAACGCATTTGAATCTACGACATCTTTTTTGGAAACGATTGATTCAATTAATGTAGCTTTATCTCTCAATTTATCTTCCTGGGCCAAAATATGTTCCCATTTAACGGCATCTGGCTCAACGTTTCCTTCAAATTGGTCTAGTTTATCAATAAAGTCACCATATTCTTCGTATTGTTTGGCAAGTTGATTATAATTATCTCGGCTAGCAGTAAGAGACCTCAGTTTAGTTATGATTTCAAGCAGCGGATCAACCAAACTGTTCTCATCATCACAGTTAGCCTTTGATCCCATGACAAGTCCTTCAATCATGGCGACACGTTCTTCCAAGCGAAGCAGAGCTTCTTCAGGACTACTTAAACCTTCAGCTTGGTCCATTTTAATAAAGAGATGACACTGAAAATTAACAAAATAAAGATACACTTAATCTAGCAATGTTTTGATGATTTCAAGCAGATTTCCTCTTATAAGCTATTTATTGGGGAGGAGTCCAGTCTCTTAGTGGAATAGACTTATAGCTTTTACAGGCGCCAATTGCAAAATTCATTATGTAAGTTTGGTTGAATCTCGACTGATTCTCATGACGATTCGTCCAATTTTATATTCTTGATGAATGCATGCAGACCAGAATTACTGAACAAGAGGATTTGTAGTTTTTACAGCCACATGCAATTACAAAATCTAAAACAATCAAAGTTGCTAAGCAACTGAAGTATACAAATCAGGAAAAGCTGAGTTTAAATTTATTCAGTTTTTATCTTGACTCTTATGTAATTGCTAATTAAATCAAATTAATTAGAATTGTGCATTATAAATTTTAATTAACTTATATACAATGCTAAATTTTCATTAATCATTGAATTAAATAAAGCTCAAGATCTTTTCATCGAATAATTAATCTCAAAATGTGATCTCTACTTTAGTTGTAAAAGTGAACAAATCATCACGTTGAACCGTAGATTTTGACACACTTTAGCCTCGTAAATCATTCCGTTTATGACAGATTGAAATTGAAAATGTGCTAATCAAATCAATTATCGGAATAATACAAATGCAAACTCGTGCTCAACGTTTTCATGAACTTTTAACTTAACACTGGTTACCGTTACCATTCTAATATTTTTTTTTCTTTCTTCTACTCAGGTTAACAAGTCTTGTGTTTCGTTTTGTTTTTTGACAGTCAAATGGATTCATCGAGAATATGTATGAGTTTTCACAGAAGCTGCATGACCAAACACAAAGTGGACAGCAAACAAGATTGAACAAAAGAAAGAACCAGCTAATGATGACCACAAGGAATACCACAGAAGCTGTGTCAACCTATGCTAATGAGTGTGTAAAGCAAAAATATTTGGACCGCAGTTTCTTTTACCATAAAAATATATACAAGGCCAACGATGCTTTGAATAATGAGTATCAGTTAATTTATTAAAATTACTTTTACAATTCAAATATATGGAAATCAAAAACATTATATGGGCTTTGGAATCTGATGGTAAAGCCAATTAGATGTAATCTATTTCCTATTCGGACACTCATTTGTGGTTTCACTATTTTCCTATGCAAGAAAAGGTAAATTTTTTGTAATCAATTTTACTATTTTTTTTACTTACAATTTACTCTCACCTTACTAATTACCTTGACAATAATAATTTTCCTACTTATTTTAATTTTCCACAACTTATTATAGCATTCCCTTTGGCTATTTGAAGACGATGCCCTAGCATAACATGTATTTCTATAGGACTTTTCATCATTTAACTATTCCTGTTGTTGGATTATTTTCTTATTTCTACCTACACCATTCTCCGTTTATCTTGGTAATCTTATTAGACTGCCATATTATTCAAATTTATGCTCACCTAACAGTCAATTATCTGAATTATAGTAAATTCCAGGTATTGAAATTTTGAATGTAAGCCACCATCTAATTTGTTTATGTTCATTCCAATCTAATTCTTTCATTTTTTCTTTTTCCTCTCATCCTGATTTCACTCAATAGCATTAACCATTCAAGTTTTAATGGAGATCTTGATTGCAGCCTTTATCGGACAATGTGCTAAATTATTAAATTGGTGAACTGTAAATGTTATCCCGAAACGACTACAACAACAGTTTTCCTTTCTTTCAAGTTATTAAATAAGCGTTAAAAACTCCTCTCACAATACAAGTAAATCAATTTTTCAACAATTCTTCACCTAAAATGGGCCAAGCTTTCACTTACATCATTACGCTGGTCAAGATTTCTTAATCAATTCTCGGAGTCCGTCAATAAAATAAAGAAACTGTTATAAGTTGATTTATATAATTGATTGTGGTTGCAGTTGCATGTCAATTTCATTTAAATGATCACTCCATGCATATTTTTCACCAATCCTGTAAAATTTAAAACTAGCCGGTATGAACAACAAACATTTTTACCTTTTGGTGTTTATTTGTTTAACCTTCAATCATCTTTCTCTATTTATTTTAGCATTGATATCCGTCTCAAATTTTCAGTTGGCCAGCGTTTCTTACAATGTTAAAAGGAGTGAATTTTATTGCTTCAACCCAAGGCACCCAGAAAGGTTACGATGACACTTAATATCACTCAAGAATCTTGAAAGATATTCTTACATATTTTTGGATAATTGACAAAGTTATAGCTCTTTCAATCCATTCGAGTATCAAGGAGGAAAAAAAGCTGACAATTTATACTGCACCGTTTCCCTACTTTTGTTTGAACTAACACAATTCATGGTCAACACAAAAGTTATCGAGATGCTGTTAAACCTTAATTACAGGGGCTAAAGTAACATGGACTACAATCTTAAAAACAACAAATTCTTGGTAAAGTTGAAGTGAAAAAGAAAGGATGAAGGAGAAGAAGAAGGCGAATATACCTCAAATGGATTATACTTCAAGTTAGTGTTATTTGGTGTTGTTGCTTCTGTCGTTTAAAAACATGACTTTTCTAAGTCAATTTTCTTCAACATCTCTTCTCTTCACTTATCTGTGTAAATTTTCAAAGCTATATATGAGCAATTTTCCCTTTCCTTACATTCCTAACGAACCTTTACTACCTATTCATAGACTCAATCAATTCGTTTGTTTGGAAGCTAATATTGGTCTAATATTGGCTTTTGAGCACAGTAAACATTACCGGACAACCTCTTGAACCACTGTGAACTATACTTTTTGATCATCTTTTACTTTACTTTCTCTAATCTTGTGTTGACCTATTACCTTTCTTTCACCCCCTTGCATCTCTTTTTTGGCTTGACTCTGTTAAAATCTTGAAAACAATTTAACTTTTAGTAATGCTCAGTTTTTTTTCTTATTTAGAGGAAAACACAAATCCAGCAAAAAGAAGGAAAAAACTGTTTTGTTGCTTGTCAAAGTTGATTCCTTAATTGCTAGTTGATCAATAAGAGGAAAAGTAAAAGGAAGAGAAAGTAAAAGCTCCTAAGCCCATCGCCATCATCATCATCATCATCAACATCATCTTCATAATCCTCATCAATAGCTTATCTCGGCCTCTTTGCAGCTTCTGGTAATCATTTCACCTTAAAAAATATTTACCCTTTCATTATTACCCTGACCACTTTAGTTTTACTCTTTCATCCTCTGTGTGTTTCCAAGTTTAACATATAGTTAATGAGTTCTTACCGTTCCTTGAATTTAAATTAACCATGAACAAAGTCAAAAAAAACAATGAATCTTGTTTTGTTTTGTTTTTTACCAAAAAAACATAGAAACTGAAATTTTTGATTTTGACAGAATCACAAATAATTTATGATAGGCTCACACACTGAGTATCATTTTGTTTCAAACAATTAGAAAAGACATTTATCAAAATGCTCTGCAGAATCAACCATTTGCAAAAGAGCAAGAAATTTTGATGAAATGTTAACCATCAATTGAAATCAAATAATTTCCTCAACCAACCTATCATTGTGGTTTGTATGTTTAAGAAACGGTAATGCACTTTTTTTGATGAAAAATTCATGCAAAATCTAATTTTTTGTTTCTTTTTTTCCTCCATTCCAGTCTTCATGGTTATATTGTACAACTGGATAACGTTGCCTTTCAATTGGATATCAAAGTAATTGTCAAAAAGGGGAAGTGGTCAGCAAAATATAAGCAAACACTAGCAAACAATGGATCCAAGATGGTGTTGAAGGTTGGCAAGATAGATGGACGTTTGATGATGTTACCTTTCCTCTCCATGATTGCCTTTCTACCTGTCTCTCCATTTCTCTGTCTACCTTTCTCTCTTTTTCTCTTTACATTTATTAGTTATTTATTTTTCTCAACTTTACTTCAACTTGTTGGAGGAGAAATCAACTGACATTGTTAAACCAGTCTCTCAAAGTTCCGGGTCAATCTCTTTCTTTCTTTCAATTCTACTGTAAAAAAAGGTTTACCTTTGGTTGTTTCATGGCAAAGGTAGGGCGTAATTAAGGATATCACGACTTAAATCACGATTTGGTGTAGGTGGGTCCACATTGAGTCAAAAATGAATGTAACATTTAAAGATGAAAATAACCTCTATCATATCTTTTCTTTTCAATACAGAGTCTTTTCTTACTTACTCCTGCTGACTGATCATCAGCATCAGTTTACTGGTTTACCTGTAAAAATAAAGCCTTACCGTTGACCACGAAAGTATCAAAATGGAGTACAAAAAAAGAGAGACACACAAATGCATAGGAAAAGGGCCAAAAGAAGAAGAAACGCTGATGATTATGATTATGATGACTTTTAATCTCTACTTTCTCAGAAAGATGCATTTTTGCATGAATCTATCCTCCCACCAAAACTATGGATATTCATACTAATCTTCATCTCGCCCTCAACCTCCCTCTCATCATAATCATCCGAATGATCATCTCAACTCTCATTCCCATTCTTTTCAGATGTAATGATTAAAGAGAGGAATAATTTTACTTTTTCTCTTTTTTTTGCTCTCAAAGTTAATGGCGACGGAGATTTGATTGTGTTTTTATCCATTATTATTGATGTTAACAGTCATTTTGTTTTGCTGTTATACATATTACATACAATTTGATAAACTCTTATAATGTTTTTGAGCTGTTTACTCCTTTTCAAGTTAACCAGACTTGATTAAAGTTTAACAGCAACAAATCATTATTTAACAAAAACCTAATATTTGGTGATTGATCCAATGTTGCTGTTAATTTGTAAGCTATGCTTTATGTTTCAAATCAAATAACTGTTTTGATATAATCATTGTAATCATTTTAATGATGATAATTATCATTGTATTTCAGGTCATCATGATATTTCAATTTTTTTCTTCTTTTTTTACAGAAAACAAAATTCATATCTTCTGAAGCACCCATTCATTGGATGGAATCGTGATAATCAAATATTAAAGAAGTCAAACAAATGAATAACCGTGGAATGGTCAAGCCATAATACAAAGCTTTAATGTAACGATGAAAGACACCAAATGATAAGCCAAAAATAACTGATGTGCAAAGTTCAATCAAAAAATAAGGAAAAGGTTCATCTTGATTCTTCTTTAATGATCACATGAAATATACTTAATATTGATGTTCATCTCAACATTAATAACATATGACTTTTACCCTGTCATCAAAAGAAATGATCAATTTTGATTTAACATTATTTTAGGTTATTTCATGTGGTTCAAGGGTGAAATAGTGTTTCAAACTATAGCTTTAAATTGTTGATGTGAATAAGTTGAGTTTGCACAAAAGTCTCTCTATAGTTCTGAATCTTTTTTATTCTGAACCTTTTCTCATTCAAGAGCCAAGAATCTCTTTTTCACTTACACTCCTGTTCACTGATCATCAGGCTCAGTTTACTGGTTACTTGACAACAACATTACCAAGCAAAAAGCACTCACAAGTAAAGATATTAAAGCTAGAAACAGGTAAATCTCTCCACCTTTTTTCTGCCTTTTCATCTGAACATTACCATGAAAAACGTTTCCTCCCAAACAGAACCATGAATCTTTTTTAATAAACTTCAATTAACTCTTTATGTTGTTTCCACTCTTATAGATGTTTCAAAGATTGTTAATGGTCAATTAGATTTGTAAGAGGAAAAATATGGCCAAAAAACATTTTAACAAAACGACCAAAAAAACCATAATCAATGCTGAAAATGACCATTAAAAGAAAGGATCAGACAAAGTTCATGATAAAAAAAGACTTTTCCTTTTACCAAATTTTCTCATATTTACATAAATTACATTCACCAGAAAACTAGAGTTAATGGTGTTGATTGATTTACATTGTTAACCAATGCTTTTATTGATCATCTAAACCTTTTAATGGATCAAACCATTGACTTGAGCCCAGTTATTGATTCATCAGTTTCATCATGTAATCTATGATAATGTTCAATCTATTTTGACAATTTGTTAATCTTGCTTTTTTACCTTAACTGGACTTTGATGCCTCAAGGTGGATAAACAAGATTAACAATATTAACTGAGTGGACATAATTACTAGTATCGGTTATGTGACCAAGTATAATCCAAAAGCTACCAAAAAAAGCCAAAAGCAAATGATTTTGACCATTTTTATGGCTCAAGTCAATTGATGTTTAACGTTAATCATAAGCGTCAAGACTAATTATAGACATTACATTGAACAATGTTCAATTTTTCATAACTCATCATCTAGATATAAATTATATAACCTGATATTCAATCATTTCCTGAATACTGTTATTGTTTACCTTAAGGTAACAATTAGAGTAACAAATCTGAGGAGTTAAACGTAATTATAATATTATGCACATTATAATTATAAACAATGTTAGATATTAATTATTATAATAATTTCTGTTGGTCACCCAATGTTGGTCCACCAAAAGCCAATGGATTTTCACACTTTGGTTATAAATCAAATGGTAAAATGTTTGATTATTTTTAAAGGCAATTTTAAACCTTTTACATCAATATCCACATTAACCATTGAGATTATCAACAAATATTCAACATTTTTCCAAATTAATTGTTTCCTTAATTTTTCATCATTTTCTCTCAATTGTCACAGTTAATTGCAACTAGGCTTGGTCTTAAAATATGTTGTGATAATTGGGTTTAATAATACTTTATTTCGAGTTCCTTTTTTGCCTTTTTCACCTCAAAAATGAATCTTTTTTTTCTTACCTTGTTATACACAGTTAAAGGATCCATAACTATCATTATGGCAATTAAAGTTGGCCAGTTCAATTACAATTTACTTTCAGTTAGTTACAATTTAGTTGCTCTTTAACTTTCATTTGTCTCGTTAAATGGATTATAATTGCATTTATTGTTACCTTTTTTCACTCAAAACAATTTAGATCAACTAAAATAACGTTATTAACTAACTGTTCAATTACAATCAAATATCATTATTTTCAACCTTGAAGGTACAAAAACAAAAGCATCTCAATTGACGTTAAAAATTACTCTCTTTAATCACAATTAATTTACTAATTTATCAATTTTCAACATTTGCTAAATTTTTCACCAAAAAAAAGGAAAATAATTTCAATCAAAAATTCAAACAAAACTGAGAAACGATTGTAATTCAAATCACAAATGGAAACACTGAATGAAGATTCTTGATCAATTATAATCAAGTTTAACCGTTAATCACATTCGTGTGTCTTTAATTAATACAACTAAGAAAAACGTGTTTTCTTTACAAATTGTTAATGGTTATGTTAATTGTTACAATTAGGAAAGTTTAAAGCTTAAAGCTTTTCTTTTAAACCAAAGCCTGATGAGGCTCATTAGTTAAGCTAAATTTACTCCAATCATGTCTTAATTGGTTTGTAAAAAGTCATGAATTAATTTAACAAAAAAGCACAAAAAAGCCTCAAAAAAAGTCTTCAATGAAAGATACCAAATATCGTGATTATTACACCTTAACTTGAATGTTTGAAGGTTCACCAAAAGTGTCATTGAAAGAATCAATTTTGATTCCAATTTGTCTAATTGTTGCTTGGAAAATTGATTGTGCTTTTAATGGAGGAATACATTTAAACCAAATTGATAGAAACACTTGAATTGTTTATTAATTTTTACCTAAGATTCATATCAACAGGGGAGCTAATTGAAAGTGATTGGAATCAATCAAAGCTAAGCTGCAACACCAAACCCTAAATAGTTCAGTTAATCAGCTAATTTAAATTGAATAATCACCCATCACAGTTGTTGGTAACAATTTAAATTGGCAAAGTGTTCCAAGTGTTTGACCACAAATAATTAACCAAAAAACGTTAATCTGATTAAAGCTTTTTGTATTACAGATTTTACATTATAATCTGTTTATCTGATTATAACTGAACACAATATATCAGAATCACAATTAGACCCGAAACAAATTGATTAACCATTTAACCAACCTTAGACATTAAAGTTGCAATAAAATTTCAATCACAAATTCAATTGTTGAATTGAAACCAACATTAACACTTAAATTGTATTCTTTTCAATTAAACTCTGTTCAACAATTAAAATGTTGATGTAAACCCAATCGTGACCAAAGAAGCAAAACTGATTACAATTAACAATAACCAGTCTCGAGCAAATTTAGAATCAAAGAGTTTCTTTAAAAAATGAATTTTCTCGGCAAAACCTTTTCTCTTCGGTAAACAATTGCCTGACTGTTAAGCCCTTTGATTAAACAACAATAAATTTGATTAACTAACTGGCAAATTGACTTCCTTTGACAAATTGATTTGTAAATCATTTACTATTTATTGTAACCGGTAAATGAAAATTTCCGGTTGCAATTAGATTGAAATGTTTAGTTGTCAAATACAATTGAAACCGACAGTAGTTAATCAATCCCATTTTGAGCAACTATTTTACCATTCTGTTGATTCTCAGTGTTTCTTGTGTATATAATTATTGAATAATTGAAACCGGTTTCAGTTTTTTATGTTAAAATTGAGCACAAAAAACGCCTTTTGAATGGCTACTTCAACTCACGTGAGTGTTATTAAACACTATTTCATTGGTTTATTTCATACAAAATAGTTTCAATATCACGCCTTAAAACTAGTTTTGCGCTTGAGCATTTATTCAGTGTTCATCATTTTATATCCTCATCCTTATCATGGCAAATGATTGGCTTTGAACAACTTTTAAATGGTCTATTGCATGATACAAGTAAATATTGGATATTCATCTAGAATGCAATAATGTTCAACTTGAATGGCAAATGAAAGGTGAAATGCATTTCTCTTCAATTGTAATCATTGTGTGATGAAAGCAAATAAATCAGACAAATTCTGGAAATGAGAATGAAAAACTCTGATTGGACACACCTAAAGCCCAATGATTTACCCATTTTCCTCTTGATTGTAATGATAATAATAATGTCCATTACAATAATGTTTCATTCACTTGTTCAATCATCTTCATTTATACGATTAGCCTTTCCATAAAATTGACTAAATGATACAACAATGAGAAATGCAAGGCAAAAGGTTTAATAAGGATTGAAGGATAAAACCAGTTGAAAGATTCCAGTCCAACAGCAATTATTTTTAAACATTTGTAGGTTGACTGTTAATCAGTTGAAATCAATCAAGAAAAATTAAATTAAATTGAAAGAAACACAAAAAAAGGTCAACCATTCTGGTTGTGTAAAAATATAAAAATGGGTAACAAAAGGAAAGCATGAAAATCAGATATTTCACTTTTGTTGCTGTTGTTGCTGTTGTTAATGGTTTTGCTGTTTAATAATTAAATTTATCATAATCATTTAGTTAAATTATTTAGATTCTGATAGGAACATGATGATGAAAATGATGAGAAAAGATCACGAGAAGAAAAGGGCTTGGCTCACGCCTTCAACATGATTATCAGATGAATTGTTGATTGTGCATAAGCTACTTGGCGTTGATTGATTGCTGTTTCTAGGTCATCTTTTTTACCACCACCACCATCATCATGGCAATCATCATGATTATCCTGTAATCACAAGTATCAAGAGTATCTAGGGAAACCTGCAAGGCGACAAGTTGTCATAAAGATTCTTAATTCACATTTTCAGCTTTTTTCCTTCTTCTCCTACTTTCAAGTGTTTCCTTTTCCTATTTTTCACCTTCTCATCATTTTTTTACCGAGTAACACCAATCATCTTGATCATCACCTTCATCAATACTGAACCGGAAAGGTTTTAATAGTTTCAGTTGATTCTGTCAACAGTCGATTAATGGGATCCCTTGACAAGCTTAATGTTGCCTTTTATCAAACACTTTCCCATCAAACTTGACTTTACCATTTGCCTTTTCCTCACCATTTTCATCCTGTTCAAAGTTTCTCATCATCTTGTGATGATTATCATGATAAACATTTGAACACTTTTTTCAAACATCTTTTGTCTTTCCTTTCAATCCTAATCCTAATCATCATGAAAATCATCATAAAACCCTCGACTTATCTTTTGAATTTGTAGTTTCTGTCTTTAATGCTTACCCAACCATTTTGACAGTTTTAAGTGTTTAATGTCGATTATATTAGGGTAAATATATATTTATATTGTTAATTAACATAATCAAATATTGATTTAACTTCTTAATAACTTGAATCTTTTCCGATAAATGTTATTTACTCTAATTTATATATTTTTTAAAATATATAAAAATGCTGTAAACAAGACACTTTCACCCAACACTGAAAAAAAACACATTTCCGTTTACAATCAACATTTTGTTTACTAATTTACTTGTAATTTTACCTTATTTGAGGTGACCATTTATTTATTTGGTTAAGTGTCCAAAGTACAATCAAGGTCAATTATTGTCTAATTGTTGATATTTCCTTCTTAGTAACGTTCAAGTGATTTACTGATTATTACAACCACTTAGACTAACCATCTTGTAACATTGTAATGTTAAAATGATTAACAGCTCTAATCAAACTTGATCAATGCATTTTTCAAGTCAATCCGCAATTTCCAGCTTCAATCACTAATCGATTGTAAAAATTTTTATTGTAAATTTTGACTTTTCAATATCAGGCCTTTCCTTGATTGTTCATGTCAAGTGTTGGTTTAAAATTTGTGACCAAATTGTTTCTTCCATTGATTTATATATTGGTTGAATTGTAAAGGTGAGAAAATGGTTTAATAACAATTGAATAAAGTCAGATAATGTAATAATTGGCTCTTTTGGTCTCCATTGTGTCATCATTTAGACCTGTTAATGTAGGCCTGAAATTGATAGTGATATTGTTATCAATGCATTTTATATTTATATTTGTTTAAAGTAAAGGTGAAAAGATGGCGAGTTTTTGTTTACCTTTGAGCCCTCACTTTACAGGTAAGAGAGAGAGAGAAGAAAGAAGTGTTCAAGTGATTAATTTAAAGGTAAATGGTGTGCTTTTATATTGTATGTTTATATTGGGTGGTCAACAATTTGATCGCTTTATTTTGTGTTCTGGGTGTGGACGAGACTTGAAAAGGTCTCAAACTGGACACAATGGTAAACAATAGTAAAGTCAATCTTTGAAGACAAAAAGGTAAAGTTGGATAGAGCATAATAACAACAGATCTGAATACAAAATACTGTAGGAAAGGAAGATGAAGAAGAGGATGATTATTATGATGATGATAATGATGTATCGAAGTGATACTAAGCCAACCTGAGTCAAGTTTTAGCTTATTGATTAGTTGATTGAATGGTTAAAACCTGATCAAGGTAAAAGTGTGCAGAAATAAAGGCTTTCTCTGTTGAATTATTTCCATTGGCAATTGACATTACTCTTGATAAATGGTCAACTAATAAAGGTCTTATTGGCCAGTCTCTCCGATCACTTGGTATTATGTAAAGTTGAATATCTTTATATAATGTTACCATTGTCACCATTGATAATGACATTGCCTATTATAGATTATAAACTTTGTGGGCCTTTTTGTGTCGCTCTTCATGTCCTTTGGCTTGAATGATAGATTGACAATAGATGAATGGCTTGATCGAGTAACGATATTGACCTTAGACCAATAAATCGTGTTTTGCCTCTGGAAAATCACCTTTTGAAATAATCTGGAAAAGAAGAGAGAAAAGGTAAAAGATGTAATAAACTTAGCGCTAAATTACAACAGTAAACAACGGTAAAAGCAGATGTAATCAAAGTACAAAAATATATTAAAAAAAAGGTAATGCTTTCTATGGGCACATGAAAATTGCGTTCAACACGCGTTTTAACACGTTTTACTTTGCAACTCGTGTCAGTTAGGTTACTGGGTAATATTACTGACAAAGGTAGTTACAGAGAGTGAGATCCAAGTTGAAAGAAGGAAGTTAATCTTTTGTATTTTGATTATTGGATGCGTGATTTCCGTAGATAATTTTGTTCGTCTTCTGTTTTTTGCCAACTTTCAAAGACTAAAGCTGATGCTGATGATGATTATCGTCTCTTAATAAGGTTTGGTAAAAAAAACAGCAATTGATGGCTTTCTGTTTGGTCAGCTGATTGTTTTAACTCAGGTAAAGATAGAGATCAGCAAGAGAGAGTGAGAGCAATAATACTGTAGGAAACACCCAAGTAACAAGAAAATTTGGATTCTGTCAATAATATTATCATAGACGGATGATGAGTGAAGTGATAATGTGATTTGTATTGTTGAACACATTTGGCTTTAAAATGAAACTCTTTTAGGAGTAAAAGCTGGATAAGTAAAAAATGATCATCTTAATAATTTCATCATTATCATCAGCAACAGCAGCGTTCAACAGCAGCAGCCATAACTTTATTTTACTGGTACGAGGTAAACTACCAACCATCATGCTCATCACCATCTTCATCAGCCACATCAGGATCGTCAACATTTGCTTAATCAGAAGCAAAGGCAGTTTAATTATAATATTAAACTGCAACAATCATTAAGGAAAAAAATTGAGTAAAGCAAAGGAGAAGAAGAAGAAAAAAGATGATGATTTTGTTGATGGTGAAGGAAGATGAAAGGTGTATCCATTTGCAGATTGAGGAGGAAATATATATTATGCATTATCACATTTTGTAGGTGAATGTATCTTTTGGCAATAATCAGGGCCATCTCATTGTCTAAATGGCATGTGAAAGATGAAAATAATAATAAATAATGATTATGATGATCCTTTTTGTGTTACCTGCTATTATCAAAATTAAAGCTTGAAAATGCAAAATGAAAAGAATGATCAAGACGAAAGAGAAAAAGAAGAAAGGTAGAAAAAAAATCTCCTCCCGAAGATGAACAATGATGATGTGGTTGGCGTCATAAAGAATCATCAGAAGCAAAGAAAAAGATGAGAAGAAGAAATGTTGAAGAAAAATAAATTCATGAAACAGAAATTATCTTCAAACAGAATCTCGGAAAGTCTATCTATTCTATATGTCTGTTTGGAATGAAAGTAAAGGATGAATTTTCGGAGGTGAGGGAGGTTTGAAGAATTGCTTTTGTTTTGTTAACTTTTTTGTTTGCTCCATGAAGCTGGGAGGGAGATGATGGTTATGAGAATGATGATGAAGCAGAAGATGGTAAAGATGATGATACAAGAGATTGAGGAAAGATGAAGCAGCTTCGATTTAATTACGGATAAAATGGTAATTGAGGTCTCTTATGAGTGTTTCGCATCGTGACAAGGAGCGCATTGAGAGGGAGAATTGTAATGAAGAAAAAAAACTAAAGTAACTCGCAATTAAGGGTAACTGCAATTTGAATGGAAAAGAAAACAAAACAAAAAATCAGTATTATTCTCTTTCATCATCATCTTAATCTTGTTTGAAATATTATTGCAGCACCTTCAGATGCCAAATGATTGGTCTTTTTTGCTTCTCATCATCATCATCATTCTCGTCCATTTGCCAATGTCTTGAATCTTCTGGGTGAGAGGAAAGAAGGTATTTGAGTTTTGTAGAGTTGGGATCGTAAAGTATTAAATATTTTTAAGGTGTATTCAATCACGATCTTGGAGGAAGAATCGCGCTCCTTTATCACGTTATGCCAATACTGGTAAACATCGAGAGACAGAGAGGAGGAGGCAGGAGAGGGAGTATGGATCATCGTTTGTACTCCCTCATTGAAAAAAGGCCTGAAAGAGAAAAGAAGAAGAAGAAAAATTAGTAAAAAACATTCAGAACGCTTTTTTTATGAATGAAAATAATATTATGAAAAAAAGGTTGATATATAACTGCCACTCCTTGCTGTAGCACGCATTCAGTAAAACGCCATCACACACGATCACCTTCAATCTTTCCTCATCATCATTATCATTCTTATTCTCATCTTTTTTCATCATTTTTTTCCATCTTATTCATCGTCATCAAGCTTCAGCTTCATTAAAGTTGCTTTTGAATTTCATTTTTCAGTTGAATTTTTCCAACAATTTTTTGCAACTATCCAACAGTTCAACTTGTATTTTGTTGTTTCTAATCCATCTGTTTGGTGATGTTGTATAATTGTTTAAACAATTAACTGAATGGTTAATAGTTGGAATGGATTGAGTGACATTGAGTTGAAATTGAACTGTTGGTGTTATTGGAGGGTTTTTACCTGAGATTATTATAATATTACTACTGTTTGTTACCTGAGTTGAGAAGGAAGAAAGTTGGTAAAAGGTGGAGACTTTTCTGGTTAAAGCTACCAATAAGGTTAGTCTGTTACTGTTTGCTTCTACGCATATAATGTGAACACCTCCTACCTGTTACTTTTTGTTTTGCTGCCCAACCCAGTGAAAGTAAACCTAACAAAGTGATCTGATCAACACACGTTCACAGAGGCTTGTAACAACAACAACACAAACAGGCAACATTAACAGTAACAGTAACAGTAACAACAACGATATCACAGTAAACACCAAACACCACTAACAACTACAACTACAAAATAATCTAAACGTAACTTACGTTAAAGTGCTTCAATATGACTTTATCTCAACATCCTCAACTTTATTTGCTTCCTCTTCACCAACATCACCTTGATCACCACCATCATCTCTATTTGTATCATCTTCATCCTCTTCTCCAACTTCATCACCATCATCAACAACAGCAACAGCAGCAGCAACAACAACAACAGCAACAACAGCAGCAGCAGCAACAATTGCAACAAAACAATCGAAACTCTCAGTCGAAGTTTAAATTTGACTTTAAACGACTTGCAGAATCGGTAACGGCCGAGGCAGCTAAAAAGGAAGCCGAATCATCATCATCTTCATCATCGTCCTTTTCCTCATCGTCATCACTTTCTCCTTCATCAGTGTCATCAGTTTCATCAATATCATCAGCCGGTTCATCATCATCAGTCGCCAATTATCCAAACTTTTATAATCCACTTTCCTTGACTCTGAGTCGTGGTGCAGCTAGTTCCCTTGAGAAGCGACTTTCTCGGATGACAAGAAGCTCTTCCAGGCCCAAACGAGAGTTCATCTGTAAATATTGTCAAAGGAAATTTTCAAAATCTTACAATTTGTTGATTCATGAGAGGACCCACACTGATGAGAGACCTTATTCATGTGAAATTTGTAATAAAGCTTTCCGTCGACAGGATCATCTTCGTGATCACCGGTAAGCATACAATTAAACACATTAAACAAAATTTAACCCAACAACATTAACCAATATAGTACCAATCAAATTGGGTAAACATTGACAAAAAAATATAACCTTAAAAGAGCGACTATCAAATGATATCCTTAACTACCTTAATCTTTTCAATACTTTTGATTTGTTTCAATTGCCGTGCTCACAATGGCACTGAATTAACCGATTGTTTGATTATCATGAGACTTGATGTACATAGTCAACAATATTGCTATTATTATTGTTTTATGATCACAATTAATGGGATCAAATTAAATGTGAAGATACCGCTTGGAAATAGCGCTCACCTAGGAGCAACCAAAGCGACAATATGAATTAGAAGACAAAACAAAATAAACTGAAAAAATACGGATGTTTGACGGTTACAGGTTGACTGTAAGATTTAAGACTGAAAGACTGCAAACAATTGATTGCGAGTTTGATTGTTAGGAGTCTGGAGACACCAAAAACAAACCAAAACTATCAATTGCTTGTTACGCTTTTATTATCATTAACAATTAGTTGATAACTTTAGCGGCACCTAGAAAACATTGTTACCTTTACAACATTAGGACCAATGCCACCCATAGGTTGTTTACATTGTTAATGTAACTCTGCTTTTTATTATCATGACTGCATTATTGCTGGTTAAATTGTAGCTCGCTATCTTGACGTTATTTACAAATAATTGAGTCTCATTTCAACCATCATCATCATTATTATTATCATCATGTTACCTCTTACTTACAATATTTCATTCTCGTTAACTTTATCGGTATCAAAACCCAATAATTCATGTACTTGACTTGACTCAACGAAGTTGGTTAACCAATAACTTGACAAAAAAAAACACTTGCGATAAATAACTCATTTTACCTTGAATTGACATTTGAAATTATCGATCAATTTCAACAATTATTGTTTGTATTATTTTTACATTATCATTGACAAAACATGATGCAAAAAAGATTTCATTTCATTTACTACATTTACACCCTAAAAATTGACAATAAAAATAACAATAATCTAAAAAAATGAACAGTTTTCAAGATAATTATCTGATTGTTATTTCACACAAAATTGTCCCAAGTTAAATCACTGTTAATCCAATCGTGTTAACTTAGATACTTTGTCTTACCAATCAATCTTTCTTTCCACTTGAACAGTAAACTAATTCTCAGGTTATTAATTGATACAGAATATATTATATATCATAATATATGATATACATAAAAAAAGATATAACTTTAACTTGGTAAATAGTTTTGTTTGAAAAGCTTAAAACAAAATCCTTGTAACCGTATTGAGACTTGAATTTCTTATCATCTTCTCATCTTCCCTCTCACTATTCATCATCATTTCCCTCTTTACATTTCCTCAAGTTTCTCTTCCTTTTCTCTCTTTCTTCTCTTGACTTTTTCTCTAACAGACCTTGTTAAAACAAATCCATTTAATGCTTGTTATATCGTTAATGTTGCATTCAATTTTGTTTATTATCTTACCTTTTTTTGTCGACTCTGCATTAGTTAATCATCTTTTCGCTTGTTGACATCTTCTCAAGTGGTTACTTTTTACTCCCTCACTCTTTTTTACCTGTTGATAAATCAACAATCTCTTTCTCTCTGCCTTGGTTATCCAGAAGTAGTCTCCATATCAGAATCACTGTTTGATAAAGCACAATTCATATCGGGTGAGAAAAGTAGCGATTATCCGTGAAACAAACACATTACATGAGAAGGGAGAAAAATTTCCTAGATAAGATTGAAAAAACAAAAAAAAATTAGTTGATTGAATTGATTGATTAGTTTTGAGGTGTTGTGGCAAATGAAGATGGAAATGAGGAAAAAGAGCGAAAAAATTGGTTTCTTTTTTCCATAGTTTTACCTTCATCTTTGACAGTCCGAATCACAAATCATTCATTGTATTGAAATACTTTAAGATATCTTATTCACAGAATCAGGTCACTTGATAAGAGGATAAAAAATAACTTGATATAATCGGATTTAATCTGGCAATAATTTCCACTGTCTTTAAGTTACTCTAGATTAAGATTATTCAGATGACAATATGGCTGAAAAATAACCTTTTACTGTTGCCATCTTACGTTAAAAGGGTTCAATTAAAAGTCATTATGTAACCCTTTTGACCGATAAGATGGCGCTGGATTTGAGACAATGCTTTTGTTTTTATTTTTCAATGTTTATTACAATTTTTTGGTCAACTTTATTTTGATTTTATTGTTGTTTGGTTTTTACCATTAGTGCAATTTCATTGTTTGATTTACTAATTGTATTTACTAACGTTTGTTTCTTGCCTTTCTTTTTTGTTGTTTTATTAGATATATCCATTCCAAGGAAAAACCTTTCAAATGCAATGAATGTGGCAAAGGTTTCTGTCAAAACAGGACTTTGGCTGTCCACCGAATCCTTCACATGGAAGATTCACCCCACAAATGTAATACCTGTGGTAAAAGTTTTAACCAGCGAAGCAACTTGAAGACTCATTTACTTACCCATACTGACATTAAACCCTACAATTGCGCCGATTGTGGTAAAGAGTTTAGACGTAACTGTGATCTTCGTCGTCACACCTCAACCCATACTTTGGGCTTATCTGAGAGTCAATTAAATTCTGATAACAATGATTCTTGCTGTTCTTTACAAGATTCTCTTTCTGGTTCCAATGGTGGTGACTCAACCAAATTAAATCATCCAATCAGTCTAGTGCGTGGCTGCTCTCCATCATCTAACAATACCACAAAGATATCCAGCAACCTTTCAACCCCCGGTAAAACAACATCATCACCCATGGAGATAACGAAAATAGATGATCTCATTGAAGGTGAAGAGGATGATATCGATGTTGTTAATTAACTCCTTTTTATCAACACAATCAAATATACTATGGATGATCTTTACTTTTTTGTTTTTTTTTGTGTCTATCGACTTTACTTGTTCCACTTTTTTTGTCCAAGAATCTTCCATTACTTATCTCTTAATCTTGATCTTTCTCCTTTTTGTGTCTCATCTCAATGAGTTGATACTTATTAAATTTAAATTTAAAATCTATTGTATTGTAAACCAAATTGGATCTCCCTTTTGTTTCATCTCTCTCTCTCTCTCAACTCCATATCTTTTAATAATAAAACATCTAAATTATTAAATTAAATCATGTGTCATCAAAGATACTTGAAGTGTATGTCAATCATCATCATTACAAGTCATCTCTTATGTTATAAGATAATTTTACCTTGTTGCTAGGTAGTTTGTTTTGCTGATGAACATTTGTAAGATGCAGAGAGAAAAAGAGAAAGAGAATGAGTGATAAAAATGAGGGGAGAGAGAGATAGATGATTATAAGTGCTAGTTACTTACTTGTTAGTAGCGTGAGATGCTTCAATTATAATTGTGATGAAGATAAAGATGCTTGTTCTGAGTGTTTCAACAAACTTCGAGTGGTAAAAAAATAGTATTTTTATACCTTATAACTTCCGAACAAAGTGAGATATCAAGTTGAAGAATCGGTTCAAATACTTAATTGAAACACAATTATCAACAGAGATAAAGATTGAGGCAAAAAAAGTCAAATAATGAATACAATCATCTGAATCGTTGGAATGACCAATATCTTGAAAATGATAACTTCAACATTAAATTCAGTAATAAACCAGTAATAATTGTATCTGTAATGATCTCTAATTATTGATAATTTGTATTGCCTTTGCTTCTCAATAACTTGCTGAAATGATTATTTTATTATTAGCTTTATATCATGAGTTAGAAATTTTTTATAGTCTTTAATCATCAGCAAATTTTACATGAATTATCCAGCTTTCCATGATGGTCTGGATAGATATCGGTAATAGTTAATCAACTAGCACCATTGGTGTTTGATTAAAAGCGATTGAATTGTGATATTGAAATGTCTTCTGTCAACAATCTATTGTATTACATATAATTGCAGCAAAAAACAGTTTTTTTTCACAAGATATTAATAATCGTTAATTGAAATCATTTGTATCATTTCAATTGAAAGTGATACTATTGAGTACAATGGTTGAGTACAAAGGAAAGTAGATAACAAAAATCTGAGGTTAAATGAATGTCTCGTTAAGTCATGTTAAGTGATTGTTTCATACTTTTATTGATTTTTTTTATTATATCAAGTTGATTGTATCAAATTGACTGGATGGGTGCCCACAGATAATTTAAGTAAATGCAGTAAAAATCTTGTCTGGTAAACGTTTCCATAAAGGGTTAAACGTTTCAGTTTTCTTTGCGTATCTTTATTTGTCTGAATTTAGCTTTTCATTCTTTATGATTAATCAAATTATCTGTGGTTTAATAATTTTCAAGTGTAGATGGCATTGAATCAAATAGTTGTATTAATGTTGCTTTGTTAATGTTCACAGGTTGGGCTTGAAAGTTGAGCCGGATTTCCTTAAATACATTTTGTTACCCCCAGGGTTACTCTGGAAGATATTTCATATCATCATACATCTGAAGAGATAATGCAAAGTAACAAAGAAATAGAAGAAAAAAATGAAATTCTAAAGCTTAAAAATACTTAAAAAAAAGATGATGATGATGATGATGGTGATGAGGAAGCAGAAGCTGATTGATACTCGTTTAACCATTTGTATGTTATAATGCTCACATAATATTTATAAATGGTTAAGGTTTTGGTGCTGTATCCTTAAGGTTCAGTGTAATCAGTTAAAATATTATCAGGACTACTTAATATATCAGTTCACTGTTTCCTGTCATAATTTAAGCCTCGGTGGGAATTAAAATGAAAAGTTTTGGTTGCTGTTGTTTTTGATGTTGCGTTGTTGCTGTTGTTGTTAACCTGTTGGTTAGTTCATCACGGTTGGTGTCGAGGCGAAGAGATGATCAGAATTGAAAATAATGATCTCATCTTCTTCTGAATTTGAACACACCCTCCCTGTAGGGTGGTTTGTAATATTATTTTATTAGACGAGTAACCAATGTGAGGCTTCTGAAGATGATGGTCAAGAAGGATGATGAAGAAGCAAAAAATGGAAAGATGAAAGCTCAGGCAAGTGACCGGTAAGCCAAGGTCGATTTTAAGATGGTTATTATTATCATCATCATTATCATCTACTGAACATGTAGAGGCGGGGGAGTAAATAATGCTGATGAAATAAGCAAGAAGCTCATGATAAGGGAGTTGCTCACATGATGGTTGCAATTCAGTGAGAAGGATGTTGAGAAAGATGGATCATCTTCATCAGCATAATTATCATTATCATCATTATCAAAAATTCTGGTTCTTCTCTCCTTCACCATTATTTTTGTAACTTTGCATTTTCCACCATTATTAGCAAATACTTTTGTTTTCATCTTGTTCGCCCTCACAGTATTTAACTCGAGACTTTTTCTTCAATCTTTCCACCTTCTTTTTCACTATTATCTGCTACGTCTCTTCCCATGTAACTTATCTTCATCAAATTCTGGAATAATTATTGTCTTTCCACTTAATCGCCATGATTCCCTCCTGAATCCATTTCTTAGGGTGAAGCTTGAATCATTGAGACGAACCACTCCTTATATTAAGGTTCTGTACTGGTTACTGAAAAAAAGTAAGCATTATGTAAAGATTATTGAGGTCAGCATTCATTTTTCTTATGAATAAATACTTTTCTTGGTGTCAAATTTAATTGATCACAGTGAATACAAAATGACTCTTGATTAACATGAGTTGTTATCTTTCCTTGGCATTTTACCTTGTTTTTTGCATTACTCTTTAACTAATAAGAGAGAAAATCATAAAGTTAGATTTAATGTTCAGGTTAATTGGATTGACGATGATGATTCAAGTTACATACTTGCTCATTTTTCTTGTGTTTTCTTGCTTGTAACAAGTCTGATAATCATGGTTTTAACAAGTTGAGAGCAAACCACAACAAACCATACTGAATGTCGCTCCTTTTATCAACGGGATTCCTCCAAATTTAACTTTCATCAATCACCGAACAAAAAGTCAGATTAGTTCAGATAAGATGCTTCTGAGTCTTTTTGGTAGCTCATAGTGAATCTTTAAAATTGTCCCTCTTTATCTACTTCGTCTCTTCCGTGGTCTTTTAAGGGCTGTGGTCAATCAGGCTCGACTTCATCATCATTATATAAAACCAACAGCGAAGATTTTTCGTTGATTGATTAATATAAAAAGTCAAACGAAAGATTCATGCGGTGGCGTAATCTCCATAGTGTAAGGTGTTCTTTCTAATCATATGTAAAACCATGTATCGTACGCATTTAGTTGTAATTTGATTGATTAGACAAGTAAATCTCTTGTTTCACTGGGTGATGCTTTTCAGTGGAGGATGATTATATCCCAATCAAGGTGAGCTTAAAAATGATTTAGCTTAAAAGTTAGATGAATTGGTGGAAACGTTGTGTCCCATTGACTCTTTTAACTCAGCAAATAATCAGCTTACGGGGTAAGTGAAACAACGATAAGTTTTTTTCTCCTTTTGACCAGCAATTTAAATTGAAAAATTACTTGATAACACTCTTTATTGAATAACATACTGCGAAAACATTATTCACAATATTGGTACATCCAATGAAAGTACCGTTGAAAAAAACAGCAATATAACAAAAACAAACACTTGACTGTGTTGTAGGTCTAACTTTGTATTATTTACGTTGAGAGTAAATTCATTCATAATCAATGCGTGATTAACCTTTATTACAAGTCAATTAAGTTAACTCATGACTAACAGCTTTGTTTTTTTTGTAAAACGTAAAAAGCATAAAAAAACCATGTAAAATACAAGCTCATGAAACTTGAATATGATTAAAATTGATTTTTGAAGATTTGGAGGGTTTTGCTAAACACTAAACAAAACACAAGCTTAAACACATAACCACAAAAAAAGGATTCAACAAATTATCAACACTTAAAATGTAGACTTTAACAAATTGTTGACAAGTTGATTGTTATAAGATGAGATAATCAATGAGATGAGAATTGAATAGAAACGGAAATAATAATTGAACAATATTAACTGTGAAAATAAAAATGTCTCAAGAGACTCACATTAACATGTGACCAACAAAATGGAGGGAAATGATTGGCAAGAAGGTGAAGGCGCTAAAATTGATTCAATGGTTGAATAAGAAATTTTGTGTCTTATTTTTTTGCATTAAAATGTTTCTTATTAAATTATATATCATCTTTTATTGTTATATTATGTTTAATATTGATTTTTTAGTCCCATTTGAAGGTCAATTAAATACTGGTTAACCATTTAGTGAACGTAAATCACGATTTATACTCTCTCTCTCTTTCTGTGTTTCCCTTGAGAGTTTACAGTTTCCGCTCGGAAGCCTTAATCAAGTGAATGTGCCATTCGTGTAATACGTGTTACACGTACTCAAAGCCAAGCCCTTTTTTTCCTTTTCATGGTAATTCCCCGTCATCATGATCATCACCATCTAAACTCTCATCGTATTCAGCTTCATCAGTTTTATATAATGTGTTTACTTTCATATTGATAATTGCTCATTTTTGGCTTGAAGAGTAAGCAGATTGTGAAGATTCTTGTACTTTGCGCTTTCCCAAGTTAACATGATCTGACCATTTGGTCACCTTCATCTTCATCATCATCAACGTTGTCTTCATCTTCATCTTCCTTGCCATCATTTATCTTTTAATACACACAGATAACCATTCGATTACAGTCTTGCCAAACAAATTTATGTTTTAAATTTTAGCACGAATAAGCCGCACCTTAGATTCCTTTACCATTTTTACCAATTCAACTTCACTTTGTTTCAATAATTTTAACGCATTTAACTCTCTTTTCTTTCTATTATTTTACCTTTATTATTGCATTTACTTTCTCTCTTCATAATCATCTTCATTATTATCATCATCATCATCAGTTACAACAGGAACAACAACAGCTCAAAGTATCAACAATATATATTTCTACTTGTAACATTGCATGTGAACATTGAAAATAGCTTTGTTCTGCTTTTTTTTGTAATCAGTTAAATATGTTTTGCTTTAGGCCTTAATTTTGTTCTGTCCATTTGTTATTGTGGTTTGTATTATTGTTGCCAATTGTGGTGTGAAAACGTTTCCACTCGAGTTGATCATGTAACATTATCAATGTAATAATGATCATCGTTATTTTATTGCTCTTCATTTTGGTTATTAAATTACTTTTCATTCTTTCAATTTGCTTGTTATGGGCTCAATAGGAGTCAAATAAGTTTCAAATGGTTAACAAGGTAAATAGATAGCTATAATCAAATAGCAATTGCTAACACTTTCAATTATATTGAATCACCTGATATTCAGGTGAAATACTTTTCCATCCGTAGCCATTGTTGACAATAAACTCAATCTTGAAGCATATTAATCATATAATGAAATGCCTTTGAAATGTTGAAATGGATACTAAAGGTACGACTTAATCAAGGTCTTTCCCAATGATTGATGTGTCAAAATTAGCATTAAATAAATATCATTCAAGTGATTATTTGAAGCAAAAAACAAATCACAACAATCAACAACATTTGTAACATTAACCAAGAATGTAGCATTTAATTTAGTTTACGAATGATATTGAGGTTCATTGAATAAATTCCGGAAACGGGTAACACGAAAGATTCAGTGCAATCCAGCTTATTAACCATGTTAATCAATTCCACATCCATATTCATCGGTAAATGGTTAGCAGAGTAGTTTCACAATTGAAATGAATAATTGAAGTATCAACAACAAGAGTGCCAAATGTTAACATTTTTACAAACGATTTGACCTTTTCCTTATTGACCTTATTGATTACAATTCCATTTCCATTTGTATTTGAGTGATTTTAATTGTGATTACCTGTTAACAAAACAAAAAAAGAGAAACATTAATATAATTGTATCTACAGTTCCAAAGAAAAAAAAGAAACGCTCAATGATCGCGTTAGCATTGATTATTATTGTCATTGTATAAACTACTGCCATTTACTGTTCACTTATAAGTACCCATATGCTGAAGGATTTGTTGCATGTTTCCAAACAATTTACTCAAATTTTAAGTCAGGTCAAAGGTAAAGGTCAAATCATTTGAGTCAAGGAGAGAGACAATGAATATGGATTGCGATTTAAGTGTAATTTCAATTGTTTGCTCATTCCAATAAGGGCTTCTTCAATCATTTTCAATTTAACTGCAAACATATTTATCTTTCTTCAGCTTCTCACCAGGCAAACAAAAAGGTATTAGGCCTTATCATAATACAATGTAATCAAATCAAGTTTCCTGATTGTATTAACATGATAAACGAGATAATTAACTTCTCTCCAAGCTTTCCGTCGACTTAATTGAAAATCAAACTGAATGTGCACTTGTTAATCTGGCAACCTGGAAAAAAGAAGGTGAAAGAGGAATTAAAATGGTGTAAATTGTAATATGAAAATGATTGGGAAAAAATTCAATTTCAACAATTGAAGAAATGGAAAAGAGTAAAATGTTTAAAGCTAAAGGCTATGAAGGCAGTGATGAAGATGAAGTTTGGCAAGAAACAAACATTGTAAACCAAAATAAACATGATAATGATGATGAAGATGAAGAAAGACACTCAAACAATGGATTTAATTGATGTTGATGGAGGAAAAGATAGATGGACATTTGATGGTTATTTTACTTCATCATCATCATCTACTTACTTTTCATTTATCAGTTGCTTTAACTTCACTTGTTGGAGGAGGAATCAACTGACAAGCCAACCCCTAAAGTTCCGGGTCATCTATTTCTCTCTCTTTCTTTCTTCTTCTTTCTACTCATCATTTTCATCATCATCCAGTGTAAAGGTTTACTTTTGTATATTTGGGGTGTTTCATTGCAAAGGTAGGGTGTGATTAAGGATATCACGACTTGAATCACGATTTGGTGTAGGTGGGTCCACATTCTGAAAATGAATATACATTTTAAGTTCCAAATAATTTATCTTCTCTTTCTTTTTCTTTCTGCCATTTTTGCCATCTTCCACTTTTCACTTACTCCTGCTCACTGATCATCAGCATTAGTTTACTGGTTTACCTGAAGACATCAGCAAAACCTTACTGTCAAACCTAGAAAAAGACTTTTAAGAAAAGAGAAAAAGAAAAGCAAGAAAAGGTAAATCTCCTCCTTTTTTGTTTTTTAGTTGTTATTATTGTTTCTGCCAAATTTTTACCATGAACTTATCCTCCCACAAGAACCATGAATTTTATGTTCAATGTTCAACTCTTCTTCACTGTCTATTATACCTTTATTGTCTAATCTTCAATTAAGAAGAGGAAAAAATAACCAAAAATGTATTTACAATGAAACAAAACCTTAATTGTTGAAACTGAAAGCTAATGGCTATTGAAAGTTGGAATTGTAATTTTCTGATAAAAAAAGACTTTTCCTTTTACCAAATTTTCTCATATTTACATAAATCACATTCACCAGAAACTAGAGTTAATGGTGTTGATTGATTTACATTGTTAACCAATGCTTTTATTGATCATCTAAACCTTTTAATGCATTAAACCATTGACTTGAGCCCAGTTATTAATTCATCAGTTTCATCATGTAATCTATGATAATGTTCAATCTATTTTGACAATTTGTTAATCTTGCTTTTTTACCTTAACTGGACTTGATGCCTCAAGGTGGATAAACAAGATTAACAATATTAACTGAGTGGACATAATTACTAGTATCGGTTATGTGACCAAGTATAATCCAAAAGCTACCAAAAAAGCCAAAAGCAAACGATTTTGGCCATTTTTATGGCTCAAGTCAATTGATGTTTAACGTTAATCATAAGCGTCAAGACTAATTATAGACATTACATTGAACAATGTTTAATTTTTCATAACTCATCATCTAGATATAAATTATATAACCTGATATTCAATCATTTCCTGAATACTGTTATTGTTTACCTTAAGGTAACAATTAGAGTAACAAATCTGAGGAGTTAAACGTAATTATAATATTATGCACATTATAATTATAAACAATGTTGGATATTAATTATTATAATAATTTCAGTTGGTCACCCAATGTTGGTCCACCAAAAGCCAATGGATTTTCACACTTTGGTTATAAATCTAAATATTAGTTTATAAATAAATCTATAGTGCTATCTGATTTGTAAAAACTGTAAAATGATAAAAAAGCTTGTAAAAGATACACCAATAGCTATGGTCAACTTTTAACACATTGATGGACCTTAGTTTGCTGGGAAGACGAGTCAATGTAAAAAACGTTTTATCTGCAAAGATGAAGGTAAGTCATAATCATCTTCAGTCCATGATTATTAGACCTTTTGTTATCTATTTCAATAGCCAGCAACGGTTAGGTTTTGTTGTAGATACATTTTTACCGTTTTTTCTGGTCTAATTGAACATTACCCACTATTAGTAAGAAAAAAAAGAGAGAAGATGAGAGGGTGGAGAGGGAGAGAAAGAGTTAATTAAAGATTAGCAGAAGATTCATGGTTTGGTGGGAGGAAACATTCATGGTAAAGGTTGAAAGAAAGGACAGAAAGAAGGAGATGAAAGGTAAGATTACGGGTCATTTTCCTCTTTTTTTTGCTTGTCTTCTTGCTGTTCTTCTGGTCAATACGACGGTAATGTTATTGTTGTTGCTGTTGTTGTCTTCAGGTAAACCAGTAAACTAATGCTGATGATCGGTGAGCAGGAGTAAGTGAAAAGTGAGAGAAACTAAGGGAAAGAAAAGAAAGAGAAGATAAATTATTTGGAACTTAAATGTATATTCATTTTTAGAATGTGGACCCACCTACACCAGATCGTGATCCAAGTCGTGATATACTTAATTACACCCCACCTTTGTAATGAAACACCCCATTTATATTAAGGTAAACCTTTACACTGGAGTAAAAAGAAGAGACGATAAAGATGAAGAGAGAAAAATAGATGACCCGGAACTTTTAGAGGTTGACTTGACAGTTGATTCCTCCTCCAACAAGTGAAGTTAGCTTGAGAAAATAGCTGATAAATGGAGAGTAACTAGAAGTTAAAATTCACAAATATTTATATAAAGTGCAATCCATCAACATCAATTAAACACTGCAAGCGTTTTTCCTGAGCTTTTTACTTTGACTCCTTGCACTATGATCAGCCCAAGATGAAATTCAAGTGAAAAAAAGATGTTCAATAATCTGTAAGAAAAAAGAAGAAGAAATGTTGAAAATTTAGTGAAATATTGTAGGGTTAAAGGGGTTTAGAGGAAGATAATTACAGCTACTTCAACTTGCTTATGAGGCAATTTAACCTTTTTTTGAAACAGTTAAAAAAGCGATCTAAATTTTTTTCAAATGCATCATAAATTATTTGTTTAAATTGTCAGAATCAAATTTTCAGATTCACTTCTATGGTGCCAGTCTTTTTGTTTTTTGTTTTGTTTCTTTCTCTCCCTCTCTCTTCGACTTGGTTCATGGTTAATTTAAATACAAGGTACACAGTTAAGAACTCATTAACTGTGAGTAACATTTGAACATACAGAGAGGACAAAAGAAGACGAGGATGTGAAAAGAAGAATAAAAACGAGTCCGAAAGTAAAGTGGTCAGGTAATGATGGTGGTACTAATAATGAAAGGGTAACCATTTTAAGGTGAAGTGATTACCAGAAGCTCCAAAGAGGCTGAGATAAGCTCGATATTGATGAGGATGACTATGATGATGCTGTTGATGATGATGATGATGATGATGATGTGTAATTTTACTTTCTCTTTCTTCCATCCCTCCTCCTACTTCTTCCTTGATCAACTAGCAATTAAGGAGCCAACTTTGACAAGCAACAAAACATTTTTTTTCTTCCTTTTTGCCTGGGTCTATGTTTTTTCCTAAACAAGAAAAAAAAGAGGAACATTACTAAAGTTAAATTGTTTTAACAGAGTTTGCAGAAAAAAAAACAGAAATGATGAGAGAGGTAAAAGTACCAACTTACACACAATATGAAGACAGTGGAGAAAGAAAGATTGATCAAAAGCATAATGGTCCGAATGGTTGTCTACCGATGTTTACAGTGTTTCAAATGCATTAGACTAATATTAGCTCCCAGACAAGAGAATTGACTAAGTTCATGAACAGGTAATACAAAACTCGTTAGATTTAGTGTAAAGAAAGGGCCACTTCACCAAATACGTTATCTTTATCCATAAAGTCTCGGAGATTTGCAATAAACCTAGGATGATGGAAGAAGAAAAAACGAAAGCATTAGATTGCAATAAGCGTAAATAAATTAGATGGTAGCTTACATTTACATCTGAAATTTCAATAACTATACCTGGAATTCACTATAATCCAGATAATTGACTGTTAGGTGAGCATAAATTTGAATATGGCAGCCTAATAAGATTACTTAAGAATGGCGACCGTGTATGGTGTAGGTAGAAATAAAACGTAATCCAACAGCAGAAGTAGATATCCTATAAGAGTGGATCGTCTTCAAATAGCCAAAGGGAATGGTGTACTTAAGTAATGGAGAATTGAAATAAGTAGGAAAATTATTATTGTCAAGGTAATTAGTAAGGTGAGAGTAAATTGTAAGTAAAAAAAATAGTAAAATTGATTATGAAAAAATTTACCTTTTCTTGCATAGGAAAATAGTGAAACCACAAATGAGTGTCCGAATAGGAAATAGATTACATCTAATTGGCTTTACCATCAGATTCCAAAGCCCATATAATGTTTTTGATTTCCATATATTTGAATTGTAAAAGTAATTTTAATAAATTAACTGATACTCATTATTCAAAGTATCGTTGGCCTTGTATATATTTTTATGGTAAAAGAAACTGCGGTCCAAATATTTTTGCTTTACACACTCATTAGCATAGGTTGACACAGCTTCTGTGGTATTCCTTGTGGTCATCATTAACTGGTTCCTACTTTTTGTTCCATCTTGTTTGCTGTCTGTAGCTTCTGTGAAAACTCAACATACCTTTGACGGATCCATGGTTTTAACAATAATAGAGTCACTTTAGAAGCTTAGAAAAAAGAAAGATTATCCGATAATCCAGCAGTTTTAAAGTAATGTTTTCACTGATATCAAAGGGTGCAACTGGCAAAACTGTCATTACAAGAAAAGTAACAGTCAACGGGTGTAAACAATCAACAGTAAGACGTCACTCTACCCAGTTCAAAATAATGTAAGAATATCTAAGAAAATCGATTTATTAAACTCAAAAATCTTAACGATTAGAAATAATTAAACATGGCCATTCCAATAAACTGCGAATAATCGAGTCGATTTTATTCAGATGATGAAATTTTTCCCTAGATTACCTTAATTTTTGGATTATTGCAGCACTAATAAACCATTATTGATACATTAAATACTTGAAAATTTAAAGAAAGTAAAATTGAAGCATCAATTGTCCATTAATCAAAGTTGAAATTAAACGAACAGTAATTTAACAGTTAATGAACAGATCTTACAGGTAAATCAATTTACGATGTGTGGAAGGTTCGGTTTTAAACCAGCAGATGGCTGCGCAAGCTGTAACGAAAATTTGAATTCAATTGAATTTCAATGAAGTCTCAATGATGAAAAAATGTAAGCTTAATATCTGTACGGAACTTTGAAACTCATTGCCGATTCATGATTTCAATATCCAAGGTATCACTTGTAATTGGTTTGTATTTATCGTAAAGAACAAGGTTTTTGATATCAAAACTATTAAAAATATCATTGACTTCAACTTATTGATGTGGTCTTAACAATTGAAAATAATCCTGATTTGACATAAACTGACCTTTCTTTGAAGATGCATTACAATTATTTTTGTCAATTAATTGTCATTTTTATTGCAGCTTTTAGTATTACTTACAATAATAAATAAGTTGATTAATTATTCAGCAGTTAATCTCGTCTTGAATAAAGTTTTTCAATAAAAAGGCGAGGTTTTCATGCGATTGATCAATAGATTTACATTGATAACAACTATTGGTATGATTGTCTCATTGTTATTAACTATCAACTGTTTGGTTAAAAAAAAGGAGGTTACTTTGATTTGAATTGTAGGCCAAGTTAATTGAAAACAAGTTAAATAAAGCAAACAAAATTGTAAGGCCAAGGGCAAAGCATATTTGATCGTCAAACAGTGTTTTAGGAGTTGATTTGAACTGAGTTGCCCTTCATTCAGCCCATATTGACCTCGCAGAAGCTAAGTTTGACCCAATTTAACATTAATCTTCCTCAATAGTGATCTTGGCCTAGTAAATCAAGTCAACTCTCTCTTTCTCTTCCTCTCTTCCTATCTTTCCTCCTTTCTTTTCTCTTTCTCCATTCTCTTCCTGGATTTTCAGTGTCATATAAATTAACACACTCCATCAATGGTTCAGTTCATTTTACCAACCCATTAACCAACTCAACCTTGATCTCTCTGTTTTTTGTCTACCTGCAAATGTCATTCACTGTTTTTACATTTTTAATTTAATATCAGATGATGAACCAGTAAAAAATGCAAAAAGTAAACCATGTCATTTGACATGTCAACTTATTTATTCAAACTGACCTTCAGTACTCAAGGCTAATCGATTTCGTTCACAATTTTTAAATGATTTATCATACAACACATTTACTAGCATATGATTGCGGATAAGTTATTACTCTTGGTTTATGAATAATATTTAATTTCAAACTTTAAACCCAGAAAATTAGCTAAATAATTAATTCTATCAATATTTACCTGGGAAATATGTATTCAGAAGGATTAAATGAGATGTTTTTTTGCCTTTTGTTCAGCAAATTTGTATTTCTTTTGATGAATTTGTTTGAATAAAGTGATGTTTTGATGCAATATTTAACTTATTGAATGATATCTTTACCTACATCAAACATCAATGAGCCGCAATGGGAAAAAATTTCAATAAAAAATTGAAAAATGTAAATAAAATAAGAAATAAGAGCCAAAAGACAGAGCGATAATTACTGTTTGTTTTCATGTATTATTTAAGCTAAAATATCGGTAAAATATGAATAACAATAATTTGAAACAAATGTTAACTAATCAAACATTCAAATTTTCCTATTAAATTACTGTGTACAATGTAAAACAAATTAGCGATTGATATAAAAGAGTAGATTTTAGATGAGTCGTGTTAGTAACTGGAAATTAGTTGAATTGTTTAGTTGAATTTGTTGTGAAATCTTTTAATAAGTTAATAATTATGGTGAACGTTAAACTTTTGTTGGCAGTTTCCCTTATTTGCGTGGCTCTGTTCAAGTCATCTCAAGCTTACAGCATTAATGCCGCTCAAATCGATGCAATTGAAGATGGTGGTGACCGATGGGTAATGAATCTTGCTCCTGGTATGGACAAGCCTGATACAGAAGGAGGAATGCCACCTCCACCCCCAGCCGGTGGACCTCCACCACCACCTCCTCCTCCAGGCGGTCCACCAAGCGGTCCACCAAGTGGTCCAGGAGGCCCACCAAGTCCACCTGAAGGAATGCCAAAAAAGCCATAGTGAAAATTGGTTGCGTCGAGAATCACTTTGATTAACCAAAGTTAATCATGTGAGTGATTTGAAAAATCAATTTGTGTGTTTTTGCCAATGCATGTGAAAATAAATGGGAAATAAAGGGAAATTGTTTTTTCCGTTGTTGTCATATTGAGCTCAACTTTTTTTCATTTCTTTCTGTAATACGTGAGCAGCTGAAGGTTCAATTCTTTTATAATAATTTTCTTTCGTGTCAATGATTTCGAAGCCAAATTTCTTGTAAAAAGCCAAGGCATTTTCATTGTTGATTTGAACATGAAGGTATAAACTGTCCAAGCCATTTTCTTGAGCATAATTTAAAACGTGTTCCAACAACAAGGCTCCTGTTCCAAGAGTAAAAGAAAAATATGAAAAAAATAATAAGATTGAAAATTTAAACTTAAAATAAGTGCAAAAGACGGAAAGATATAAAAATAACAAACCAATTCCAAGTCTTCGATATGATGGTAAACACCCTAACGTCATTATGTATACTCTTTTCTGATTGTTTGAGTTGTCAATTCGACAGCAAACTCCACCAACTACAAGACCATCGTAAGTAACAACTCTAGCCAATTCATTGGATGCTAAAACATCTTTGTAAAACTTATCATTATAAACAACAGGAAAAATTACTTGATTACACCGGCGTAATGATTTGATATTTTCCCCGTTGACAACACATAATTTAATCCGTTCTTGTTGTTGAGATGGACAGTTAGGCATCTTGAAAGTAGTAGAAGTTTAAATTTAAACTGTGTTAATTAAAACACAAAGCATAAAACATAAAACAATGTCATAAAAGTCAGAGTTCAGAAATCAGAAGGGCTTCGAATGTGTTTACCTTTTCAAAACACAATTTTCTAATCACGTGGCTCCATCTCCAAAAAATAAATCCAACCAAAGCTATCATTGAATGAATTTAAGGAATGAGAAATTCATAATAAACCTTTCTAATGATTTACTAAACCATTAAGATTTCAGGGAAAATTTGGTTGAAAAATAATTTAGACACTTTAATTAGAATGTTTTTTACTTGTCAGTTTAATTTGTAGAATAATTATTGCACATCGTTCACGAAAATCGTGCTCATTTTCGCAAACTGAAACTGAAAAATGATTTTAAATTAACCCTCTTTGAATGACAAAAAATGGCAAAAAGACATATACAATATGAATAAAGTATAAGGCATGTGATAGATACAATTGATCCTCTCGTTTTAGGTTGAAAGGTTAAATTAACTAAACCAGTGAGAATGTTGGCGAATAGAAATACTGCCAAACCATTTCGGGCGACAGCTTCATTGAGCAAACTTTTAACTAAAGGCGGCTTCTTCATGAAACCAAAATATTGAAGAATGTCAATCATTACAGCGACCATCAATTCAGTAGCAATTATAAATAGAATCAAACTTATAGTGGCACAAATAAAGGCAAGATTGCATTCTCGTCGACTGATCGGGTCAATGTAATAATGGCTGAATAATCCAACACTGCCTAACATCAGAGCAATAAATGTAAGATCGCAGACAAAAATAATATTATCAAAGTTAGACCTTCGATGCCTGCAAGAAAAATGAGAATAAAGGAATTATTAAAATGATTGTTTAAAAAATGTCATGTAAATTAAGGTACCTTTTCTCAAAAAGAGCTCGAGCAATCCAAATCATAAATAGATAAATAGAGATATATCCGGGTAAGGAAAAGATTCCTTCTTTATTGGCTCGAAAAAATCCTGAACGATCTGGGCTGAGAATAAATGAACCCAAACCCATTGAGAGGAAAAGCTGGTGGCATGAAGCAATGATTATGGAAGTTTTGCAAGATGATGAGAAGAAATGAAATAGGACAGATGATATTACCTACAATAAAAAATAAGTTAACATTAATTGTTGATAAATTGATAAAATACGGTGAACGGTTAAGATTCTTACTCTTGTTAGACCGAGAACGATAAAGAAATTCCAGCTGACACCATATTCGGTAATTTCTTGATGGTAATCCGTCAATCTGACAAGAAGCATTCTTAAACCTCCAAGAATAAACAGTGGCAGAGATGGTGAGATAATTTTGGAAATTGAAATGGAACGATAGTGCAAGGTTGAAGATTGAGTTTCTTGCCGAGATTCAGCAGATAGGATTGCATTTAGTGCAACAAAATAAGCTACTCCAGTATCCATCAAAGTCCATCCATACACTTTGCTTTTAGCTAATCGATAAGGAAAAATTTGAAAATCAACAGCCAGAATAACAATGCTAACTGTTAAAACAACATTTGCCAAAAGGTTTGTGATAAAGGGCAATTTAACAGGCATCGGTTTAGAATGAAACACAATTTCAGGCCATTTGAGGACAACAAAAATTTTGGAATGTGAGAATAGTAAATGCAAGGAAAATATCAAAAGCAAATATGGTATGGTTGTTGTGATTGATTGAAATAGAGTTATGCTTAGTAGAAATGGTATGGCCAAAGCAGTTGATTCAATAAATATACGTCTACGAAAATATCTGTTAGGATGAGACAAAAAAGTCATGAATTAGAATCTAGAGAAAATCAAAAATAATTTGGTCAACTCACTTGGTGGTATCGAGGATAGGATAACATGTTAAAATGGAAAGAACCAAAAAATGAGAAAAAGTATAAACAATAGATAAATGGTACAACTCTAAAGGTGGAGTGTATTGGTAAAAATTGATGAATTCCGAGGCATTCATGGTTATCTGTCTATTATGGTCCTTGAGTTGTGAATCTGAAAATTTAAGAAAATGAAAAATATTAAAAGAAGGCCAAATTTTATAGAATTATGAACAAACCTTTTTAATAGAAGTCTTAGGACCATAAAACTGAATAGGTAAAGACCTTTTCAAAAGGTATACAATAGGAGAATAGGCACTTCATACAATCAAGTCTTTGAATCAACGATTATTGGATATAAATTACAATTGATTCATTTTTTTCCACTGATGATATTCAATAATTAGAAAAAGGATTGTCATGGCAGATGTAAAAATGATGGAAGTAAAGTCAACACATAAACCCATAAATCACATTAGCATTGGTTGTTGATAAGTTGTACATATTGTTGAAAGCTTGTATCCTTAACGCTGTTTTTCAAAGATTGGCCTGCAAATGGAGGAAATTAAACGATTTAGTGATATAAACAACATTAGAATTTGAAAAGTATCGATAAAAATGACATGATCAAGTGAAAACAGAATGCAACAAATATTAGTTTGAATAAAATGAGAATAGCGATTAGTTTAAGGAAAATCAACTTGACAAGTTATGTAATCAAATTTCTCTCATCAAGCGAATCCAAACATTTCAAGACTCATTAAATTGACTGATTAACGTTAATAGCGAGGAGAAAGGGTAAAAGAGGGAAGCTTGATACAAAATTAGAGTTAGTTAAAGCATGTCAAAACATGATACATGTAGTTAAATGTTGAAAAAACATAAAACAAGAACAAAGAATTTAATAAGCTTGATGAAATTGAAAATCTGTTGGAATTGAAATAAAAGAACTGATAGTATTTGATTACTTTGCTATCAAACAATTGAAATAATGCTGAAATGTAAAAAAGATGAACGAAAGAGATAACCACACAAATCAGAAATGAAGATAAGCTATGAACCACTATGTAACATGTATTGTTGTGTATTGTCAATGAGGAAGATTGGATTATTTAATGTTACAAAATGAATATTTTTTAGCAATGAATAAGGTTTAATTAACAGAGTTTCAGACAAGAAATTAGTAATTGAGATTTTAATTAGCTTTTATAATTACCTACTAATATTTGGAGACAAGTATAATTAGTTGACAGTTCCCCAGCTAGCAAAAAGAGCCCATTGATAAACCACAACTTTGGTACCAAAACTGGACAAGGAAAGGCACAAAGGAAAATATGAGAATGAACAAGTTGAAATAGCAACCAACAATTTATTTAATTTCAAGGGGAAAATGAAATTAAAGGTGTAGATTAAACGTAGTCAATATTAAATTAAATCTAAATTTATTGTTGTCAGCAAAACAGCTTAAAATCAGCTGATGATGAAGGTGAATAAAGGCGGAGTCAAATGTAGTCAAAACAAGTGTGTTTTAAATTTTTTGTTTCTCCACAATTTTCAATTGTTCATAATAATTTAACTAAATTTTCGTTGCTTGAAATAGTTACTAATCTGATCTTTACACTGAAATGAGGGTTTTGGAAACTGAGGAGGATGCTAAAGGGGATGGAAGACCATGTTACCATGCACGAATGGACTTGAAACATTGTGTTCTTGAATCTGACTGTGTTAAAAAGGTTGGTATACAATTTAACAAATTGAGATTCAATATTGATGTTTTTTATTTCGATTCAGGATGGAATGCGTCCTCAAGAATGCTTAAGACGAGCACATGAACTTCTACCCAATGAATGTGTCCAGTTTAAGAACCTATTGACTAATTGTAAACGTAGTTTGGTAAGTACAAATATTGTATCTTGAAGATCAAAATTGTAACCTAAATTTCTTTATTAGATTGATAATAGGAGACGATTCAGAGGACGAATTGAATAGAGACGAGCAATATGGTTAGAAACACGATTAACTGTATATTAAACTAGATATTTTAAATAAAATTATTTAATTTGTTGGCATCATAAGATTTCGAGGATATTGTTCAAGAAAAATAAGCATCTTACATCAACTCGAGCAAATTTTTTTCATCTTTGCTGCTCAACTATTCTAGTAAAACATGATTTCGACCCTCTATCGATTGCCCGTAACCTGGATTTTTCCTATTACTAGTTAACCGGTATTTCAGTTTGTTCTGGTCTCATCAGGCTCAATAGTTATTTCTGACCTTACGGTGCTGGTTAGATTTTTATTTATAACATTGCACATCTACCGAAGTATAAAACAATATAAAGGTGTCATTTTTTGTATAAAAAATGTAAAAAGGCTTAGAGTTTCAAAATAGAAGTGAGAATACTATTGTATGCATTTATCAATGTCGATATTATATTTAATCTCAAACATGGGCTTCGGTAATTAGTTAACTGTGTTAATCTTTTTTTGTTTTTCTAAAATGCCGCTCAAATGTTGCCTTGGTTATGAGCCGAGAGCAAGAAGGCGAAAGTCAGCCGACGGATTCTTGTTCAGCTTTAACTATTTTTGAAAACAGATGAATCGTGTATGAAAATTGTGCTTTTAAACGTGAATTTGTTATTTTTGTTTCGTTAAAAAGTTTTATTCTAAATCGTAACTTTATCTATAGTTGGTTCGGTTTCAATTCAAGAAATATGTGCTCTAATCTTGATACTGATATACCTGTCGCTCTGTCAAAGATCAAGTAAGATAAACTTGCTTATTGTATTTCAAAAATTCAATTACTTATTTTGATTTAATGCTGTTGTTTTTATTTTCTTATAGATTGGACCAACTTCAATTTTGTAAAAGATGTCAAGGAAAGCCTTTTGTTGTTATCCAAAGGAAGGATGTTTTTTGTCGTGATTGTTTTTATGAATATGGCTCTCATAAGTTTAGATCAACAATCGGCAAAACGAGGAAAGTTAAGCCTGGTGATCGAATCCTGGTTGCTTTTTCTGGAGGTGCGGGATCTTCAGCTATGTTGGACATGATTGAAGATGGTCTAAATAAATCTGCTAATCACAAAAAATTGATGTTCTCACCAACAATTTTGTATATTAGAGGTAAATTGACATTTTATTTATTTACATTATTTTGATGCGTAAATGATAAAAATTTCTTGTGTTTCCTTTTTAGAACTGAATTATGCAAATGAATCGGATGCAATTATCACCCAAAAAACACATAAGATTGTTGAAAGGCTAAAAAAATCATGTTTGTCATCAATGATTTCTTCGATGGAAATGATTTACCAGGACAAAGAAAAGCCAACTTTTGTGGATTTAGGTGATTTTGATCCTTTAGATAAAGATTGTCCAATCATCAATGATAAAGCACAGTCCAAATTTTGGTCTAAAATCAATAGTTTATCAACAGACACGAGCAAAGAAGACTTTTTAAGAATTTCAAGGTATTATCTTCGGGAAACCTTTTCCGAGAAACATTAATATAATCTATGATTCATAATTTCAGACAGCAATTGATACAAAAGGTTGCTACGGCTGGAAATTTCAAATATATTTTCGTTGGCAATACCTGCACAAAAACAGCTATACAGATGTTGACTGATCTAGCGCAAGGAAAAGGAAGTCAAATTACTTCAGAACATGTGAGTACTTTTGTTCAATTATAGACACAATGTGCTAATCTGTTTTTTCTCTCTAGTCTTTTACCGATAGTAGATTCAATGTTGAGATTCTTAAGCCAATGAGAGAGTTTATCAAAAAAGAAGTGCTTTTCTGGAATATTTTAAGAGGAACTGAACCAGTTGAATGGTCAACCATTACAACATTTAAAAGTAATAAAGCGAGTTTGATGAAATTAACAGAGAGCTATATAAATGGGCTTGAACATGATTTTCCCGCCACTGTTTACACAATTTTTAAAACTGGTAATAAATTGAAATTCCCTGATCCGAATGGAGTAATCTGTAAATTATGCAAAGTAAGTTACATTGCTTGGAGCCAACTTAAGATTTTATTAATCTGATTCTTTATTTCTATTGTCTAATAGTCCGTGATCGATCCTGAACAAAGATGTTCTGCGTCCAATGCTCTTCAATTGTCTCATCAATTGTCCAAGAATTTGGATGATGTTTTTATAAATGATGGCTCGGATAGAATTTTATGCTATTCATGCAATAATCTTGTAAATGAAATTAAAATCGATTCAACTGTGTCCCCACAGAAATTGGGAATAGCAGATTATTTATTGTATGATTAAATTTTCCTCATGTAACCATATATTTCTGTTACTTATTTCCGTATATTTTCGTGTTATTACTAGATGAATTTCGAGGAAAAATGACGATTTATTATCAAATTGATAAAGTACAAATATTTTTGATTGGTATTTACATAATGTATTGAAATGTAAGAATGAGATAGAAATAAGCACATGTGTGCATAAGGGTAAAGTTTCCTCTACACTTCGCACAAGTGTTACATGTGTAATCACACTATGGTCAAATTAAAAAGAAATTAGCTGCAAAATGATTCCTATTTTAGTTTAGCAACATGAAACTATCTTTGATTCTGATTATCCTGGCCAGGCGGGGGATCAATACCATTAGACAGAGGAGGACCACCACGGCCTCTTGGTGGTCTATCATTACCTCTGCGATTGCGTTGTGCTAGATCATAGGCTTGACCTTGTACTGGAACATAGCCTCGACCCACTCCTAGATCCAAGACTCGAACTGGTGGAGCTGGTGCTCGTCGTGGTGGTGGTAATAGCACTGGCGCTGGCACTGGCGCTGGAGCGTAAAAGCGTTGCACTTCAGGGATCGGAAAAGCGGCTCGATCCAACATAGCGTCAGCAATATTAATACGGATCAATTCTTCCACATCAACGGCATTTTCATCATCCTCTGCTGGAGGACCACGTCTATCACGTTCTTCTCTTTCAGGGGGCATATTATAGTTATTGTTGTTATTATGGTTATTATGGTTATTGTGATTATTATTCATGATGAAGTTAACTTGGGAACAAACAAAAGTTGAAATTTTCCAATTGATTAAAACAATAAGGTGTATAAAACTAGAACTATTAAGATGACTTGGATGATGAGAGCAACTTAGGTTGAGAGAGGAAGACACAATTAAAAGTTAAAAGATGGAATTGAAGTGATGTCCAAGAACCAAAGAGGTATAATGACAACTCTAATCAAGTAGCAAGTGCTTTTATATCCAATTTTGAAGTAAACAAACGGTAGAAGAGGTTAACTTCAAAGTCATTTTTTTTAAATTTGAATCAAATTGTGTTCGTTACCCATTTAAACCGTTGGGATTTGACTAATTTAATCTTTTGCAGTGCAAGCAAAAAATTTGATTTTTTTCTAGCGCAATAATTCATTAAATGATTACCAATAAAAAATTTAGGTGTGATTAGATTTATTTATTTAAAATTCGTATTCATTTACATTTGACATAAATTGATTGAAGGTAAAATTAAATGGTCAATTTATTTAGGATTAATAAATGCTTGAAAATACAAATTAAAATTGATTGTTATGTAAAAATTCAAGTGTCAATTTTTAAACAAAGAACATGCTTTGCTTGCGAAATTTAGTGTCAATACTTTTTACTAGATCGTTCAAACGAGTTGCGATATTCGTTTCATCGCGAATTCTTTCCTCTCTGCTCTTTCCTCTGAGGTCTTGCTTTTCACCTCCACCAACTATCCATTGTCGTGCTCTATAAGCAAGATTGTGTGCATGCATCACAGGGGCTGGAGCTGAAGTTGAACGAGTACATCGTTCAAACAGATGGCACAGATGAAAACTGACTTGAGACATTTCTTCCGTACTCAAGTTATTATCGTCATGAACTAAATAATAATGGCAAGGCCGTGAAGTTCCTTGAATACCCTCGTGTCCATATTGAAAATAGTCGAAATCGGATGGATGTGTTATAATCGAATCGATTGTGGTACCAGGAGGAACGTTTCCATGTTTGCCAACTCCCTCGTTTGGATTGACCGGCCTTGTTCTAGTCTGGATTCGTTTGCTGATAATTACTGCTGTAACTGCAGGTTTGTAAGGATCACTCTGTCCATAAGGTCTTAATAAATGATTAACCTCTTTAGTCACAATTTGAGAGTATTGGCCTTCAGAGACTCCATCTCTCAGGTATAAAATTGTAGAAGGTAAACTTCCATTTGATTCCTTGAAGTTTTGCAAGTGTTCCTGAATCATTGCCTGAAAATCTTCAATTGTTTCTGTAACCGACTGGACAGCATTCTTTTTTGGCTGGACACGAACAGATGGATAAAACATCGTATGATCCTTGTCGTAGGTAGAGACAGAAGCAGCAACTGATGAGTGTAGTTCATCTGCTTCACCTGGATGAGTAACGTCAGCTCCAATTATCATGATTTTCTTTTTAAGAAGAGGTGGCTTGTCATCTTGTTTGAGAATTACATTGACACCGCCGAGTTTTTTATTTACTTTAGCTAAAATGTTAGCAATGAGCTGCGGTGAACATTTTCTAACATTTTTTGAAGCAACACCCTGAGTAGGAAAACAAAGCTTAACATCGGCTACTCTTTTCGTTAAATTATAAATTGATTTATCAGACGGAAAGAAGCACAAGGCAAAAGCGCAGCCTTGGTCCTTCATTTCTTTCAACATTGCAGCAATTGCTGCCGACTTGACTTTTTCTTGTTCATTTCGCAATTCCGGTGGCCAGTTTTTGATTACAGGCTGACTTGGTGCGGCCATCATTTTCATTTCACATGCTTTCGTTACAAACATCTTACAAAAGTTTATACCATCTTCAGGACTTGCACAGAAATTCAAGACACCAAACTTGCTGAATTTCTTATTCTTGTAGAATGTGCATTCCCTAAGGTCCCATTTTCCGTCTCTTGGAGTGACCATTTTGTTCTGGTCAAAGATGAGTTTGGGGGCAGCCAGCACGAATCCGGTGACTCCAATCGGCTTGATATCAATATTCAAACCAAACTGTTCTAGAGTATCATTAATTGTTTGACGAATTTGTTCATGAGCTTGCAACAAACAGGTAAATCTTGCATTGGGTGGCGTAGCAGTTAACTTAATCATTTCAGCTTGCTCGTCTGGACTTAAACGAGTCAATATGCTCGATGGGGTTTGATTTGCAACGATTTCACAAAGTTCAATCGGGATCATTGCACATTTACCAGCTCTTAAACAGGGCAAGTTAGGATATCTAAGAGTCTTTCCATATTTTCGTTGAAAATATTCTGCAACTGATACAGTTTCATCGACCTCTCCTTCTTTCCAGTGGAAGGTTTCGACATTAGCTGCATTATAAGTGACACCCTTAATTTTATAATTTCTGTTGAATCCGAGGTGATCAGTAACCACTTTGACACAAAGAAAGGCTCTCCTGATGGCCTCTATTTGATGCGTTCCAGGTCGGAAGTTGGAGAGATCAACCTGACGTCTCGGATCCGAATTAAGAACCCAATTCAGGAAATCAATAGCACTTCCAGACTTACGAAATGCTGTAGCGGCCCTGTCGACTACCAAAGTCAGTCCAATTTCAGAAAGTCGAAGAGACTTTCTATGCCCCAAGGCCAACTCCATCCAACTCGATAAAAGTTGTCGATCTCCATCAACTGGGAACATAGCGTAACGGCCCAATGAAATCATATCAGAGCGGGAAGGAAACTTTAAGATTACTTCAAGTGCTTGAATGGTTTCTTTAGGAAAATTTGATGAACGTCCGGCGTAGTACTCGTCCAAGGATGATAACGGAATGGTATTGGCCAATTTAAATGCAACACTAAATGTGCCACGTCGATCTTCCAATTGAACATCTGCAACGCCAAGTCTTGAGCCAGTACATTTAAGTTTATATGGCGTATAAACATTTTTACTGCCATCGTAGCCAACAGAAGATGGATTTTGGAAAAATTGTGAATGATGGCTCAAAACTGCATCAAACAAACGATAGCAATCTGCACGATTCAACTTTTTCTCGGTTGGCTTTTCCTTACTTTCTGGATCAGAACCATGATACAGCCATGAAAAGTCATAATGGTAAATGCTAATATCCGACGAAAATTTAAATGCAAAGTGGTTTGTCATCAATTGGATTCTACGGGCAAAATTTGTTGACAAGTGCCCTTTTCTTGGCACGAATTCGGGTTTAATTGTATTAAGCGCTGAAGCGGTATAATTCCATTGGATATTATCTGAAGAGATCAGTTTAGGATCGACTATGTCCCGACTTTCACCATAGCCTCCTCGACCTCGGCCTCTGCCATAGCCGTCACCTCGGCCTCTGCTTTGACCTCCTCTAACGTATTCACCGCCTCCACCTCTAGCATACCCAGAGCCACCACCTCTAGCAGATCCAGAGCCGCCACCTCTAGAGTAACCACCACTCCCACCTCTAGGATTTCCACCGCCACCTCTACTGTAGCCACCGCCACCTCTAGGTCCATCACCACGATAATAGCCACCACCACCTCTGGAGCTCATTGTAGATATAATTAAAAGTCACAAGTAAGAAGTAGAATAAGTTGAATAAAACTTGTAAAGATGATTAAAAAATAAATATCGAAAAGAAAAAATTAAAAGCAATAAGATTAAAAACAGGAGATGGAAGGAATAATCAGAACTGACAGAGAACTGTAGGATGTTATGATAATAATATGATGAATATGAATCTATCACTTTCATCATCATTTATAATCCAAATTTTGTAAACAAATTTAAACTCCCTCTTACGGTTGGTAACAAAACTCTGAAGTAACCATAGTAATAGATGTCCTTTTGATATCATTGTTAGTTCAAAGCAGTTTTTATCGTTAATTTTCGTCAATTTTTTATATTAATTTTAACCGTCGTAATCTTTTGTAACGCTTTCTTAAATAGCAAATTATGGATCGTGATAAATTTGATTCTTTGCTGGTAATTTATTATTTTCTTCCTCCTTGGCAATTTTTAGTATTATTACTAACTTGAACTTATATTTTGCAGAAATGGCTATTATTGGAAAAATTTGATCCCTCGCCGACTTATATTGCAGGTTAATTGATAACTTAAAATTAGCAGATATTATGTATTACTAATTTCGATTTTGAGGTTCTAATTGTCAAATGTTTCCTATTTACATGCAGATAAAGGCTACTTACCTGAACCATTGTTGATCCCAGGTTATTCTTCTTTCTCTTCTTACATTATCTTTCAAAAAACTGAATATGTGCCTGTTGAAACTGATGATTCTTTCACCAAACTACGAAACTTTCAAAAAGAGCTATTGTCACCTAAAAATCTGGAGATTTTGACAATCCTTGAATCTGTTATTACATCAGTTGAATATAGTCTGGTTAACAGTAAGATAAAGAATTTTGGCTCGAGTCCATTCAATTCATTCAACTTTAACAAAAATAAGAAGCAAGCATCTTTACAAATTTTGGTCAATCCAAAGCAAAGTATCGTTGAAATTTTGGAAACTTTATTGGTTCCTAATATTGGTATTGTTGATAATTTTGAATTTTTCGTTCGCCCAAACTATCCTGATGCCTATCTAGCCTATTGGTTGATATGTAAAGCTATCAAAGATTCTAATCTGGCCGGAGTCTCTATTAAATTATTCAATGAAACTTGTCCAATACCTGATCTCATACAGAAGAAGTCTATAGTCTATCCACCAACTTTAGCAGTTGTTATGGACGATGCTGATGTCTTTTCATCTGTCGATAGATTGATCGACCTGCTAAGCAACCTACCTATTGTCCATCGCAAAGTTGATATTTGGGTCCAGCAGAGTGTCAAGAAAAAATTTGCTGACAAGTTTATAGTGAAAGCATCAAAGTCACAAGCTCATAAGAGCATTTCTTCAATAATTCAGGCTGATGCAATCAATCCGATTCTTATCGCAAGTTGTGACCCAAATGATGTTTTCATAAATTTATTAACTTTTCGCAAAGTCGATGAACTGTTGGCCTTAATAAATCGTTACCAGTTGGTTCGTGAATTGAGCATTTGGACTTCCAACATTTCATTCTCATTGGAGTTGATAAAAGGAATAAAAACTAGTCGATTATTTACCGTCAACACAATCAATGACTTTTATCTGTCTGGCCATTGCAACTATTTATATTTTTCAAACACGCCTTATCAGCTAACAACTGATTTTGAATCAGATTTCTCTAGTGTGGTGCAAATCAGCTCAGTCATCGACAATTTAAAAAACTTTGATTTCAAGAGAGCACTGGATATTAGTCACAAGGCAACATCCTCTAATGAGGCAGATCTTTTTTCAACATTGGTTTCCAATTCATCCCAGGGTAAAAGTGATTTTAAAAATCTGATTAGTCTGGTTAAGGCGAATCAATCTACTTTCCAATGCATAAACAAATGTCTGATGCTACGCCAGTTGATACCAATCGGAGTTGTTTTTATTCATTTAGATGAAAAAAGTAAAGAGTATGGAGATAACTGGTTTCTAACTTTAATTGCTTCTATAATACTTAACGGCAATTGCTGTGTTATAGTCAACTCTCAGGCGGAAACTGATATTCCTGATATTGAATTGTTGAAATCGACCTTTGGGTCAAAGCTTATCCTTACGTCTACCAATGTCAAATCAATACCAAAGGGATGGCTTTATAAAGACTCTCAGCTAGTTGGATTGTCCTTTGATGCACAAACCCTGTACAATTTAGTCAATCCTCACAATTTATCACATATTTTTGGTACTGTTCGGTCTATCTTCTTTCCAATTGCAGATCAAATCAGTTTAGTTCCATCAACACCCAGTCAATATTGAAGATAAATGATTATTTTGTCCCAAATTATTCTGGAAAATATTCATGTTTGGTACAAGACAAGACAGGTAATCCAAGAGCATGTATTGATATACACAAATGAATCATTGATTTGGTAGCCATGAAATGCATCAAGATGAATTAATAACAAATTATTCAAAAAGTGTTGCTGCTGTTAACGGTCTTGAAACAATCAATTTATACCAATCATTCCGATGAAACCTTTATTTTTTTATTCACCATTTGCCTGATTTCATCCGATGTGACTATTTATTGTTGCAATTCATAATTAACCAAAGTAACAATCATTGTGGATATTTGTAACTTGAAGTCTTCTATCTTATACAAAGTGTTACATCATTTTCTGATCTTATATTTGCTCTGGAATTATGGTTTATCAGCAAAATTCATTTGTTTCAAGAGTTTATCTAATATTAGTCTACACAATTATCTCACCACTCATCATTAGACCTGTTTATTTACAAACTCCGTCTCCCTCTTGTGGATCGCAAGAAGCATATTACGCCAATTCGCAAGACTGTAGATCATATTATTATTGCTGGAACAACGAAGTTTACCTTCAGTACTGTCCCAATGGATTATACTTTCATCTAGCTGGACGAACCTGTGAACCAGCCGGAGTTGCTGACTGTGGTGGCTATTCAGGCAATGGAGGTTTTTCAAGTACTACAACCAGGAAACCTGGTCTTTTCGGTCCATCTTTATGTACAAAGATTTGTAGTGATCCAGATTTGGCCAAAAAGTCTCCGGTCAAAGGAGTCTTCTATACATTCTGCCAATGCACTGACATCAGTACAACGCCGATTCCAAACTATGCCGCTTCAGTACCATTAACAACTCCACAGCCCAACGTCTTCAGTATCATCACTAATTTTATCAACTCTATCTTTCCAGGAACTCGTTAACCAAGATAAATCTAAATGTATCCTTTTGTACCTTAAGATATAAACCTTATATGCTGACTCATATTGATCTTTCATTCCGATACAAAACCTCATTTATTTTGTTTATCAACTCCATTGAGATAAAATTGTGTTTTGTTAATAATCAATAGACAGTAAACCATAGAATCATTACTCGTAACTTGAATAAGACTTGAAAAATGAGATTAAACTGAACATCAAGTTGAAACGTTAAGTTTGGGTTGAATTGTCTGAGAAAACATTTGAGCTCAAGTATCAAAAGCTAAAATCATTAGTCATAAAATATCGAATGATTATAGATTACTTTCAGCCGAGTAATGATGAGCAATTAGTGATTGTCACAAGAAAAATGGCAAATAGGTTGATCACAATATCACTGAAATGATTCAAACGGAAATGGGAAATTAGTTCCCATGAAATTTGTCTTTAATCAATTCCTAATTCACCATAATAAATACAAATTAGCAATCTATCATATTCAAATCATCTACTGGTAAATATTAATTTAGGTAATTAAAGATGAAAGACGTAGAGATGTTAATTGAAACCAGTAAACACTGATAGTTGTAAATAGATGAATGTTACCGAATAAATTTTGACTGATTAATGCAAACACACATCAACTTGTTTATAAACTGAAATAGTTGATTAAGGAGACCTAAAATTAACACTTGAAATAGTTACATTAAAATGAGAATGGTTGAAATTGAAAAACAATGTATCAAGAAATGAAGAAGTCACCTGTTGTTATGCTGTTTAAGGATTAATTTGGTTATTCATGGCACCTGAGAAGCCTCACTTTTTATCCAAGAACTGAATCCCTCCCTTAAACTGTTAGCAGTGGAAGCAACAAGAGCAATTAGTTGATTTATCAATACACCAACAAATACAATTTAGTCTGTTTACTTGTGTTAACCAACTAGTCTTACCTTGATAAGATTGAAGGCCACTAGTTAAAGGTAACAATGACATGGTTTACTTTTATATTTCACTTTCATCGTTGACCTAATGTTGCTGACCTTGATCAATATAATAGGTGAACATTTGTTGTGCCTTTAAACAGGTGAGTCCCATTTAAAGTGACTTTATTAATTATAAGACGAAGAAAAAATTAGAATGTTCAATTTTACTTTCATTTTAATAGGCCAAGATCACAATCCAGGAAGATTTCAGTTAAACCAGGTTAGATAACCATGTTTCAGGGTCAATATGGGCTAAATCAAAGTCAATTCATCACCTAAAAATCCAATTGGAGGTTAAATCAGCCCAGCCCTTGGCCTTTCAAGCTCCAAATACAATCAAACTCGGCCTACTAAACAACTAAAGGAATCAAATCAAATTTAACACCTCCTTTAAACATTCAACTCAAGGTCTAATCATTTTCCCTCCCTAATTTATCCTTCATATCATCCGTATATCATCTTGATCTTCAAGCTATTACAAACTCAACAATTCAATTACAATTTGAAAACCACCAATCCACCACAAAGCAGCCAATCAACTGAAAATTAAACTAGTTGCATCGCTATCAAAAGATCAAACGCAAAGGTTGCAAATGGTCATCGGTATAAATTGTCCAACCATCATCTTTTCAAGTCAGTTTAGTTTAAACAGTCATGAATGGTGCATCACTGACTAAAGATTATCAGATCCTTTCAGTTGGTTGCTAATAGAGTGGTGTTGTGATTATATTCAAATTCAAGTGTTAATTGCTATTAAATCCGTGCTTTGGTGAAGAAAAGAGATTCTTGGAGAAATGTTTTTTGATTGAAAATTTTGCCTGAGATCGTCTGGTTGGCCAAGTTGATTGAACCTCTTTCAACGACTTGAATTATATTCCAGCAGATAACTGATTGAGTAAAAATACTTGACAATGTATAGATCCAACTGAAAAATCTGATTAATTTGATCCTCTATCTGCATCCTGTTTCAAAAATTTATTCACACAAATATGCTTGGTACTTTTATTGTATAAAAGGCCAAGTAATTAAATTCTCAATTTGTGTTCATATGAATACACTTGATTAAATATGATACATTATATCCAGAGGATACAAAACAACTGATTATCCACTATTAAATAAACAAATTGATAAAAAAGAGATGACAAGGAAATAGACATTTCTGGAATGATAGAAGACTTGGATAGTAAAAAAGGCAATTAGATGCCATCCGATTGATTTAGATGCAAATTTTTGAATATTATTGTTTTGGCACAGTTGATGTTTTTTCACTTTTTGTTCACACCAATGGATGATTCATTACGCCTTGGGCCGGACACAAACGTAAGCAATGCCAAGACATGCCAAGCTACCGAAAGCTATTAAAATAACTGTATAACCACCAAATATCCAGGCCAGTAACTTGAAAGATGTTGTATCTTTCCTTGCTGTTTTGGTCTCAGCATTTAATGGATCATCAATTGGAGCACCGTTCACTGGAAAAGAGAGAGCAAATTCATTAGACTCACACCACCTAAAGGTTACTTTCACTTTTGTTTTTGTCTTCATTTCTAACCTATTTTATATTAGTTTAATTGACTTACCTAACGAGATTAATGTGTAAATGATTGTTGAATCTACAGGTCCATGGTTCCAGAAATTTTAAGTGTTTTCCATTTGAAGACGGTTGGAAAAAAACAAAGGATTAATAATGATGACTACTTTGGGTGAAGGAAAGTCATGCTGTTACCAGATGGTAGCGAAGTGATATTACTTACAAATAAGGATGGAAGTTAATAAACGTTTTGAAGATATTTTGATCATGGTTAACGGAATTTTCAGCTTCTGAATTACTGGTTAAATTTGGTAAAGGTTAATAATTCCAGGAGAAGGTAATTATACGAGTTATTTAAACAATGAATGTCTCTAGTTGGAAGTCAATGATGATGAAAAAAAATGATATGGTTACCACTATTTTCATACAATTAACCTAATCTCTTTTTCACACTATCTTTCAACCTATTCCATCATCCCCTCTCATCCCCTTCTTCTCTGTCTATTATACTTCTGTCTATCACTATTTTTTCAACTATTTTACCTTTCCAACTGTTGACTATTCATAACATCAAATGTTTATCTAACGTATGTAAAATAAAAATGGAAATAATTTTCAGTCTTCAATAACTCAGTAAATATTGATGATAGACATTTTATTTTTTGCATGCTTTGAGAGAGTAATAATAGTTAATGAATAATGGCGTTTAATTTTTAACTAATAGTCTTAAACACCTTGAATACAAGAAGTAAATTGCATCTTGCATTGATTTACTCCTTATCCTATCGATTAAAGGTGACTTCCATCAACCATTTATTGAAATTAAAAATCTCAATATGTCGTTATCTATGGTGTGACATCACATCTTCTTATCTTCTTTCTTTGATTCATTCAATTTAAAAAATTGATCTCGATTTGATGAATTGAGATTTGATGGAAGCCACCTTAAGTCTTTGAATTTCAGCAAACCTTCTGTATAAATTTTGAGTTAATTTTTTGCAAAAATCATCAATAGGCCTCAATTGTTGACATTTGAGTGAATTTTTTGCTAATTTTTACTTGCACTCTCTAGCTTTTCATGCGATTTAGGCCCGAATTTTGAAACTTGATTTTTTTAAACTTCAGCATGAGTTGTGATTCAGACAATGCTGTAATTTTTCATATTTGAATTCAAGAGACCCTTAAAAACATATGATAAAAATCTGGTCCTAGTGAATCCTGAGAATTTCTTTCTATTTACTTTACATATTTTATGATTAATCAACATTTCAGTAGTAAATCTTAATTTAAATTCAGAATTTTATTTTATAGAAATGGCTTAACAAAACATGAAACTCGTTATTTCATTTTAAATTAAATCTTCTCTATAATTTCAGGGAATATTTAAACTTCTTGACTGTCTTCAACTGCGGTTGAGTGTGATTCACCATTGGCATCAGCAGTACATGGTTCGATAGTTTTGATTGCTGATCTGAATGCTTCATGGACTTTCTTGTTATCAAAACACAAAGTTCCACCTCCTCGCTTAGCTTGAGAAAGCATACGGTTAACATCACCAACACAGGTCCATGGGTTCTTTGAATCAGATGAGATTCCCCACTTGGAGTGATCCTTAATGAATTCCCAATCACCTGAAGTTTCACCAGATTTGAATTCAATCTTCAATCCCTTAACATTGTTAACAATGTCATCAAGTGTACAGTCACTCTCCAAGATACCACCTGCACCTCGTCTCCAGGTTTCAACATACATGGGAACATCAAGAGCTGGGGCTACAATGGCTCCATACAAATCAACAAGATTTTTAGGATTTTTGGAGAAGGCACGGAATTTGGTTCCACCAAGACTGGTGATGACTGTTTCCAAGCTTTCTGGAGCATCTTTTGGAGCTCGGTACTTCTTATTGAAAAGATTGGCCCAACCTTCAGAGTCAGATGGGATTCCATCAACCAAGTTGTTTGAAAAGACATTTGGTTTCATCAAAAGAAGATGTTGAGCCAATTTTGGTCCTTCTGATTGAGTATCGAATGAAATACACATTGAGGTTTGACCATTGTCTCGTCCAGATTCAGGATAATCATAGGAATCGTCAAAAGTATTAACAAATTTAGGAACGGAGTGGACTATGTAGAAACCAGTTGACTTGTCCATAACGATAACTCCCTTTGAATGAGCTTTGGTTCCACTTTCTGCATTCAGGATCCAAAAAAGTAAAAGAAATCAATTGATTAATATTTCTCGATTAGCTCAAAATTATATAAATACTATGGAACAGACCTTTTCCCTTGGATGGAGCGTCATTCCAGAGAGCGTATGTGTACTTGGATGGGTCTTTGTAGGCTGCAGCTAAGGTTTGGCCCCACATTGAGTCCTTGTCTTTGACAGACTTTTCTGAGATCTTCCATTTTCCATCTTTGAAATCGTCTGAAGTAATGTAAGCATAGTTGAAACCAGTTCGTCCAGCTAAAGTCGATTGCAGACTTTCGTCGCTTTCTCGAGGTAATTTGTAGATGACATACCAGTCGACATCGTTTCCCTCTTCATCCTTACACTTTAAGGCAAATGAAGATGAGACAACTGAAACTAACAGTAAAACTAATTTGAAATCCATCCTTGTGATTATAATTCAACCGATCGGTAAAATATTCTGTCCTTTTCAGCGAAATTTCCATTGTTATTTATACTTGATCAGAATTTTAGTTTGACATTTCATTGAGATGTTCATTTGCTCTATAACATTCTGATCATTGCTAAATTCCCTGCCATTTTCACCTGGTCTTCAAAGCCAGAGCGATTGTCAATCTTATTTGTATTGTTGTTTCAAAAATTGTTATTGCAATTGTCATTTTATAATTGTTTTTGTGTCGTATTTTGTATTATTTAAACATGAGAAAAGCTTTCTCTGCTGACGTTATTTTCACGACTGAAGCTTACAAATTTTCCGAGCACTTCAATCAAATTTTGGTGCAAGAGTTGTATTTTTTGCAACTAAATATCATGGTTAAGGTTTTGATTCTTGTATTCTAGATCAAGAGAATCATCTTTATCAAAGTTAACTCATCAAACCATCAACTGATTTGACAGTCAATTTTCTATCAATGAAGACCTTGTTAATGATTTTGTGATTAACTGCTCTTGAGTTATAAATATGAAAGTTTATGATCTTTTCTCAATCAAGTGTTTTTCACTGTTGATTATAAACAAATGTTTTTTTGCATGAATTAGCTTTGCAAGAAATTTAAAATTTGGTAATTTTAATATAAAATTAAGTTGTTTGCTTTTATAAATTGTTTCCAACAATCTCGTAACAGCAAAAATTTTGCCCCACAGAAGCATTAAAACAAGGCCAAAGAGATGAAAACATTAAAATACTGATGAAAAAGAGTGAAAAATTGAAGAAGCAAAACTGATTGAAGACGATGTTTAGTACTGATTGCTAACCAGACAACAATAACAACTAAGGCTGGTCTTGACAATTAGCCTGAATTGACAACTTCCTCCTTAATCGTTCCAGCATCTTCAGGTTTATTGTTACTAGCTTTACTGTGTAGACATTTATCAGTGTGAACATTTTTATTCAAAAAAATTCAACATAAAATTATCCATCTTTTAATCGTAGCCATTTTTTTCAAGTTGATAGATAAATGAATGTGATTTTAAATTGTGACTTAATTTGAAGACTCTTCTGATCAGCACCATTGGAATAAACCTTTTCCACTTGTTTCTCTATCCAAACCATGGATGTGGAAAGTGAATTTGACAATTTCTCGCAAGTTAATTATCCTCATTTCCATGAATCGGGCAATTTTGTTTTAGATCTGTTTTCCATATCAATCTGCTTAGAGATTATAATTGGTAATTTGTTAGTAATAATTGTTGCCTTCAGATATAAGTGTTTTGGATCCAAATCAACGAATCGGTATATCATCTCCTTAGCCGTCTCTGACTTGACCATTGGTGTGATAGTTATTCCCTTAAACATTCTAGAAATAGCCAAATATCATCTTCTCTTTCTATTCCAAGAAATCTCAGTTATATCATCCATCTTTAACCTGACGGTATTGTCCATGGATCGTTACATGGCCATCCGTAAGCCAATCGGTTATTCACGTAAACTGACTACCAGACAGGTGAATATAAACATCTTTCTGGTTTGGTTTTCCACACTGGTTATTGTTAAATTACCACACATAATGGATTACGCTTGTATTGGAACTCATGACGAAGATTCAGCCATCTGTGATTTTCTCCATGGTAAAGAAATTCTGGTTGTAATCCTTCTCCTTATCTTCTATTTACCACTCATACTAATGATTTGCTTCAATGTTGGCACATACCGTTTGGCTTTGGCTAGTTTAACACTTAAAAGGAGACGATCTCGGTTGAAAACTAAATTTAATTATATCACAAATGATGAAAATAGTGGAATTAATAATGGTGTTGATTTAGATGGTAATGAAATGTCACGCTTTTCAGCTTTGATGATCCAACACAAGCTATCTTTTACCCTAGGATTAATCATGCTGGTCTTCATAGTTTGTTGGGCGCCATTTTTCATTGTGTCCACAATAATTTGCCTTTGCTCTGAATGTACACAATTTTTAGCTCCAATCCATAATTTTGCTATCTGGTTGGGTGTTGTTAATTCTGGCATGAATCCAATAATTCATTTCATCCTGAGTCGAAAATTTCGGACATCAATAAAGTCACTTTTCTGTCTAACCAGTGCCTCATCTAAATCATATGTACCTCGTTTCTCCTCTGTAACCAGGTCTACCAACACATCTAACGTTTTATCTGGTAAATTTAAATCATCGTCCAATGGTATTTGAACCATCATGATATCTTAATAATGTATAACCTGAAACTCTGTTACCATGATTTCCATGAGCCAAATGAATCTTGTTATTTTGTGCTTTACATGCTCTTGTTTACAACTCACAAAGAAACCACTTAAAATGCATTCAACATTTTGTTTTCGATTTTTAATCTAACTTGATTGATCTGAAATGCCTTTTCAACAAACTGATTAATTTCCATCATACCAAAGAATTAACACATGTTTATTAATCTTCCCCTAGCAATTGGTTATTACAATTGAATCACTTTTTTGCTTCACTGTTCAAATCAGCTTTTGTGCTACAATTGGTGATCATTATATCTCTGTTATGCGATACTGTAAATGTTATGTTTGTATTAATCTTATGTGTCTGACTATGCCCCTGTGTGTTGGTGTGTGGTTGCGTGCTTACGCCAATCAAAACACCATCAACGACATTCATAGACCTTGGACGATAATCATCAAGCTTCTTCTTAATACTGAAAATTCAATCAAAAATTTATAACAAAAACTCTTCCTGTTTCTTTTTAATCAACTCAATTCTGTTGACAACAGTTATTTGGGTTACATCCCCATCTTCATCGTTAACAACACCTTTAACTTATTGCAATCAACAATGCTCAACATTAACATGACAATTCATTCCATAAACACTCAAAAATCAGTCAAAGCCCACTTTTAGAGGAGAAACAAAACAAAACAATCATTCATCAAATATAAATTAATAAAATGTAAAATGATAAATTGTAAAAAACTATCATCAAAAGACGAAGACTGAATCTTCATACATTCACTAGATACCAAAAAATACCATTAAAAATGCTAGCATCAAAATAAATATCTCAATTTTTATTTCAAAAATTCATAATTTGCTTTCAAGAAAGCAATCAATCTAATATCACTCAAAATTGACGCACATTTCATCAATCCTGACAATTTCAACGATCAAACCACCTAATATATCTATTTTAGAGTCTGATCAAAGCTGTAACTGAATTCACCTCAAGTTAATGTGAGTTTATCAGATATTTGAGTTGAAAGGTGATTAAAACCCGATTTTATTCAAGGAGATGGGCTTTGAATAGCAGTTTACTTGTATTTGAATATGTGTTGGTCAAAGAGGCGAAGATACTTGCACCTGTAAAGACATTAAATACCTAAAGATGCTACAAAATATGTCAACAATGTAGTTAAAATCAATGATGTTAAGTACCAGTTGATTCTTAATGCTTACCATAACAACCTGTTAACCTAAAATAGCTCACGCTCTTTATGCGTCTCACAGGTCATTTGTTGCTGTCTGTTGTTTTCTTATGTTTTTGTCTACAATTTTTGCCTCTCTAGTTTGTTGTTGTTAACTTGGTTATGGTTGAATAGACAATTAAATCAATTAATTTTACAAATCATGTTTAGTGGTTTAACATCAACAGGTAGCAAGTTCATCTATTTCTTGTAAACCACAATAATTGCTACTACTGTTTATAAGATCATCTTGATGATCAAGTTTGAATGCCTTTTATTGGAAACAAGTAAGTTGGTTGTGTTTACCTTTTACTCTTAAGTTAATCCTTTCCAACATTTGTTTTTACTCATTTTTTTTATTCACTGTTTCTCCTTTTCTTACCTCTTTTAGGTGAGTTAACTTGATTGATCGATAAACCATTATTCAACCTCTCAGCACCACCGCTATCATCATTATAATCAACATCATAATCACCAGCCATCAGTCATCGTCAATCTTGGGGTAAGGTTTGTAAATAACAACAACAACAGCAAAAAGAAAGGAAAAAGTTGCAACTTCTCTTACTATAATCTAATAAATTTGGCTAAACGGGAATATTGATTGTAAATTTGTGAGACTGACAACGTGCAAATGGTTAGTCAGATCAATCTTGATGTTAGGTTGATGTGACAATTAAATTAAACAGTTTGCCTTGACAAGGTGTTTCATCCTTACTTGTGACAACTTTAATGAGTTGAATTAAGTGTATACACTGAAAATTACCTTGGATTCACCATGGCTCAAGCTGGATTAACAGAAGAAGATATACCTGAGGGTAAAGTTAACCAAGGTTAGTACAATGTGACCCTAGTTAGTGCCCTTAAACTGACTCAGTTATTCTCTTTTCGTCTACAGTTTGTCGTGAATGGCTTGTGAGGGAGGACAATGCAATTGCTTACAGGTTACAGGATGAAGAAAGTAAGGTTTCTTTGTGTTGTATATTTACATGTGTATTTACTTTATTTTCATTTTACTTTTTTTTCTAGTCAACCAATTTTACGAAGGCAATCGTTATAAGAATCAAGTTTTTCGAAGTGATTTGGAGCAAGCAAGATACATTCATGAGAATGAGGAATTTGAAAGAATGATGGAATTTGAAAGAGAAAAGCAAAGACTTGCAGATGAAGATGAAAGGATAGCAAAAGAGATCCAAGAAGCTCTTTTGGAAGAGGAAAGGCGCAAAGCAGAGGAACTGAATATAATTGCCGAAGAAGATGAAAAATTAGCTCTAAGATTACAAGAAAAGGAGAAGGAACGATTAAAGAGGAAAAAGCTACAAAGAGAAAGGTTACAAGTTGAAAAGATAAGGTTGGAAAAGTTTGGCTCCATGAACCCTGATCTTTTAGATGCTGTTAATAGGACAATTGCAGATATGGAAGACGCTGATGTTATTGGAGATCTCGGAAATCCAATAGCTGGGACATCAAACTCGGCAGGAATAACTGAAGACGATTTATCTGATTTTTGTATGAAACCTCCATCTGGTTTGACTGATGAAGAAATGAATCATTTTATGGCTGAACAAGATGAAGAATTGGCTCACTTCTTACATCAATATGAGACAACAAGGAAAGCTGCTATTGCTAAGGAAAAGAAACAATGGATAGAATCTCAAGATTATGAAATTGCACGTATTTTACAGGAAGAAGAAAGAGCACGAGCTAAACGTGCTCGGGAAAGAGCTCGTCAAGCTAAATTGGAACGAGAAAGGTTGCGAAGAGCAGAACAAGAAAATAATTACAATAAATCTAATGGTGACGATGCAACTTCTACCGGTTCAAATACTTCAAAAAGTAACAGCAGTAGAGGCCATTATTATTCGAGAGAGCGAATCGACTCTTACAAGCAACCAATACAAGAGTCATATCAAGAATTGGAAGTGTCGGAAACATCATTCAACGATAACAATTGTTCACCAACTCTTGAAGCTAATTTATCCAATGTTTCTTTGGATAATAATGATTTGGCTAAACGTGATCTTCCTCCGATACCAAGCTTTCATAATGTTGCAATGGATCTTGATCCAACTTATAAAAAACGCCAAAAAAGTAATAAAAAAATTGAACCCGAAATTACCACTGATTTGACTGGTGTTCACTTCGCTCAATTATGCCGAGTATCACCGTGTTCATCATCATCATCACAAAGTCCAACTGAAAACTGTAAACCATTTAATGAAATTCCTGAGCCCGAGTCTATTGACGATGGTTCATCCTATCTTGCCTATCAACCCGTACAAGGTCAACGAAGAATTACAACCGAGAAACGAAATAAAAAGAATCGCGATGTCTGTCGAACCCAATAAGCTTCAACAGTGACTTTACTAATGGCAATATGCTTAGAAAATAATTCAGTTTTCTCAATTTTTGCTGTGTAAATATTTTTTACGTTTCATACCTCACTTTTTTTGCAAAAAATGCCTTTATTTACGATTATTTACGATTATATTCATGATGTTGATTCTCGTCCAATGCAAATAAATCTACCATTTTCAAGATCAAAATTTGTGTCAATATTGATATCCAATATCAAAGAATGTAAATAGTGCAAAAAATTAGATAAAATAGTTTCAAAACATGGTGATTATTCACAGATATAGAGGAATGCAAAACAATTCATTTTTTTTTGCTCAATTTCTAATTTGTGGAAAAAATTTCGTTTTTTGTATATATATATGTATATGACTACCATTTGAAAAGTACAAGTGAAAGTGGCCGAGAGAGGGTAAAGAGGCAGAGAGATAAGGCGATTGCATGGCATAATCATTGATCAATTTCATAGGTGAAAGATGAATGAGGAAGGCAAGGGAAGATGATAGAAGCCACATCAAAAGAAAAAACAAAATATGAAAAAATGTTATATATATGGCGAAATGTTAACTGGTCAATATGTATATTTTTTCTTGAAGTAATCTCGAATCAACAAGATTAGAATTGCTCGTCCCAGCCACTGTTGTCGTCCGTAGGAGGAGGATCTGTCTCAGCAGGATAATTATCGAAATTAGATGTATCTGTTGGATGTCGAACCTGAAAGAATACAAAAAATTAGTATTTTGAACATTAGAATATTTTACGATTAAAACTTACAGCAGGAACTATCGGCGGTGTTAGGGTTCTATTTCTGAGACCTTCCCAGTAAAAGCCATCGAACCATTTATGTTTACGAATATCATCTATTCCATCTTTTTGATAGCCTAAACGTTCAGATGGGTTGTCTTTACACAGTTTTTTGATTAGATGATTTGCATTACTGGATATCATCCTAGGAAAATCGATTGCATTTATTCCTAAAAGATTAACATAAAAATAAAATAAACATTAGTTTTTATGAGAAAGATCACAGTTGATAGCAATAAATGAATCTTCGATACAAAGGTAAATGATCAGGAATTCATTGAAACATTTTATAGTTACAATGGTATCTTTCATTATGTTTTTGAAAAGATAGTGTAAGTGAAATAAGCAGATAAATATAATTCAACAATTGCTAAAAGATTAATCGAAAACATGAGTTTTGTTTGATTAAGATGGCAAAATTGATCCTGAGTGTTTTTCATTGATAAAACTGTCTCTATAGATAAAAAGGCAAATCACGAAAAAAGAAACTCTTTCTTTAATTGTTGTCACCTTTTCCATATTTACCTTTCAAAATTATCGTATATGTCTGCATTGGATCAGGGCCAGTAAAAGGCGGTGTACCGGTCAATAATTCAAACATAAGAACTCCTAAGGACCAATAATCAGCCGAATAATCGTGACCTCGGTTAAGTATAACTTCAGGTGCAACATATTCAGGGGTACCACAGAAAGTCCAAGTTTTACGTCCAGGAGGATGAAGTTTTTTGGCAAACCCAAAGTCAGTTAGTTTAACATAACCAAATCGGTCTAGAAGCATATTTTCAGGTTTGAGATCTCGATAAATGATGTTACGTGAATGGAGATAGTCGAAGGCTTCAATAACACATGAGGTGTAGAAGCGAGTTGTGGGTTCATCGAAGTAACCTCGATCGCGAAGAATGGTCCAAAGTTCCCCACCAAGACAAGACTCCATTAACATGTAAAGGTACTTTGAATCTAAATTGAAGATAAAAGGTAAATGTAAGAATTAGGATTTTAGTATTAAAAAAAGATTGAAGCTTGTGATTATGATCAACATTGAAACAAAAATATAAACATCAACCAGATGAAACTATGATTAATGGCGAGTCAATGAACTATTGGTTAGATATTAGAAACAGATTAATCAATAAGTTTATATTAATGGCTTACGATGAGCAGATGAATGTGTCTTGATAAAAGGATAAGAGTTGGACTAGAGTTAAATTTAATAACAAATTAATTCTACAATAAAAATTTCTTCTAATTCATGATAATGGCAAGGTTAAGGTTAAAGAAATCAAAAGATGAAATAAAGATGAATTATCAAAATTGAAATCTTGACTGTCTACACAAATTGGCAAGTTAACAGATAGTTGACATGAAAAGGTTGCCAACAGGTTGATGACATTCACACAATTATGAGTTTCAACAAAAAATATTAAAAACTGCAAATCTAACTCTATAAAAGTGAATTGTATCAGTTAATCAAGTCAATGAATTAGCTGAAAAGCTTACAAATAAAGCTTAGTTTCTTTCAACTCAGATAATCTGATTTTGAAGCTAAAAAATGCAAAAATGTCAAATTTTCATAAGATTGCATCTTTTTCAAATAATTTTGTATGAATCTTGTTGACGCTGTTCATTCAATTTCACTTGATTCATTATCTTATAACTAAAAAAAGTGTTTCCAAGCAACATCTTTTATTCCTGTGAATTATTGATTCAACTGAAGAAATAAAAATGTTCACACTTTTGATTTCTGTCAGGTATTGATGAAAAAGAGTTGATTTCAAGTCTAAAAATGAATGAGCATCATGTGACTAAACTAAGCTTCAAAATTTGTGCAGCAAGTAAAATTGATTGAAAAAGCACACAATCAAATGAAAAATGATGGAATTGGTGAAATATGCTTCGCATGGATCCTGGTTCAACCTTTGATAATACCTTTGAAAGTTTTGAACAATTTAACAATAAAAGGACAATTAGCTTCCATCATGATTGTCTTTTCACTTAAAATATGTTGTTGTTGTCGAGTCTCAACAATTTGAGCTTTCTTCATCACTTTTAGAGCAAAACTGCGATCACTGTCATTTACAAGGGTAACCAATTCAACCCGTCCGAATCCACCAACACCAAGGGTGGAAACTACTCGAAGATCACATAAGTTTATTCCTTCAAACTGTTCCTCTAACCTGAAATTGAATAGAAACAAGGAAAATTAATTGACATTGAAATAAAAGCAAAATAAAATGTAACAAAAAAGCAATGATAAAAATGTAAATAAAAAACGCAAAATGAGCAAGAAAAACGAGATTATGACCACTGAATGAAGTACCTTTTCTATGATCTCTAATCATTTGGCAGCAATAAGATGATATTGGAAAGAGAAAGAGTTTAGGTTAACAAGATTAGTTTAAGTTAAATTGTAATGAGGTCAATATAGAGGTAATTAAAAGGTAACTTTAAAAATGTATTCCGCTTGGATCCCTTTCCTTTTGATTTTGCTAGTCAACACATAGAGAAATGTTTACTTACTTTTGACGGAGATGCAGATTTGAGTCATCATATTGTTTGGATTTGAAATCTTCGAGGTTGTTAAACAATTGCTTAAATGACCTGGTAATGAGAAAATTAAGAAGACACAATTAATTTAAGGTAATGATTGATGTAAGTTGATTGGAAATGGTGAATGGTTCAAGACAAATGGAGACGATCGGGTCATTTGATAGTTTTAACCACTAACCCAGGTAATCTGTTTATGATGAGTTTAATAGCAAACACTGAAACTTTGAGAAATGCTGATAAAATTAGATTAATTGAAGGTCTTTGAGTTTGCCTATTGTCATTGGGCACTAGTTGATCTAAATGAACACTATTAGATAAACAGGATAAAGCTGTCATTACAGAGTTGCAAAGTTGAGTATGTAAACAAACAAGAAATGAACTGATATACACAAGATGATGAGTTAAAAGTTTCACGAGAATAGACAGAATGTGAAAATTGAAAAGGTGAGATGGATCAACAAAAATAAATCATTGATAGAGTTGAGTGAAAGATTGAGATTGTTGAGATTATGGTGAGTCAATTAAGGAATAATAAATAATGTAAAAAATAGAGTTAACCTCAGTGTGATATTGTTTTTACACTTGGCAAATGATTGGTAGGAAAAACAATTTAAAAGCAAAGTTGGTTGGTTGATTGGTGGGTTAAATGAAATTGTGTTTTAAGATTGACTGTATATTGAAATGTAATAATTAGAATGATAAAGGTAAATAAAAAAGAGAAACTAATTGATAAATTATCATCAACAGGGATGACCTAGATGAAAACAGGTAAAAAAGATGATAGAAGAAAGGAGAAATCAAAGTGAAAGTGATTGTGAATGATGATAATGATGATGTTATGATAATATTATGATACGATATTGATGGTTGAGTCAAGCTTTTGATGTTAGATAATGGAAGCAAAAAGTGTCCAAAAAATTCAAATGTGGTTAAACATTGCCATTGAACACACAGCGAATGATTAAGACATTGTTAAGACAATTTATGATTTAGCTAATGATCATTGATCAAAAAGCTAAATAATACTAGACGCAGTCATGATTCTCATGATTCTGACTGAAGCAAGTTTGTGAATGATGAATTTTTTGGTTTAAAAAAACCTGATTAAATGATAGCAATGGGGTGACAACATGCTCTTGAATAAGTTATAAGATAGCAACAGCGAAGGTTAATAGTTTATTTGAGGTTAATTGTTGGTAACTAATGTTATATAATGAGTTTCTTTGTTTGAAAATGAAAACCAAAATGATTCCAAAGATGAAGATAACGATGAAAAAAATATGACTGAACTTAAGTAACTTCAATGGATCAATGTTTTTCAGTTTAAGATGTCTTAGATTTCAATTCTGGCAACAAATGACTTGAGTTTAGATGATTATCTTAATTTTGTTGATTGTTATCTTCATTTGATAATTTGAAGAGCAATAGACATAAAGAGTGAAACAATCAATAAACTGATATATATTACCAGTTACAGAAATGGTTACACAATTTGATTAAATTTAGTGTTGCCTTTGATGAAATTGAGAAAGTTTTTATCATGATTAATTGATTAGAGTGTCAATTCATAATTAACAGATATTGGATAACATTGAGCCATGTTTAAACATCAAGTCTTGTGATCATTATTCAAGTAAATCTGATAATTTTACTTGCAATGGTGAAAGCTTTTGCAAATTCACTTTCTAGGAAATGCATTTACTAGGAAATGAACTAAATATAGCCAGTAAATTAAAATTAGAAATTAAAATAATCTATTTTGAATCACAATCTGGTAAATTTGATATAATCAACACTCATAACCAGAATTTACTAAACATTGACCAGAAAGTCTAATGGTGTAAACAACAAATCCATTAAGATTAACCAGTTGTACAAAAATTGGAGTGTGAATTGAATGTTTTACATCAAAACTAACCAGATTAATTGATAATGAAAATGGTGAACAAGTAAATCAATCATGTAACTAATCAATTGTAAATAACAAAAGAGATTGAAAACAATCAACTTGGAGCATCGAAGAAGGTAAAAACTGAATCCAATGATACGAAAACCTCAAAACAACAAGTAATCTAATGGCAATGGTGATAATCAAAGTGAATTAACACTGCTAATGATAAGATAGTGAGAAAAAAAGAAGAAGAAAAATAAGCAACTTTTGGGTCGAAAAATATTAATTCAAGTTGTTGATAGACAACAATCTATTTATAAATTAATTTTAAAACCAATGGCAACTGTAATGTTAGACATTGCTCTCTGTAGCTTTGCAGGTTTTCACGGGTAAATCAGTGAATAAGGAGGTGTGTTGAGGTCTACATTATTATTTCATGATACTTTATCAGGAAAGATTTTTTCCTACCATTTATTGTGATGTAAATGATGAGACTGTCTTAATTAGCAATCTAAGCGAAAATAAAAGAGAGAAAATATCTTGAAAATCTGTCTTCTGAGTACCTTCTGTTTATATCTACTCTGAAGTTACCATACAAATAACTAGCAAGATCAAAATACAAATAAATGGTTTATCAAGGAAACGTCTAGTGAGACAAAAATGCTTCGTTGGCAAACCAAATGACAAATAGAGTTAATGGCTACATGGAATGATGGAAAAAATCTGATCAAAATTGCTATTCAAACCATTAACCAGTTTGGGTTTGAGTAAAGGTTATGAGTTGGGTAAATTTGTTGGGTAAAAATTTGTCAATCTGATTGTTGATTAGACATCAATCAAGTAGTCCTTTTACTCACTCTCTATCCATTACCAAACAATGAACGTCTTCAGAATGAGCGATAACATTGGCAGTCCTAATATCATCTGAAGTCAAGGCTCTTTCACCAAAAGAATCACCTCGGCCTAAAGTACGGATAAATTTTTCTCCCGGCGGTGAATTTAAGTCACCAGGTTCATCCGGATCTTTGATTGTCACTCGAACGGTTCCTTTTCTGATAATGTAAAAGGTAACTCCTTTGGCACCTTGTCGTATAATATAATCTCCTTGTTTATAAACAGCCTAATAAGAGAAGAGAAAGAAAAATTCAATGAAATTCAGAGTCAAAATTGTGCAGTGAACACGGGGAAATGGGTGACACTAAAGAACCATAAACAATCAAAATAATGACAGAGATGGTTTAATGATCTAAGATGATTATGATTAATATGATTTGATTGTCAACCTCATCTGGTATCGGATGAAAGGTAAACTTTGAGGTCAATGATAGACAAACATATGATGAAAAATTTAAAACCTTAATCTGACTATATGTCAACTCAGTGATCATAATAAAGATCATGAAAAGTGAATACGGAAATGTTTGCGAGATTGAAACTTTGTAAATGTAAAGTGATGATCAGTGACAATAAATCAATTAAATTGTAAAAAGTGTCAATCCTGGAATATTCAATAGCTGATAAGATAGAGTCCAAAAATAATAGTGAAAATTACTTTGTTGTGACAAATGGTCAACCTAAAAGTCTCAAAGGGTAAAAGGTCTATTGTGAGATCTCTCTATTTCAATCTTTTGTTGACCAAAATTTGCAGCCTATCAGCTTGGCAAGTGTTGTTAATCCAAAATATACACAAAATATATAAGTAATTAAATAATAAATTAATAGATGGATGGAAAACACGCTGAACAAATAAATAAACAACAAAAAAATGACAGTTAGGGAAGAAAACTTAAAGTGAAAAGAGGAAAGGTCGAAAGAAAGGTATGAGCTGAGATGACTAAAAGGTAAGTCTATTTGGAAAGAGAGAGAGAGAGCAAAAGATAGGAGAAAGAAGACAGAAGAGAGGGGAAAATTGAGCAACTTTAAGTGTATTTGACCTCTAATCACTTCCTAATTTCAATTACAGTAATTTCATGACCTTATTTGCATCTGAAATTCAAATCAATGAGGTCGGCTGACATTAAAGTTCGGCGGGAATAATTGGTGTTTAAGGTGTTGACTGGTGTTAACAATGGACAGTTGAGTGGAAAGGCGCAAGGTGATAAAATTTGGAGAAAAATTTCTAGTTTAAATGTAAAAATAGATAATGAAAGAGAATCAAAATCTAGCATTGAATCATCATCCTCAAGGTTCAATTAATTGAAAATTCAATTAAGCTAAACACTAATCAGATACTACATATTGATAATAAATTAAATATTATCTAATAGCAGTTGAAAGCAACGTTTTATGGTTAAATTTTGGAATAGAGAAAGATAACAGGATAATTGTTGGTAGACTTGTTTCCTTGTGGTAAATCATATGGAGACAGAGTGATCGTTTCTTAACCTAGTGTTGATTGAACACATGAGCTTCATCATGATTTTGTTGATGCAAGTAACGTGACGGGTATACAGGGAAGACTGATGAAAGTGTTAAATGAATAAAAAGTAATGAGTAAATTAGAGTAGATGGATATACCTCTTCGAGAACATCAACTATTTTGGTTATATGTTCATCAGGAAGTTTTGAGAAACTTGGCACAGTCTTTAAAAATTCCATGTACTCCTTTTGCTTAATTAAGCCTGTTTTCATCATGATTGATTGGAAACATTGCCTATGGATTGCCCACAGCTTGCACAGACCAATCGCCTTAACGGACGCAGTTCGAGTACAATTGTATAGCACAGCTAATTCACCAAATACTTTTCCTGGTCCCATTGTGTGCAAAACTCGACCTTCTTTGCTAACTTCAACCCTTCCTTCTTCGAGAATGAAAACGTCTGAACCAATGTCTCCTTCTTTGATGATTAAATCATCCGGCTGATAACTAACTGGAGACATGGCATCGGTAATTTCCTCTATCTGCTGTTGACCCAAGTTTTTCATGAAATCATTTTCGAGTATTGCTGCTACAATCAAATCACGTGCTCTATATGTTAGCGATGTGTGTTGGTGTCCATTGAATATTCAGTCACATTGATTAATTGTCCACAAAGTCCAGGTTAAAAATGTTAAAAGGAAAGAAAAAGATAAAAGAAAATATTGCAATTAGTTCATCTAGTTATAACCGGATAAAGGTAATTGAAATTTAAAAATCAAAAATAGTTCAATCTTTCATAGGCTGTCATAGGTTTCAAAGCATATTAACTCGTTCATCACTTCTCATCCCCTTGCGTTTTTTTATGTTAATATATACAGTTGAATGTAATTGTTGTTATTTATAACCTAATTCAACTGTTGATGGGAACCCGCCTTCAATGATGCCGGTGATATAACAGTAACATTGGATAAATTATAATAATAAGCTAAATATATTCCCAGCAGCTTATCTGGATCAAATGGTGATAAATTGTTAGAAATAAATCAACAAAAAAAACTAAAGTTCGTAGCTTGGCTTTTCTAGGACAAGTAAATTGATATCTAGCATAAACTAAACTAAGGCTCATAAATAGTTAATAATAAACATTTGAGTTTGATGCATTCAATAGGCGAAATAATCTTAAGGTGATATCAATGAGAGTTTGCAAGTCTAATGTTAAAATTTGATTCATACGCTTGAGATTTCGGATACTCCGCAAATTTGGTTTCCATCAATTCCAGTAAACTAAGTGAAGCTTGTGGTTCAGCCGAAATACCCATGAGACGAGTTTTTCGGGGTTGATTTTGTTTAGGTTGCACATTGAAAGGTAGAGGAACACCAAATGAATCAACAGCTTGACTTCGTCGAGAAGAACCAACATTAAAAATTGATTTGTACATATCCAGTTGACTATTAATCTCGCGAATCTCATGATTCTGCTTTTCAAGAGTTAATTTCAAACTCTCAATCAATTTGGCCTGGGATTGACAGAGAGCCTCAAGATCAGTAGGACCACCATTGATGCTTCCATTAATTGCAGCTCCTCCCATGGTAACATTGCTGTCATCTTGCATAGCGCTAACATCAGTTATCATCATGTTAACATTGGAATCAGACATTTTCTTGAAAAAAATTGTATAGGAATAAAGTAAATATTTTTGTATTATCAAAAAACAGATAAGGAATCGGGTAAATTAAAGGAAACTTACCTTAAAGTAATTGACTTTAATCCAATGTTGCAACTAATCTGGCAAAAAAAAAGTGAATCAAACAAGTGCAAAACAGCCAATTTCTCTGTAGGTTAGCTTAATAAGATTTAAAAACAAAAAAACATGAAACATGATTTTTTAAAAACAAATTTATCTGGAAAGTAGAGAAGAAACTAATGCAACGAAATAAACAAGTTCCCAATGTTCCCAACTAAAACAAATTGAGTGAGACCTTGTAGATACAGTTTTATGTGCAACAGAGCAACAAGCAACAGATAGGGATTGTTTGTAAATTTACAGATAATTTAAAGAGCTTGTACCTTTAAAAGCTAAAGTGGCGCCATCTTTAGTTCTGGTTGCAAATTGTTTTTTTTGGTTAAATAACTTGACATCGATCAATCTTTATGCAATAATCTCATTTGATTTCTGTGATAAAGTTCCATGTTTATTCCACTTTTAATTTTAGAATAATTTTTTGAACATTTTCTTGGTTTTCTTGAAACGTCTTGTAACTTTCCATGCAATCTTGCGGTAGCAAAATTGATAGTTGAACGTGAATCTATTTTGTTGTATATTTAGGTGTTTGGAGGGCAAAAGATTCATACTTTCATTCAAAGCAATAACGTTCCTTTCAAATGTTAAACTCTATGTTTAAAAGCTTGCTAAAATCAGTATTTTAATGAAGTTTCATCAAAAAAATCAAAGGGATTTGTTAATTTATAGCTCATTTGTTTATGCTAGTTTAAAGTAAACAAGAATTATATAATATTTCTGTGAAAACGCACCATGCCTATTCACCTTCTAATATGGATCGTCAAATTTTGGCTTTTGATTCAAAAAACATATTCATTCAGAACACCCAAACATGATATAGTTTTTTACTACAAAACACATGACAATGTTTTCGTGACGAATCCTACTAATCATACAACATCTTATGGTATTTATGTGGCTGATAAACAATAACAATTGATATACCAAAAAGTGTTGTTAATGTGTCTGACATCCTCAATTGGAAAGTGGTCAATACCAATGAAAATCAATTAATGTTCGTCCATAAAAATAAACCGTATATTCTGATTAATCAACAGAGAATCAAGAAAATGAATTATTCTGGTGAATTGAGTGATTCAATAATAGCTTTTGGTGACAATGAAGCTCTTCATGTACCAACAATATTCAATCCAAATTTAACTGAACCAGTTCATAAATGGAATTATATCGAATTTTTGCATTTCGATGATAAAAATGAAAAGGTTTCTGTAATTAGATCATTACCTTGGTCTCAAGAGGACACTTGGAAGTACTTCAAAGAATGGAAAATGACAGACTATATTCATTTCGACAATAAATTGTACCTTCTAATAAAGCGAACTTTTTTGGACAGTAATCAATCTGTTACTCAAGAGATATCAATAATACAATTGTGTATCGACCATGGAAGTGAACTTATTTCAAATTATGTTGAAGTTCATTTCACTCGACCGGAATTGCAGACTAATCAGATTATTGATTTGATTTTCGTTTTCATTTTTGGACCTTTGAACAATGAGGAAGATCGTTACCAATTGCACTCAACACAATTGCAACCTAACAACACAAAAATTTATCAAATCTATTCTATTAGCGATATTGTTTCATTGTTTGAAGAAACTTTAATCAAAACCTGTGGCTCTCGTTCAAGATCAGAAGTTAATAAATGTAAGACTACTTCTTATGAAAGGTGTCTTGCTTCAAAAAATGTCGGTGTCAATGTAACTGGATATAAAAATATTCTCGATATATTTTTGCATTCTGTAGCAAATGAGTTGCATAAACTTCAGTTTTTCACGCTGCCTCATCCATACATCACAGCGAGTTTATTTATGCACACAAAACCAATTTTTTCTACTTATGATTGTCAATATACCGATACACCATTAGATTGTATAAATTATGGAAACTCGACTAATTCCGCTCAATCATTTGCACAAGCGTATTTTCACGTCAATAAACGTCCACACAAAGCTCTTTACGTAACGGAAGAAACTAATAAAATCCATTTCAGTCCCATTGAAGTGTGTTCACATCTAAAAACTTGTACTCAATGTATTATGTATGGACTTTATTACAACTGCATTTGGTCAAATTCAATTTGTACTCATGATGATCAAACTAGAAACAAGACTGCACTAACAGTCAACTATTGCTTTAAAATAATCCGAATTTCACCTTTAGTGTTCAAACCTTCTTTACCGACAAGACTAACAATTAAACTTGATGAACCACTGATTAATGCCTCTCAAGAGTATCTAGTTATCCAAGCTGGTGAAAATCATTGCACTGACATTACAATTAATGGACCATTCATCAATTGCTCTATGCTTTTAACGAAATCGGGCCATTTTAAGATTGAAGTTAGTCTACGAAGTGATAAATATGCAGATTCTGCGGTCATTAGTGCTGTATCCACTAAGAAGGTTTATATTGATGTTTCCAAAGGTCAATATACGATTGTTATGTTATTTGTACTATTTTCAATCTTTATAACATTTTTATTGGTAACTTATACAAATTATAATAAGAAACATGGGAATGAGTTTCTTGAATTTAATAGATCAACAAGAGTTATGAATATTGCTACAAAAAGCATGAAATCCAAAAAGTTTTCTCTTTCGAGGAAAAGTTCAACCATGATTAAGAAGTTAACCCACTCTCGCTAAACATCCTAAAGGAACCAGTTAACCAGTCAAATCTTGAAGTACAATACTTTCTGTATCGCATAACTTTATTCAATCATTTACAAATGGCCCATTGAAATGAATTGATCAAAACCACCAAACTATTTTTAGTTACTTGATCAATTCACTGTTTATGGATTTGTTTTCGTATGAGTTTGAAATCCAGTTCGGGAGTATTCACAATAACTACATTAGTACCAAAAGAATCCCGCAGATGTTTGATTGTTGTTGGTTAAAATCTGTTAAGAAAAGATACAATTTAATAACAACACTGGCAAATGAAATTATGAAAACATTCATTTATATCATTCTCGAAGCATGGATTTTAAATGGTTTAGGTCCAAGACAAGAGAACTGTGCGATCAAGTGATAAAATGAGTGATTTTTGATGTTCATCAATAATTATTATCGAGCATAGACAAGTTTAAGCTCTTTAGCTATTATCTTCAAAGAGCTTGATTTAAGGGCAGATCGAAATGACCTGATGTACGGGGGTTGTAGCAACTGGGCGAAAATCATTTTTGCTAAACTCTTTTGGTTGAAAGCTCTTCAAGCAAATTCTGGAAAATGAAATTTAATCTGTTTAATAAAATAAAGAACTTTTTAGCACATAATTTGTCAAACTTTTTCATTTTAAACTCAGTCATTGAACTTCATCTTTCGCATTTCTCAATTTTTACCTAAATGAGTGAATCAAATTTTCGTTTTGTGTCCTCGTCGAGAGGAGGTAAACTTTTAGTAATTGATAATTATATTTTCCGCCGGAAAAAGTGTGTAAATGAAACTGAATATTTTTATTGCATAAAATTAAACTGCAAATCAAGTGCAACTATGCAAAGTTCATCATTAATCAAATCAACTGAACATAGTCATGAGCCTGACATTGGCGAACTTGTTCGTTATGAACACAGAGATGCAGCCAAGAAACTTATCAAAGAGTCAGATTACCCGAAATTGCGTGAAGTTTACGATGCGGTGACTGATCAAATTTTCAATGATGGTCGTTTCAACAAAGATGAAGTCGCTGCGGCAATACAACCCTTTGGAAGCCTTCGAAGCACTATGAAACGGGTTAGAAAAGAGCGATTTCGTACTCTGCCGGCTGATAGAGATGGAATCGTTGTTCCATTATAAGGATGACCACAAACTCCACTGACTCGTTTAGCTGCTATTCCTGCATAACATTTGACTGAATTAATTCATAAACGGAATTAGTTTGAATTTCGGCCCCAGTTGCAGTGATTCCATCCTTACTAGTTGACTTAATCTAAGAATGGAAAATGATATTAATAAATTATTTTCATTACCACAATACTTTATATCTTTTAATAAATCAATCTAAATCGACGTAACTCGTTATTTTTATAGAAATCCATTTTGTTGACTAGTGGGTTTATAAGTGTTTGGAAGGCAGAAGGTTCAAGCATTTCAATAAAATTCGCTTCCAATTGTTAAAATCTCTATCCAAAGGCTTGCCTATTAGATCAGTATTGTTTTGAAGTTACGCTGAAGAAGCATCGAATGCTTTACGGAAAGATTACATGAAATATTGTGGCTGCGATTTCACTTTGAATTTAATTTAAAATTTAACAACAAATCTATTTCTTTTCACTAGCTATTAATACAATATAAGGATATTGACTTGTTTATGTTTATTTGCGTGGAAACAAGAATTATATAATATTTCATATCATAATCATGTTACATCGTCTTCTAATATGGATCTTTCAATTTTGTCTTTTAATTGAACTAACATATTCATTCAGAACATTCAAACATAATACAGCCTTTTATTACAAAACACATGACAGTGTTTTCTTGACGAATCCTACTAATCACACAACATCTTATGGTATTTATGTGGCTGGTAAAACAATAACAATTGATATACCAACAAGTGTTGTTAATGTGTCCGACATCCTCAATTGGAAAGTGGTCAATATCAATAAAGAGCGCTTGATGTTCGTCCATAAAAATAAACCGTATATTCTGATTAATCGAGAAATTATCGGGGAAATGGAATATTCTGGTGAATTGAGTGATTCAATAATAGCTTTTGGTGATAATGAAGCTCTTCATGTTCCAAAAATATTCAATCCAAATTTAACAGAACCAGTTCATACATGGAATTTTATTGAATTGTTGTATTTCGATGATAAAAATGAAAAGGTTTCTGTGATTCGATGTTTACCTTGGTTTATTGAGGACCAATGGAAGTACTTTCCAGAATGGAAAATGACTGATTATATTCATTTCGACAGTAAATTGTACCTTCTAATAAAGGGAACTATTATTGCAAAGGATAATCCTCAATCTGTTACTCAAAAGATATCAATAATACAATTGTGTATCGACCAAGGAAGTGAACTTATTTCAGGTCTTGTTGAAGTTGGTTTCATTCCACTGGAATTGGAGACTAATCAGATTATTGATTTGATTTTCGTTTTCATTTTTGGACCTTTGGGAAATGAGAAAGATCGTTACCAATTGCACTCAACACAATTGCAACCTAACAACACAAAAATTTATCAAATCTATTCTATTAGCGATATTGTTGCATTGTTTGAAGAAACTTTAATTG